AAATATTTATAGCTATGTTTATAATGTCTTATAAATGCATTATAACATGTTATGAATGTGTTTATAGATGCTTACAAAGGTGACATTCATAGAAAGTGTTACCGAAATTTCTTCTTAAGAGCAGTGGGTGAATGAGGCCCACTGTCGTTATTAGATTTTTTAGGTCTTTTTAAGGTCTTTTTGTTTGCTAGTGAAAGGCTCTGAAAATCTGGTTTAGACAAACTGATCCTCCTGGTACACCTGTGGATATTTTTAGATTTGAAGCAAGAGTGGAGTGGAGAGATTTTTTCCTGTTTATCTGTTTATCTGATGGGGACAGTTTTGGTGGTCTCCCAGGTCTTGCATGGTTGTTAGGAGTCACATTTTGTCTGTATCTTTTTTTTCAACTTCAGTTTTGGAAACTAATTTCTAAAACTAATTTACTAATTTCTGTTTATCTTCTCTGTCAATATGCAAGTGGAGTATATCATATTTAATCTCCCTAGATCTTCTAAAAATGGAAAAACGTGCATGGAAGGGTCATTTTGACTGGAAATGCAATAAATGACAGTGCTGATTTAACAAATACCTTGTGTCAATGCTATTACTTTTGCAGCTGATTGGAAGTTGCAAAAGCACCCTAATATCCACATACACATACTTTTACATTGTATAAAGTGGCAGTATCACCTATTGCACATCCCTGCCTACACTCTCAGAAATAAAGGTACTAAACTGTCACTGGGGCAGTTCCCCTCTTGTCACTGGGGTGGTACCCTCAAGGGTACATCTCAGTACCTTTAGTCAGGGAACATAACTGTACCATAATCCACTGAAATTATATTAAGCTGTACTGACTCCACACACCCCGTCTCGTCTCCAGGCTTTTATTTCATTGTTCTGTTTTAAAACATTAGATTATGAAAATGGTACAAATACATACTTTTCCACAAGGAAAAACATATTTAAGGTACACAATTGGACCTTAAAACCACTGTTGCAATTTGAGGGAACACTTACATTGTTTGTACCTTGATGAATGAAACATATATCAGCACAGAACCTTTATTTCTAACAGTGTACAGCAGCATTTTCCAGTAGCAGCTACACTTACATCTCCATATTGAGTTTCCTAAAGGCACTGGGTTCATGATGGACTAGGACCATGTTTCCTGTAGGTAGCATGGCTCTTCAGTAACATCTGCAGTGGTTTAATGCATCATACGCATGTGAACAATGTTCATAAATTTGTTCATTTGTTAACATTTGAGGATGCCGTTACTCCACACCTCAAGACAGTGCTTGTTGTTTTCCATCTGTCTCAAAGGCTTAACATTTCATGCGTCGAGTATTTACACGTGTTTTTCTTTTATTGCACAGCAGCATGTGGTTGCATTGAACCACTGGCCTGTTTTTGTGGAAAGAATCCAGTCGGTTCAGGAAACAGCCATCCATCATTCTTCGCATGAATAAGAGATACCAAAGGGCCTTGATTGAACTTTTTATTCATGTCCCTGGAAAATGCTTCAATTACACACTCACTGAGGTGCCTGCACTGGAGGCCTTTGGCACAAGTGCTTTCTGAACCATTAGAGTTGTGTAATGACCATCACATTGATTTCCTTTTGATCCAAAAATCGTAAGAAGTCCAGTTCTTCATAGCTTCTCACCCAGAAGCAATTTAGTCACTGTCTGAGTGGCAAGTCAATATCAGCATTACACATTTGCCTACAGAAACTAAAATCAGACCTCAATTATGTGACTGCTTAATAGTCTTGATTGCCTTAGCTTGTGAGAATGTAATTTCCTTCCTTTACCGTTGTGACAGGAGGCAGAATAATGACTCAAGATTGTAGGATTACAATTAAGCCGGGAAAGTGCTCTGTCGTCTATGTCTGTTGTCCCAAGTGCAGGTGTTTGGAGCACTGTGTAGAGCCAAACACAGTTTGTAACCGCAATCAGTACCCGAAAAATGGCCAAAATCACATTTCACATGGCCACAAACAGTATGGGCATTAGTTCTGTTACTCGCTGGAGACTCATTCATTGCAATTAAGCTGAAGACATATTTAAAAGAGTGTGTTGTGAATAGGGTATCATGGGGAAGCACTCTAAAGTAATCTGAACTGGAGTGGTACTCTTTGGCCTCAAAGCCCTCTTGTTCTGTGAATAAGGCTGTAATTCTTCTTTTTTCAGAGCATAGAAATTGACCATTTGCAAAATTAAAAAGTCCAGCCTTCCTTGGTTTCTGCTGTTATGTGCGTCAAACAGCTGGGCTAGTCAGGCTACCTGGAAGCATCTGTAGCTGACGTTCAGCGGCACAGTGGAAAGTTTAGAAGCACACAAAAAAGTCAGAGTCAGAGCAGTCAGAGCAGCATTAGATGCTGGAGAGAACTTGTTTTGTAATGAAACAATAGAAATGATGGTATACCAGCACATTAAGATTTACACAGAAATCACAAATGTGAGCACTGTACTGTCCTGTTTAATCACACTAGTTTATCAAGCTAACTCAGTTAACTTAGCTAACATGATATAACATTATTTACCGTAGGACATCACATTAAAATGTTTATTAACAAATACAGTAGCACAAATAATTGTAGCTTACCTTAAAGCCAGCGTAGCGCTGTTGTCACAACAAAACCTCGTATCTCCAAAATGGTAACTTTACAGGAGAAGGAAAAAAACCTACTTTACTTAATGTAAGTCAATGGAACCAGACTTTTTCCTTGTCATTTTGAGCTTCTTTTAGTCCAATCTTCGTGAAATTTACATACAATGTAAAGAGCAAAAGGCTTTTTTCAAATTATGTCAAAAACTGAAAAATGGAGATGCAAGGTTTTGTTCCAACAGCAGCAGTAAGTGTTTCTGTTAGTGCTGCTATAACAAATATTTATATATCCGATTATTCGTTGAATTAATCAACTAATAATTGACTAATCGGCTTTAATGTGGCCTGTAAATATGAAGAGTTCTAATAATACAATGTTAGGTAATGTTCTGACAAACTGAAGAACCGTTCACCAACTGTGGAGCTAAATTACCACTACAGAAAAAAACGTGGCACTTTGTTTAAGTCTGGCTGTAATTTTGAGCTACAATAAGCAATGAGCAATATGTGAATGATATAATAATAAGTTTATAGATTATAGTTGTGCTAGTTCACTATGCGTGAATAGGTTTCCAGAATGGCCAGTTGTCATTTTTTTCACATGAAAACAAAGGGCCTCATTCACCGACATCTTCCCAGGTTTTTTCTTAAATGTGTTCTTGAGAAATATCCTAAGAAAAGGTCTACATCAGATTCATGATGTGCTCTTAAACCGCGGAACTGTCCACACCTTTGTGCTCTTGAGTGTGCATAGATTCTGTTCTTACCTAGAGGTGTAAAATTCAGGTCCAGAAAGTAAAAATCCTTCCCAGGATTTTGTTCCAACTGCCTGGACAGCTCTGCTGGTGGTTTGATCTAATTAGAGAAGCCAGGCCGTTGGAACAAAATCCTGGGAAGGATTTTTACTTTCTGGACCTGAATTTTACACCTCTGTTCTTACCTAAGAACTAATTCCAAATAAGAAAACATTGCTGAAGGTCAGAATCTTTGTGAAAACTGCATAAGTGGGCTTTAGGAAGACATTTCTTCTTAAGAATGGTTGGTGAATGTGGCCCAATGTTTGCATGAGTTGTATTTTAAGCAAATTAAGGGGTTGTGTGTAGTTAGATATCTAATGTATACGACACTCTGACAGTACAAGCTGCTTTTAATGTTAGTAATGTGACATGATGAGCTTTAATGTTGTTTGTAAGGGTAACTATAGCTCATTCTGACAAATGGCTACAGTTCAAACTGCACATCCTCAGGGAGCAGTTGGGTTTGTCATAACAGTGGCATGGAGGGAAGGCTAATGGTGACCGACTGCTCGGCTGCTTCAGAACAGACACCAGCATGTGCTTCCATGGAAAACAAAGTAGACTATGTTGTATGTGTTTACTTAATCCTTCATTTAAGAAAATGCTCCCAGCCTCACTTCGTTTTAAACTTTCCGGTAACATTGTTCTTTCATATGTGCTCACATAGGTACAAACCTATAAGTCAGTTACTGCCCTCTTCAAGTCATTAACTCACTCCTTTGGGCGTCACTTGTAAACACAAATGTGACAATGAAAGTATTTGTTGTAAAGTAATGTTGATGTCTGCCCTGTGATGGACTGGCGACCTGTCCAGGGTGTATCCTGCCTTCTGCCCAATGACCGCTGGGATAGGCTCCAGCCTCCCCCCCGAACCAGAATGATAAGCGTTTTAGAAAGTGTGTGTGTGTGTGTGTGTGTGTGTGTAATGTAGCCCTACTCTATACACTTTAATCCAGAAATGTTTTCAGCTTCAAGAACTAAATAAAAACAGCACAGCCCTGATGATTAGGCTGCTGTGTGTTATGATGTCAAGCTTGTAACAGTACAAGAACTCTTTTTGGTTCTATAAAGAACCCTTTTTCAAAAAGATTCTGTGTAGAACCATTTATAGCACATTTTAAATCAATATGAAGAACTCTTTCACAATGCAAAGAACCCTCGAATCATGCAAAGGGTTCTTTGAGTGCTCATTGTTCTGTATAGAACCATTTTCTTTACAGAAGAACCCTCGAAGAACCATCATTTTTAAGTGTGTATATGAGTGGACAAAAGATGTTTTATCAGAATGTATTTGTTACATTCAGTAGTTCAATAATATTGTTTGCATTGGGGAACGCAGGATTCCCATGAACCTGAACATGATGCCATCATATACATCACTGCTGTCGGAACAAAACCTTGTATCTCCATTTTTGTCATATTTCAGTTTGTCACAGAATTTGAAAATGCCTGTTGCCCTTTACACTGGGTGTAAATCTCATGGTGAATGGCCTAAAAGAAATGGCCCCAAAATTGCTTGGAAAAAAGTCTGGTTCCATTGATTTAGTTAAGTTTGATCTGACTCTTGATATTCAGTTATTACATAACCATATTTGTTTGTCTCTCCACAGCCACCATCACAAGGCAGAGCATCACCAACTAAGACAATACAAAATGGAAGTCCAACCAAATGCCCCCGATTCATGAAGATAAAGAACTGGGAGAGTGGAGCGGTGTTCAACGACACCCTGCACAACAGCTCTAGCAAGGTAGGACTGTACTGAGCCTTCTGCGTAATTAATTATCCAGATGCAAATGTCCACTGTAAGATTTGTTGTTAGCTCTGTCCAGCATGAATTAATGATGCAAAGAGAAATAGCTTGGTAAGAAACAACAGAACAGTCACCTGTCCAATTACTTATGGTCCCCTGAAATTAAGGGATTAAGGTTAGGGTGTTGTATAAAAGAGCTGTAATTCCTATATGCACAAATAAACACCCTAATCAGTCATTGTTTCATTTTAGACTCTATTGAATGTTTTACATTCTGGATTTCAGAGCCAAAACAGCAACAAACACCAAATAACTGCACTAAATTTGCATAATCGTTGGATAAATCAAAGAGTGGGATCATAAAAACTACTCTAAAATGGCTTCACATTCTGTTTTGGCTTCAGTTGTAAGATTCATAAGAATGAGCGAGCACGCACTGTTTGAAATTTAGAAAGAGGTTTGTTATGTTTGCTCACACTGTAAAATTGATTTTACTTTTTAATCAGATTACTTGCTTCTTGTTGAATTACTCTTACTGAAATACTGTAAATTATCACACTGCAAGAAAATAATCTATATATTTTGTAATCATCTTAAAACTAGTCTATTTCTCATTTTGAGAATGTTGTAAGAATGTTCTAAGATTATTCAACTTGTTTGTAAACACTTTTTAACTTGTTTAAACTAACTTTATTCAGAGACTGCAGATAATTGTGTCCATTTCAAAACATAACACAGATAATTTTGCTTGAAACAAAACAAAATACAGTTGTATGAAAACATTTTGGCGACCCAATCAATTTATGTTTTGTTGATTTTCTAAGTGAAAATAAGTGAACACACAGTTCTGCACATTTTAATGCACAATTACTGTTGATTTGTTGAATTTGACATGTTGGGGAAAAAAGAAAATGTGAGCTGTGCAAAAGTGATGGCACGTTTTGTATTTTAGGTTTATTTTTTCCAATATGTTAAACTTAACATATAAATAGAAGTTGGTGCACTAAGGTTTGCAGAAAATGGCATATTGAAGTTCCCTGCAGAGCATGTGTTGACTTATTTTTACCTTTAAAAATAAAAACATGTAATTTGACTGGGGGTGTCAAACATTTGCAAACAAATGTATTTTACATTTTGGAACAAAACCTTGTATCTCCAAAATGGTAACTTTACAGGAGAAGGAAAAAATCGACTTTACTTTTAATGTAAGTCAATGGAACCAGACTTCTTTTCAAGTCATTTTGCGGCACCTCTTTTGGTCCATTCATCATGAAATTTATGTACAATATAAAGGACTACAGTCATTTTCAAAATATGCCAAAAACTGAAAAATGTCAATATATATGATATGTAATATTCTTAGAACAATCTCAAAAAGAGAAACTTTAGACATATTGACTAGATTTAACATCATTTCACTTGCCAAGATATCATTTTTTTGCAGTGCATCCATCCAAGGACCCGCCAGATAGATAACTTAGATAACTTTGTTGACGTCTAGCTGTCTCTTCCCTTTCCATGTGCCAAACTGAAGTTTAAATATAGATGTAATCTTTCCTGCAGACATAGTGTGGGTAAAAACCATGAGGACACTCTTAACAACCATCTCCACATTTTGAATCATCCCCCAGTTTCCTCTAACCAAGTGGAAAAGAGGGACACGAGGTTCTACATGATTTCACGAGTGCCTGGCGTTGCATGCTAATCACTGTTAATTACAGATCATATGATTTATAATATATCACGCACACGGAGGATTTTTTTGGGTTGCATCCCCAGCTTTTTGCAAATAGAGGCAGCTGTGGGGCGGAATTCATAGCGCCTCATGGCTAGCGGATGTGCAGAGCCAAATGAAAGTGTTTTGTTTTATTTTTAACACGCTGACGCCGTGCACCATCTATCTTATCTCTTAATCAGGCAGACAGTCAGCTAGTTAGCTGGGGTCCTAGGCCAGGGTACAGTCTGGTCCTTGCTCCAGATTTAGACTTGTCCTTGGTGCTCTGCATCCATTCTTCTTGCTCTCGGGTGAAATCTTGGCCACACTGCACTGTGCTTCCGCTCTGGCTTGTCTCGGGTGGCCTGCTCAGGGTTGCGTGGGGGTCCCGAGTCAGTCGGCTGAGGCTTTGAACGCTTCACCAGTTTAAGTGATGCTTGGCCAGTGCCCGTTTTAGCAGCGCCGTCCGGCCCATAGTTAAATTTCTACTCCGGCTCAGCCGTTTCGCCTCTCTTCTAGTGACCGCATTAGTGGCTACCCAAAGTGACAGTGCGCTTCAACTCTAATCTTATTACACTGACCATATGAGCTTGCTCAAGGCAATGACCGAGTTGCACGTCACTCTCTCGCTCTCTATCTCTCTCTCTCTCTCTCTATCTCTCTTCCCCCCACTGCTTCTTATTTCAGCTCTGATGAAGACACTTTTATTAGTGTCGCAGTATTAGGATCAGCTCGACAAACACATTAGGAGATGATAAATGCTTAAACTCACTGTGCATTTAGGTCACGCTCTTGTTCGAGGGGCATTCAAAGACTGTGACAGCAAGAGGCCACGCAAGGTGAACAGTGCTTCCTGTTAAAGTGTTGGCACTGGTGTGAGAGGCCTCATATTTGTGTACCGCAGTATAACGGAAGCTGATTTATTCATTGTAGGTGCCAATTTGCACTGACAGAGTGTGCATAGGCTCAGTGATGACGCCTAGCCAGACTCACAAGCCAGACGAAGTTCGAACCAAAGAAGAGCTTCTACCTCTGGCCACAGACTTCATCAACCAGTACTACACTTCAATCAAAAGGCAGGCCTGCACACCACATTATGAATTCACATCCCTATCACAATGTATGCTGTAAGCAGGACAAGACAAAACAATGTACCCTGTAAAACATGCAACTTAATCTCCAACTGAGAAAAAAAAACATTTGCTCCAGTAGTTGTTATATTGTGCTAGCTTTGGCATGCTAAAAAGCTAAAATAAGCCTAATAAGAAAAGCAAGACTTATCCATAACAGTTTCCCTATAAAACACCAAGTATGATCTCCAACTTACCAGTTGTAATATGCTTCACCAGTTGTACTATTGGTTTTGTCCATATTGTGCTAGCTTTAGCATACTAAAGGGCTGAAGTAAGCCCAGTAGGAAGGGCAAGACATGTCACTAATGATCTGCCCAGTAAAAAAAATTAATATGCTAAGGGCTAAGGTAAGCCTAGTAAAAAGACCACAACTTATCCTCAATCATTTGCTGTATAAAATTATTAATATAGTCTCAAACTGAACAAAAACACTCGCTTTACTAGTTGTAATATTGGTTTTGTCCATATTGTGTTATCTTCGGTATGCTACAGGGCTAAAATAAGAAGAGCAAGACTGACCCTTAACAACTTGCACTATAAAACACCAAGTATGATCTCCAACTTACCAGTCGTAATATACTTCAGAAGTTGTAATATTAGTTTGGTCCATATTATGCTAGCTTTAGCATGCTAAAGGGCTAAAGTAAGCCCAGTAAGAAGAGCAAGACACATTACTAACAATCTGCAAAACATAACAACTAAGCATCTCCTTTGACAAGAACATTTCCTTTTCTTGTTGTAATATTGATTTTCTCCATATTATGCTAGCTTTAGCATGCTAAAGGGCTAAAGTAAGCCCAGTAAGAAGAGCAAGACATGTCCTTAATAGGTAAACATATCCGAAACAAGTAAAATGATCTCCAGCTGAGCAAAAACATTTGCTTTAACAGTAGTAGTTTTGGTTTTGTCCATATAATTCTAACATGCTATGGGCTAAAGTAAACCTAGTAAGAAGAGCAAGACTTCTCTTTTGACTTGTAAAACAACTGGCTAAGACTGTCAAACTGAACAGGAACATTTGCTTTATTAGTTCTGATATTGATTTTGTCCATATTATTCTAACATTAATATGCTAAGGGCTAGTTAGCCTGGTAAGAAGACCAAGACTTATCCTCAATTATTTGCTAGATAAAATGATTCATATACTCTCCAGCTGAACAAAAACAGTTGCTTCAATAGTTATCATATTGTTTTTGTCCATATTATGTTGGCAGTAGCATCCTAAAGGTTAAAGTTAGTGTAATAAGAAGAACAGGATGTACCCTCGACAAGTAAACATATCCAAAATATGTAAAATGATCTCCAGCTGAAGAAAAACATTTGCTTTAATAGTTGTAGTTTTGGTTTTGTCCATATGCGAAAGGCTAAAGTAAGCCTAGTAAGAAGAGCAAGACTTATCCCTTCTGACCTGTAACACAACTAACTAATATTGTCCAGCTGAACAGGAACATTTGCTTCATTAGTTCTGATATTGATTTTGTCCATATTATTCTAGTATTAATATGCTAAGGGCTAAAGTAAGCCTGGTAAGAAGACCAAGTCTAATCTTCAACCATCTGAAACATAAAATGATTAATATACTATCCAGCTGAACAAAAACAGTTGCTTCAATAATTGTCATATTGTTTTTGTCCATATTATTTTAACAGTAGCATGCTAAATGCTAAAGTAAGCTCAGTTAGAAGAGCATATCCAAAACAAATAAAATGATCTCTAGCTGAACAAAGACATTTGCTTTAATAGTTGTAGTTGTGGTTCTGTCCATATTATTCTAACATGCTATGGGCTAAAGTAAGCCTAGTAGAAGAGCAACGCTTATCTCTTACAGTTTGCCCTGTAAAGCAACTAAGACTGTTCAACTGAACAAGAGCGTTTGCTTTATTAATTATTATTGATGTTGTCCATATTATCCTAGCATTAATATGCTAAAGTAAGCCTGGTAAGAAGACCAAGACTTATTTTTCATATAAAATAATTAACATAATCTCCAAATATGCAAAAACAGCTGCTTGACTAGATTATCCATAATATTTTAGCGGTAGGCTAAAGTAAATCCACTTTACCTGACCTGTATTCAGTGTTATGGCCTTCCTTTTGATAATGCTCCTTCTATATGTGGGTCGTCCATGTGAGAGCAGGTGTGGATCCAAGGCACACGTGGATAGACTGGAGGAGGTGAAGAAAGAGATTGAAACTTCTGGAACGTACCAGCTTAAAGACACAGAGCTGATATACGGGGCCAAACATGCTTGGAGGAATGCGGCCCGCTGTGTGGGGAGGATCCAATGGTCCAAACTGCAGGTACCGCGCTACATAGCAGCCTTACAGGCCTTACAGATGGTCTCTATCCTTTCCTCAGTTGCTTTGTTTGTTCCTGACCCAATCACATTGTTTATTTGGACAAGAACTAGTTACACAGTAAAAAAGTATTCTTTCAAGTAGAGATTTTCCATTTGATTTATCCTTATTTCCCAGCACGCATTACACTGCTGACTGCTTTAACCGTCACCTCACAGTTTGGGGTCATCAGTCAAGCAAGATTAGTATACAAAACTGAACTGCTGTGAGAGAGTGTGCCTAACTAATTTTGTACCACAATATATATTATGTATTAAAAATTATTGTTAATAAAATGGCAAATGTGTCATAGCTTCAGACTGCGTTAATTGTGATGTGGCTACAGTATGGATTAACCTAAACATACATACATACATACATCATCTAAACCGCTTATCCTTCTGGGTCGCGGTGGGGTGCTGGAGTCTATCCCAGCTGTCATTGGGCGGAAGGCAGGATACACCCTGGACAGGTCGCCAGTCCATCGCAGGGCAACCTAAACATTAAATATAAAAAAAAAAATGACCATTTCTGAGAAACTCTAGCTAGATGTTAGGTCACTAGCATAAATTCCGAAGCTGGTTTATGCAGTTTACGCTGGTCTGATGCTGGTCTGGTGCTGGTTTAGCTGGTCACCCAGCATGGCCATACTGGTTGACCAGCATTCCAGCATTCAAAACTAAACATATACTGGTTATGCTGGTGATAGCGATGCTGGTCTATGCCTTTTTTTCTTGCAGGGTAAGTTAGCAAACAAGCTAGCACTAATAGTAGATCGAGATCCAGTTTTTTTGGCTTTCAATTTTATAGTGATATTTTGATGTTACTTTGATGGTGACTAACTTAATGTTAAAGTTTTGCTGATACACTAAACACAAATGGAATTCAAATGCATCATAGCCAGCTAGTTAACCCTCTGGGGTCAAAGGGCATTTCTTTGATTTTTGCATATCTTCTTAAATTCACCATTAAAGGCCCTTGCATATAATATTATAGTCATATGTTCCATATGAAAATGCTCAGTTGTCTTCGTCCCTACTTTCTAAAACCACTGCGACTGGAAACTTATTGCATGCCAGTTTACATGTTCCCAATGTCAACTGAACAAAGAGTGAAGAGTTTCCGATGTGATGGTCAGTGCTTAGTGATTTCCTGAGTGTCCATTGGTCAGTTTCACACAAAACAGACACATGAATCAACCAGTTACACACAGTGAGAGGCAGATGACGTGTATCTCAGCCCCTCTTCATAACTCCAGATGTGGGTCACGTACGATCTCATGATAAGATGGAATGGAAAGGTGTGACTCTACAGATATAGGACATGTGTGAACCGTATTTCTGCACAATATTGTCACAAAGATATAGAAATATATGTAGAAACATCACATTTGACGCATGGGCGAGTTTGTGGACCCCAGACAGTTAAATTAGCTTATGTTCAATAACAGTGGTTTGCCACAACAATGAATATTGAATATTTTAACTACTGAACACTTCATATTTAGAAGAATGCTTTATAAAACATTATTGATGACTAGGACCCAATCCCATTATACCCCTTGCTCCTACCACTTAGCCCCTAGCACCCCATTTTGCATAGGGTGTCCTGATTCTTGTTAAGACAGAGGGGTAGGGTGAAGTGTTAGGGCTACATGGCCCTCCAAACGGAGGTGTTTCAGAGGCTCACTCCAAACGGAGTGTTATGAGAAAAAGTTATGCCGATGTCTCGGTAGCTAGCTAGCTAAATTTTCTGTTCCACCTTAAATGATGTAGCAGTTACATTCTGGCACCTCGGGCATCAGAACTGCTGCTCCATTTAAGGTGGAATGGGAAAATTCAAACAGGAAGCTAACAAATAGCAGCTTTATATCAATGAGGAATTAGGGGTGGGTAAATAATTATCGCATCCCCCCTCTTTGAAAGCATATCGCTGTTGTTGGAAGAAAACCGTGTTTCTCCAAAATGATAACTTTACAGGAGAAAGAAAAAACCTACTTTACTTTTAATGTAAACCAATGGAACCAAGTCATTTTGGCCCATTTCTATTGGTCCATTCATCATGAAATTTACACACAATGTAAAGGGCAACAGACATTTTCATTTTCAAATATGCCAAAAACTGAAAAACGTTTGAGGGCTGCCCCATTTGATAGGGCAAGATTTCTACCACTAGCCCTTGTAACTCCAAGGCGCAAGGTGACACTCGAAAACAAGGGGTAGAGGTCAAATTAAGAAATGGGATTGGGCCTAGGACTGTCCTGAATAATTTGAATACTTGGGTATGAGTTCGATACACTGGTATTTGTTTCTCTATTTAGTATTTGGAGGTTTTATCTTTTTTTTTTTCAAGAAATAGAAAGAAATGTAGCCTGAAATATAGCACACTTCATTAGCAAAGACCTTTAGAACAATTGATGATAATATATAGAAAATGTTAAAAATAATTACATTTTTGTATTTAAGCTAAAAGAGCAAAGAAAACATGTTTGGGAGCATTTAAATCGTAGGACAATTGGCAAAATGCTCAGTGCAAAATTTGTGACAAGAAGTTGATATTCCACGAAAGCATGACAAGTTTGGTTTATGATCTCGGACAGATATATTCATCCAAGTACCACTTGGACGACTACATACCTTATGAATACATCGTGGCTGCTAACTGGATATATTTTGAACTGGAGTTATGAACATTCTTAAAATTATGGTTAATTACTTAATATAAATGTTATTGTGTTTAAAGGTGATCTTGTGAATGAGTACTATAGCACAGGGTGTCCCAAAAAAATTGACATCATTTGAGATGTGAGTATCTGAGTAACTACATGTCCTGGGCAAACAAAATTAAATAGGCTTCATGTTGAACAACACCAGATATATTTATCAAAATTCAAACAAGAAATTCAGAGGGATGTAGATTTTATCACCGATTTCACAAAGCTTCACAAATTTAATATCTTCCGAGACTGGTGGTCGTCCAGATCCCTTCGCCCTGCACAGACTCTTTGAATTTTGTCAAAATCTGCTTTCCAGTTGGTGCATTTTTATTGAATTTTCTCGAAAATGCACGCTGCACTCTCTTGTTTGACTGTGTTCGAGCATATTCTAACACACACAATGCCTTTTCATTTCTAGTGAACGCCATTCTTCAACCTGAAAAAAGAAAACATTAAAAATTAAACTTGGTTTTTACTCATTTTGTTAAAATTTGAGATCATTTGAGGGAGAATTGGCTGTTATTAGGCTACAAATGATGTCAATTTTTTGGGACACCCTGTATTTGGTGGGAAATACCAGGCATTGAGTATTGGAAGTGTGTAAAATGCTGTTCAGGCCAGCCGATTAGTGACTGAAATGACTTGACCTCATCAAAAATGTACCTTTAATGTCTGGGCAGAAGTTTTTCTGTATTATTCTTATTTTTTTAGAAAAATAATATTTTTATGGTGCATATTTAATAGCCACAGACCTCGCTCTGAAGTGATTGCATGATGATTGTGCTAATAACCGGCTTGTTTTGACTAGGTGTTTGATGCTCGCGACTGCACAACAGCACACGGAATGTTTAATTATATCTGCAATCACATCAAATACGCCACTAACAAGGGCAACCTCAGGTGAGTGGTAGAAACATTTGATATAATGATTACTCTTTCCTTTCTGCTTTTCTCCTCCTTCGCTTTCCACCCCCACTTCTCCACCTCTGCATCCTCTCCAGCCCTCATCATCGTCCTCATTACTTTTTATTTTCTACTCTTTTCTTCTTCTCTTTCCACCCCCACTCCTTTACCTCTGTGTCCTTTACACCTCTCATCATCCTCTCTCTCTCTCTCTCGCTCTCTCTCACACACTACTCTCAGTTTCTCTATCATCTCTCCATCTTTCCCTCTCACTCCTTCACGCTCTCTGTCTTTCATTTCTCACTGTCTCTTTCCCTCAGTCACTCTCAAGCTCTCCATCCATCTTTCTCACTCTCCATCTCACTCTTTGTTTTTTCTTTTTGTATTTTTTTCTCCCACTCTTTCTTTCTCTCTGTCTTTCATTCTCTCTATCTCTCTCTATACATGGCTTTCTTTCCATCTCTCTCCATCTTTCACTCTCCCTCTCCATCTCTCTCTTTCTCTCTCCATCTTTCACTCCTTCTGTCTCACACTTAATACCTCCCATCTCTCTATCCATCTCCCTTATTCTCTTCCTCTCACACATTCTCTCCATCTTGCACTCCTTCTCTCTCTCTCTCTTTTCTTTTTTCCTCTCTTACTTTCTCCATCTTTCATCTTTTAATCTTTTTCTCTTACTCACTCTCAATCTCAGTCTACTGATCTGTCTCGCTTTCTCCCCGCTCTCTCTCTCCATCTTTCACTCCATCTCTCTCTATATCGCTCTCGATTTTCACTATTTTTCATCTCCATCTTTCTCTCTGTTTCCATCTCTCTCCATCTTTCAGTCTTTCTCTCTCACTCTTTCTTTATCCCTCTGCCTCTTCATCTTTCACTCTCTCTCCAGCTTTCATTCTATCTTTCTATCTTTCACTCTCTTCCTCTCTCTCTCTCTTTGTCATGTTCTCTCTCTCCCTCCATCTTTCACTCCATCTCTCTATATCGCTGTTCATTTTTTACTATTTTTGACCTTCATCTTTCTTTCTCTTTCCATCTCTATCTTTCAGTCTTTCTCTCTAACTCTAACTCTTTCTTTTTCTCTCTAACTCTTCATCTTTCACTCTCTCTCCATCTCTCCCTCTCCTCATTTTCTTTCTCTCTTGGTTTCTCTCGCTCCATCTTTCGCTCTATCTCTCTATATCTTTTATTATCTTCATCTCTCTCTCTCTCTCTCTCTCTCTCTCTCTCTCTCTCTCTCTCGCTGTCTCTCTCTCTCTGTATACCGTTCCAGCTTGCCTCTGTTTGGCTGCGTGTCATGCGTTCGTGTTGCTGTCTCTCCTCCTGTCAGTGAGTCCTGTGTGTCCTCTCTTTGTCACCTCGCTCTAGAGCTCCCGCGTACAGAACCTGCCACTGCAGAGCTGAACTCCGCCAGCACTGCCTCTCTACACAGCTAATCAAACACGACACTTAGTCTCTGTTCACTTTAATTAACGTCACTCTAACGCACTGATCAGAGCTCGGAAGAGAGGGGGAAAGGAGAGAGAGTGAGAGAGGTGCAGATGTGAAGAGAGGGAGAGGAAGACAGAAATACAGGGAGAACCCTTTTATCCTCCTTACCTCAGAAGTTTCCCACTCTCCATGCTGAAGCTCCTGCGCTCTCTCGTTACATCATCAGAACCTGCTGGTGGTCTCCCACCTGCCGCTCAGCTCGTGAGCAAGATCGCTCCTCCACTAACAAAGGAATGCACCCAATGCTTTTCAAGGTGGTTGGGTTACCCACATTTCATCCAGTTACTGTAAAAGCTCTGATGGGACTTTCTTTCCCCATCAATAGCCGTGACGCATCACCAAGCTCTGTAATATGAATCAAGTAAAGGAAACGGAATATGTGGTGTGCTGTACATGTTCCAAAAAACACAGAAATGATTGGAAAAGAACTGCATCTTACATGCAGTTAATGCAGTCTATATTGTCTACTTAGACTGTTAATCAGCAGGGTAGCTTATTGTTAAAGGGTCCATAAAATGGAAAACTAAATGTCCCTCCGGTTTTCAGAAATAAAAGAGATGGGAGTAATATGCAAGCATTGTAGTTTCAAACTCTACCATTCACTCTATTCAGTCTAAACAGTCCATAAATGGGAACTAAGCTGCAAAAACAGCCTGTTTTTAATCCATTGAATTCATTCATGTCACAAGAAACTTTTTGGCCAACAGTATGTTGGCTCTGGCCAATTTTTTATTAAAGTTCTAAGCACTCGCGCTATTCTGAGAGCTTTTTGAACAAAGTACAATACAGGGCAGCCAATCAGAACAGAGGTCATTAACATATCGCTGTTGTCAGAACAAAACCTCATATCTCCAGAACGTTAACTTTACAGGAGAAGGAAAAAACCTGCTTTACTTTTAATGTAGGTCAATGGAACCAGACTTTTTTCCAAGTCATTTTGGGCTGTTTCTTTTGGTCCATTCATCATGAAATTTACACACAATGTAAAGGGCAAATTATGGAGATATGGGGATTTCTTCCAACAGCAGCAATATAACAGTTTTAATGGCACAGTAATAAAAAACTGCCTATTTAACTCCCAAAGCACTATATGACCACTAAGTGGACCAGAAAATTAATAAGTATCACTTTTTCCCACTAATGTAAAGGTAAAATTCACATTAGCATGAATGTTAGCCATCCTATTTCCTTTCACTTACCATGAAATGAACATTTACGCCTTTGCTTTGATGATATGGCGGATTAATAGGAAGCAGTATTCAGGTTTATGTTTCTTTTCTGCTTGTTCTCTGTTTCTGGCTCAGCAGCCCTGTACTACCAGTTAAGTTGCTAGTTGTGGCTGTGTTATCATGTACACAGCTTATTTGGTGTTTGCCTGTTTTTGATTTTTATTTACTTATTTATTTCTTTATTTATTTGTCATTTAATTTTACAGAGAATTCTAACCAAAATACAAAGCCTTGATCAATGTATGAAATATAAAACAAACCAATAAAATAGTAACTACTAGCTACTTACAATACATTTGCAAGCACATTTTTGTAAGAAAAAGAAACAGTAATCTCCAAAAATGAAACAGTAAATATGTGTTTTTAAAATGTCAGTGCAGACCTACAAAAAGAAAAAAAAATCTTTATAAATTCCATATATTTAAAAAAATGCTTCTTATGTTGATGCAGGTTTGTCATGACAATGGCCATTAGTTCTTAACGCACTCTGGAAGTGAAAATAATCACCACGTTTAAAGCATTTTTACTGGCTACTGAGCTGTGCATCTGTGCAGGCTTTGTGATTGGCTCTATAGCAGAGTGGTTAACTCACCTGCTCTACACATGAAGGGCTTGGGGCCCAAACCCACTCAGGACAGCACACAACTGCTCTAATATTAGACTATTTTTTCTAATGTATACTATAACAGAGCAGTCAAAGTAAAAGTATAACACCCTGGTCATTATTGTATGAAGTGCAAAACAAAGATAATGAAATATTACCCCCTTAAAATCCCAGGCTTATTACACACTAAGGCTTATTATTCAGTAACTACAGGGACTTCAATGCAAGCTGGTTGAGCTGTTTTTAGGTCAGAAAAAGTGTATAATATAACTTTGGGATGGAGTTGTTGAGCTGTCCATTTATGTATGCTTTGTAATTGGCTCTGTAGCAGAGTGGTTAACTCACTTGCTCTGTGTTACACATGAGGGACTGCGGAGATCAGGAGATCCTGCCACTGGTCTAATATTAAATACAGCTCTTAATGCTACATTCCTGCCAATCAAATTATGTCACTCCCGTGCTGCACACATTTAATGTAATTTAATCTGTCATCACACCCCTAAATGATCAAATCACTTTAGGCTATGCTAAAAATCATTTGCACTCTTTTCAGATAAAAGTGATTCATTCTTCCACCCTGGACTACAAGCAGTGTAATTGCATTTTATGTGCACTCATTATGTTCAAATGAATGGTTTTTATTCTGATGGTACTTCTAAATTTTTATATAATAATACATGAAAAGTACCATTTCAACAATACATCTCATACAAGACAGCGCTGCGGACTAAAGCACTTGAATGCATGGTTAAACGTGTCTGTATGAGAGCAGTGGGAGGCATCAATCTATCAGAAGGGTCTTTGCATTAACACCCTGATCTTTAGCTCTCTAATCTCATAATCTTATCCGCAGGTCAGCTATCACCATTTTCCCCCAGAGGACAGATGGGAAACATGATTTCCGAGTGTGGAATAGCCAGCTGATCCGCTACGCAGGCTACAAGCAGCCTGACGGCTCTGTGCTGGGAGACCCTGCTTCCCTGGAGCTCACCGAGGTGAGACATCACATCACTCCTACTGGAGGAAAGAAATTACAATGCCTGCAGCCTCCTAAGAGTACAGGTTGTCTAGGCTGTCATTTTATTATTATACGGTATCTATTTAATTACAATAAAAAAAATAGGACCACTGCGAAATCAAGAATGATTAAAGCGCTAAAACTCATGTGCCGTGTGTCAGAGGAGACAGCATGCATCCTGAAGCTCCCTTGCTGCTGGCTTGATTATCTGGTGCGTCATTATTGATAATTACAGTGGGAGGAAATTGTCGCTTTTCAAAAATATGTGGTTATTTGTGGAAATTTCTGAAATGTAGACTAAATAACTGCCACTGGGCCTGCTGGAATTTGATGAGGTCTCTTTTTGGTGCTATCACTGGCAAATCTGGGCTCATTCCCAAAAAACAAAAGACATGTTAAAAGGCCTCTACATCAGCTCCCATTCTCCAGCACTGATGTGTATGTGGTCTCCCCCACTGTAGATCTGTATACAGCAGGGATGGAAGGCTCCTAAAGGGCGCTTCGATGTCTTGCCCCTTCTGCTCCAGGCCAATGGCAACGACCCAGAGCTGTTTGAGATTCCAGACGACCTTGTGCTGGAGGTCAACATCACACATCCTAAGTGAGTCATGTCTGCTTACTGTTGTTGTCCTAATTGTCTTTAGCTTTTAAAAGTAGAGCTTTAGAGGTCATTCTCTTCTTTCTTTGTTTAACTGGTAGTTTCTGTGAAGATAGGAATAGTATCATAGAAAACTCATTTTCTCTCACTGTTTTATTTAGTATGTAAATGTTCGAAACTGTGCTATCCTGCTTTGAATTCACAGTCACAAAAAACAATACAGTTACAAATACCCATTTCTTCAGCCTACAGCGGTTTAGCCCCGCCCATGTAGGCTGAAGTTCTGAGTGATTCAGCCCAGACTGCTTTTTGCATGAGGCTTGATATAGAGCAGCCAATCAGAACAGAGCTTATTAGTCTTAAAGTCACGGTAACAAGAAAAGCCTGTTTAATTCTAAAAGAAAAAGAACGGTTAAAGAATGGTCATGCAAAAATGAATTCGGACTAATTAACCACACAAATGCCAGAAAACACACTACAACAAACAAAATAAAAAGCAAGAAAAATATGCAGGAGAAACATGGAGGATGTGGGCACAAACACCTAGAAGATGTCTAGAGTTATTACTAATGTTCTGCTATTTAAATGTTAACATGTAGTTGCACAATTAATCAAATAGTTACCTAAGGAATATATTTCATCAGCAGGTCTGCACTGAGTCTGCACTTCTGAGTTTTTTATGTTTGTTTCAGTGTCAAATAATGGCAAAATCAAGGTTAAAGTTACAAGCGGAAATCATAGTGCATGTTCCGAGATGTATGTCCAAGAGAAATACATTGTCACTGAGGGTCTCTGAGCTAGCTGAGCATTTTCTCTCGATAATAGGTGGGGTGGGGGGAACAAGATGTAACATGATATTATTGGTTTATATTATTTTGTCCCGCCCACTAGTATACATAATCAGGAATTTTTTAGAGGCAGGAAAAAGTGTTAACATTTTACGATTATGGGACAACAAGAATTTGGTCATGTAAATTATGTGATATGAAGAGTCTTGCTTAACATGGCCAAGGACATAAAAAAGGCAAAAAAAAAAATATTTAGGTTGACTTTAAAAGACTTCATACACAACGATTTTTCATCAAATTGAAATCATACACTGCAAAAAATCATATCTCAGAAAGTGACAACATCTTAAATGTAGTCTATATTTATAATGTTTCTCAGAATAATATTATAAGATGATTCAACCTACTTCTACATATTTTTACTTGTTTTAAGAAATCTAATTTGGTGAAAGTGTCCCATTCCATTACTTGTTTGGAGATATAATGCAGAAAATTTTGCTTATTTAAAGAAATGGTGCTTGAAACAAGTAAAATTATCTGCCAATGGAATAAGACAGCCCTTCAATGGACTGTTGACCTGTCCAGGGTGTTTCCTGCCTTCCGCCCAATGATTGCTGGGGTAGGCTCCAGCACCCCCTGCGACCCAGAAAGTAAAATAAAGTATCTTTTTTTGACAAGCACACATGTGGTATGGATTAAATCTACACCTTTGACAGAATTTGTTCACTTGTTTCAATTAAATATTTAAACAAAATGTAAGAACAGGCATGTTTGAAGGCATGTATGCTATGGGGGACCTAGGAGGCTTATATTCTCTGTAAAAACTCTATGCGATCATTACATATCAGTCACATGGGTATCACTATTGTTGTAGTTCCAAGCATAATCTCCCTCAATCCTTCTTGTACACAAACGATGAAGCTGTAAATGTAGCCTTCTGATTCTCAGAGGCTGGCAGAGCGATAGCAACAAGACAGCCATGCTGAGCACAAGCGCCCTGCATGCGCAAGTGAGGGACGCAGGCCAAGTGAGCATAAAACTGGCCCTTTCCCCAGATCCTAGATCAGTGATGCTGCCAGTTTGGCAGCCTTTATGGACACTGATGATGCCTCAGAGAAGCTCAGGGGCTGTTCTGAGTGCTGAAGTACTGAAGCTTTCTGTATAGTGATCTGGCTTCCCAAACTAACATTCCCCAACAAACAGAATGATTCTGAAGCCTCTGGCATTCTTGAGCAAGCAAAAATATTTCAGTGATGCAACACAGATTTACAGAGCTAAAATGGGTTGAATGGACACCTTAATACTACGACAGTGTTGACTAGTCAAAGATCTGTTCGGACGCTTGGATGTAATTAACCTTATCGTACCTGCATTCGATCATCTTATCGACATTACAATCAGAATCTTTGTCTTTGTTCGCTTTAACTCATTAAGCTCTGCTGCTAGAGTGTTTGGTGAGCATGCATGTTGTTCATAGTGAAATGGATCAGTATGTGGAATTGGAGCTTGCTGTGTGCCACTGTAAAAAAGAAGCTCCATGCTGTCTTTATTGGTGGATACACTGTGATAGTTTCTAAGCATGTGCACACACTCACATCAATTCACATCGCTATAGAAACAGTTATTATTTTTTGTTTTCTTTAGAGTAACAATGAAAGGCTGCTGAATTGTGAAGTATATTGCTGTTCATATGCTTGTTCAAACTGGTAGTTTGCAACACAATTTGAAAAATCAATGCATTTTTATCTTTGTTGCATCATAAAATAAATGTGACAAAAGTGTTGGGAAATCACGTTATTACAGGAGAAGAGGAGCATAAATAGGAGAAATAGCTGCTTTTTGGCGTTAGAGCGTTTATAGGATTACACTGGGGATGGAGAAAATAATCGATGCAGTATAATATTGTGATATTTTGGGTTTAGAAATGATATCAACACACAGATATTTTATAATGTAATTATGAATATTTTAAATGGCCATTTTAGGCCATTGTCAAACTAACAGATTACCGAAATGCACTTCTATCTCAATCCATGAGAAGGTGCTGTTTCTTTTAATGAAACCAAGTCCTCTGTCAGTGGAGTTATTATGAACTGGTTGGCTAGTGTAGTGGATTACATGCTCAGCGCCCACGTAAAAGAATGGGGTTTGAACCCACCATTAAGACAGGAATCAGAAAGAGCACTATTATATAACAGAAACACTATAATATACCAATAAAATTCAGTTGGTGAGACGTCACCTGCCATTGCAAATCACTGTAGATACGTGCATCTGTTAAATATTTAAGGATTAGCTTGTTTTAAATGTTCTTCACAAACAAAAGCATCTGTTAAATATGCAGATTTCAATGTTGCTTTATCTACTTCACATATTATGTTTTGCTTTAATAGAAAGCAAGTAAAGTGAAATGAACTCAATTAGATAAAACTATGTTTAATGTTGGAGGAATAATGTGCAGTATTATGCGTAACTTGCAATGTATTGCACTGTATAGTACTGTGAAAAAGTCTTTATTTTCCAGTCAAAATGACCATAAAGTACAAGTAAGTAAATTTTACAGAATATATTTCTGAGAAGATTAGATATGAAATAATCCACTGAGTGTAGCTGTCAAGAAGCCAGTAGTGACAAAAGAAAATACTTGGATTATGAGAAGCAGAAAATGCAACCAACTTCTAAGACTGAACTTTGGAGATGTGGAAAATTTCCCTGCAGATTTCTTTGAGAAACTGAAAGTGAGTCTCCTGAAAGGAACATTAACTGTTGTGAAGTTGAAGGGCGAACATAGTAAATAATGAAACAATATATTATTTATCTAGCTGTTTTGTAATTTTCTGTTAAATTTCCTGTTTTTTTTTTTTTCCCTGACGCTAAAAATCAAACTGTACTTCTATTTAATGGCTGTTTTGATGGTAATTAAATAAATGTAGGAAGGTTTCAGAGTGTCAGACTCAGCTTTATTCAGCTTTATTGTTGTGTGTTCACCTTTAGTAAGAGCACTCTGTGGCTGCCTGGCTGTCTAAAAGCTCAGCCGGTTCTGTAAACTACAAGGATGCAATTCACGTGTTGTTCACATGATTGGTTGCTTCTATTTACGTCTAGTTCGGAACGTCTTTTTAGAATGAGTTTATTCATTGTCAGTCTTTTACTGTTAGCTCTTCATATTCATCATTATTTAGTGATAATTACCCTTTTATTTTGACTTCTCCTCTACATGTATGTGTTGTCCCACTCTCAACCACACTGTGCAGAAAATGAGCCCTCCACTGCAAATATGGCAAACCTGCAGTTCCCACAGACATCTAACTTGTATTTAGGGCTTTTTTGACTGGGAATTAAATCAATAATGGGAGCTATCTGACTTCTGCAGAGAGCTGCATCATATTGCAATACTTAGCATATCACAAATCTTTAAATATCACAGTAGAATTGTATTGTTGTATCATGACAATCTTGTATCATTGCGTCTCCAGCAACTCCCACCCCAGGATTCCATTTGTTAAAGGATTACATCAAAAGTGATTGCTATAGTTAAGGGATAATTACTCTAATATGATGTACATTTTTATGCTGGAATCTACTTAAAGGCATGATAATTGCATTTTTACTTCCAGCAATCAAACTATGTCATTTAGCCACCGTCTTAATCAAGGAATCACTTGCCTCTACTTGTCTAAGTGGTGGAGACACAGATTATAGGCAGGTGCAGTGTACGATGCTGTGACCTGGTGGGGCTTTGGATGCTGGATTGTCTTGTGAGGTGCAAGCTGTCAACAGACCACTCCAGCACTCAGCACCAGCAGCAGCCAGCAGCTCAATTGGCCACTTGTAGAAACACCTGAGAATCCTGCAGGTGCTGGTGGAGATAATGATAGTTTTGGCAGGGTGCACTGTGGGTGCATTTAGTGATGGGAAAATTAAGACAACTAGTTGTTTTGCGTGAGATGGAGCACTTACATGTTGTAAACAACGAAATGTTCGCCTAAGCAACTAAGGGGCCAATTTGTACATCGCATTTAGATATGCCTGAGAATTCTGTTGGCAGCTGTTGGCATTTTATATCTTCTGAGAGAAAAGGGAATAGTTTATCGTTCTTAAAGGGCCAATATCACACAAAACCCAAGTTTTTTGAAATAAGAGAGTTTGATGTAGATTGCAAACACAAAGTTTCAAAATGTACCATACACTTTCCAGTCCAGACATTCCATATATACAAACTATGCTGTGAAAACAGCTTCTTTTTAATTCATTTTTCATTTCTGTGATGTCAGAAAACCAACATGTTTACGTATGTCTGCTTATAAGTTTAGCTTCATCCATTCAAACTGAACTTATAAGGAGTTTTTGGCCTGGACTGCTTTTCTGAATTTGGCATAATAAATGCCAGCCAGTCAGAACAGAGCTCATTTACATGTATCAGTCTTAAAGACACAGTCACAGAAATAGTCTGGTTAATTTTTATTAATAATAGAGAGGTTCAAAAATGATTGCGCAAAAAATGAACTATGACTATCTGTAGTACATACACCCACACATATGTTACCCACACATAAGTGGAAATAATATTGGATATGGACCCTTTATGCTGTCCTCTCTGTTCTATTGCAGCAGAGCAAAATAAACAGCAGATGATCAATCCAACAACAGCCCAGTGTATTTTTATCCATAGACATTTTTTTAGGAGTTATTATTGGTATTTTCCATACTATTCAAATGTAATCACATAATATATTACACGATTAATTACTTTTACATTTGTACCTTCTGTATCGACAGCTTCAAGTCTGCACTTCAGTCTTTTTCTGTTTGCTTGGATGATGATGACAAAAACATGGCAATAATGAAAAGGATGTTTTTCTTTGTACAAAAGACTGCACACAGCTATAACTTTTCACCAAATTAAAGTCAGAATAAAATATCTACCCTTCTACTTATGAACACAAATGCTGTATTAACTGAATATTTAAATGTGGTATTAACTGAAAATTTTATGAACACAAATGTGGTATTAATTGAACATGGATCTGCACTTACAGCACAATTTGTCCCCTTGTAACAGTGAGCAGTCAGTGAAAAATAATTAATATAAAATTACACCATGCGTTTGTTTTTGCTGACGATAACTGTGACCTCTAGCAGATCCTCAACTCCAGGTCAGAGCAGATGTAAAGCAGGTCTGCTCAAACTGTAGCCCACGCTTCAAAGTTGACCTGTGAGGACGTCTGACTTGGCCCGACAGAAAGTTACCCTAACCCAACCCACTCACCTAATGAATATATAAAATATGAATATGCAGTTCTGAAAATGCAATGTAATAAAAGCTACTCAAGAAGCTTCTAAATCTCTATGTAAATGAAATGTCAGTACTACTGAACCAAAGGGTAAATTAAGATGGAAAAACTGAATTTGAATTTTAATTTCGAGAGCAAAAAAGCAATATGAGTGGGAAATTTCAATTCTGACAGAATACGTTTCCATTTTACATATTACATTTTCATTTAAATTTAGCTACTGATGTGTTTCCTTATCTACCCTCTTTATTTGTATATTGTTTTGTCTTTTTGGCCCTCAGTCCACCACAAGACAAATAGTTTTGCCACACCCACTCTAGAGCTCTCGTTCTTGCTTGTTGGTGTACTGTCTTAATTTCATTCGTCTCCATCATCCAGGTTCGAGTGGTTTAAGGACCTGAATCTGAAGTGGTATGGCTTGCCTGCTGTATCTAGCATGCTGTTGGAGATCGGGGGGTTGGAGTTCACTGCCTGCCCCTTCAGTGGCTGGTACATGGGCACAGAGATTGGCGTAAGAGACTTCTGCGACAGTTCTCGCTACAACATCTTGGAGGTACTACACCATAAAAACACTCTTAGACCAGTAATAGAGACACTGTTGACTTTCAGATGCTGTCTTATCATTACCTAATATGGCTACTGATACTACTAAACAAAATATTTGTACAATTTTCCATATAGCCCAAATGTAACTGATTGGCCAAGATATGGTTTGGTTTCTAAAGTTTGGTGCTTTAGTTTTTCACAGTAGCTAGACGGCTGATATAGCCAATGAGTAATGGAATCTTATACCAATATATCAATTAGCATTGTATGAATTGTATGTCTAAATCATTGCACACTTGCCTCAAACTGTGTTGAGTTGTTTAGAATCTCAAATAGACTTGATTTATGTGGTTTCTGACAATGTATGACACACTATTGGCTATAAAAATGGGCAAAAGTACATTGCATAGCATATCGCTGTTGTTGGAAGAAAACCGTGTATCTCCAAAATGATAAGGAGAAGGAAAAAACCTACTTTACTTTTAATGTAAGTCTATGGAACCAGACTTTTTTCCAAGTCATTTTGGGCCGTTTCCTTTGGTCCATTCTTTATGAAATTTGCACACACTGTAAAGGCCAACAGGCATTTTCAAATTATGTAAAAACTGAAAAACAACAAAAATGGAGATATGAGGTTTCTTCTGCCAGCAGCGACAAGCAAGTCTATTTGAAATGACTTAACAAGCAAGTGTGTTGATGCATTAGCCTCATGCCTTCATGGCAAAAGTTATGAATCAAACTTTAGACCCAAAAGATGTCTTGGCTGATTGGCTACCATTGCGGTAATGGGTAAAACCGAGTAAAATTGAGTTTTTTCTCTATTGCTTTAAAGATATCTCAATATTATCCCAACTGAATATCGTTAACTTAACAACAGTGGTTGACTTTCTGTTAGCGTAACCCGTTTGCTGTTATACATACTAATTCGGCATCATGCTAATACAGACCATTATTATGCATTAGTCATGCTTTGCTGATTAAACTGTGACCTGATATTAACCCCAACCGAATATGTAATAGAGCTACTGAGTGGCTGAGTACTGCAACAACTACAACTGCCCACTCCTTACTGCATTACTCATTGTTATGGGAAATAAATGCAGGATCCACTACCCAGACATATGCACTCTAACAATATTAGACAGTGTTATCTTGCCAACTAGATTCCTCTGAGATCATTTATTTGATTACCACATTCTACTCTTTCTTCAGTAACAGTTACTACTGTATATTGTTTCACACCTGCTAACAACCACAGAATCAACAGTGACTTATTATTCTAAAGTGTGAGGATTGAATTCAGTTATGATAGTTATCTATCGACGGAGAGATATCAATCTCTAAGTGTTCAATTGAGAACAGAGGTGTGTACGGTTAAAGAAGTAATGTGTTGATGAGGCATCGCTCCACTCAGGCTTGAAGCTCATTTCCATAACCATTATGTGGAGGAGGAAGTCCACACAGAGGTGATGGAAAAGTACTTAGCCCCCCTGCCTTCACAGTCATGACCAACACCTTTATCTGCAGCTGCTTTTACGTGTGTTCCAGTGAAGTCACGACTGCAAGACTGAGTCGCATTCATGTTTAAAGGAACGATTAAGAATTACTGCTGTGTCCCATTTAAGACGTTTAAGGTGCATTATCTTTTACAACATCTGAATACAAGATGAAAGTGATTATATTGTGCTCTTAAGTGCTGCTTTCTACATTATCTTTGTGGTTATCTGCTCCAACTCAGCTCACGAAGGGCTTGATCATTAGCAAAAAGGGAAAAAACACTAAAGCAAGCAGAGAAAAGAAACCCATGTTTTCTTTCTGTGTAGGTTAATCCTGTTTTTGAGGGCATGCAACATACATTTACATAGTGCACAAAAGTATGTGGACACTTTTCCCCACAACCATCGCAGGTGTATAAAATCAAGCACTTAGCCATGCAGTATCCATAGAGAAACACTGGCAGTAGAAGGGGTCATACTGAAGTGCTCAGTGACTTTAAAGGTGGCACTGTTATAGGATGCCTCCTTTGCCACAAGCCAGTTTGTGAAATTTCTGTTCTGCTAGGTCAACCCTGGACAACTATAAGTGCTATTATTGTGAAATAGGAGCATCTGGGGGCAACAACAGCCCACAGTAAACCACACAAACTCTCAGAGCAGGCTGCAGAATGCTCAAGCGTGTAGTATGTAAAAACACCCATCGCTCACTACAGTTAGTTCCAACCTGCCTCTGGAAGCAACATCATTATAAGAATTGTGTATCAAGAGCTTCATGAAATGGATTTTCATGGACAAACAGCAGCATGTAAGCCTAAGATCACTATGCGCAGTGCCAAGTGTTGGCTGGAGTGGTGTAAAGCATGCCACCGCTGGACTCCACCAGAGGAAACTTGTTCTCTGGAGTGATAAATCACACTTCACTGTCTTGCAATCTGATGGCCGAATGTGGTTTTGTTGGGTAGGAGAACTTTCTACTGGAATGAATAGTGCCAATGTAGGGATAATGGTCTGAGGCTGTTTTTCAGGGTTTGGGCCCCTGTGTTCCTGTGAAGGGTAATGTTAATGCTTCAGCATACAAAGACATTCTAGCTAGCTAGCTAGAATGTCTTTATATGCTGCTAGATAGATAGATAGATAGATAGATAGATAGATAGATAGATAGATAGATAGATAGTTTTTTGATCCTGAAGGAAATTTAGCAGCCGATAGCAGTCACACCGCACAGGACAATAATAATAATAATAATAAGGGTGAAACAATATATAAGGAAGAATAAATATAAAAAATCCTATCTACAGGCATATATACAAATAGAAATATACAAAAATCTGGAATAGTATCTATAACCTGAGATGAAAAACGCAGTGCAATAATGACTGTACAAGGAGGCGCAGGTAACGGCATATAATAAATAAATATACTGAATAAATATGTGCATATATTGGTACTGAAATAAAGTGTCTAGGTGTGGAGTGTGCAGATGTGCAAGATGCGCGATAGGGGGTACAGAAAGTGCAATAGGTACAGTAAGGTGAATGTGCAGATGGATGCGACCATGTCCTTGTGAACCATGAAGACATGGTTTGATGAGTTTGTTTTGGAGGAACTCCAGTGGCCTGCACAGAGCCCTGAACCCCAACCCGACTAAACACCTTCAGGATGAATTGGAATGTCGATTGCAAGCCAGGCCTTCATGGTCAACATCAGTGCCTGACCTCACAAATGCCTTTTGACGGAATTGGCACAAATTCCCACAGACACACTTTAAATCCAGAAGCATGAGAACTGAAACATCATCCGCATCAGCATTTATTCTCAGATCATTTACTACCTTCACTAATGCTGTGGGTTGCTCTGAAGCCAGAGTGGAATACTTTAATGGATAATGTGTTCATTTCAGAAACCATTAGGCTGTGAGAAGATTTCAATTATTTTACTTAAAAATGAAAGGTTAGAGATTCGTCTGTAATTGATAAGAACTGAGGGATCAAGGTTATGTCTCTTCAATAGTGGTCTTACAGCTGCTGTTTTGAGTGTGTCTGGAAAAGTGCTGGTTTGGACAAAGGCTGTCAAATACTTCTTTAAAAAATGCTGTTAGGATCTATAACACAGGTAGGAAAGTTTAGCTGCATGACAGCTTTTTGAAGTTCTGCCTCATTATAATTTTTAAAACTATTCATAGTGTTTTGCTGTTGAATAAAAATAGAGTCTACTATAGGCAGTTTTGGAGTTATGCAATGTAACCAAATGTTAGTGATTTTTGTATTAAAAATCATGCAAAATCATTACATTTTGAAGTTGAAGCCCCAGTGAGATAATCATTGGTTAATTTAGGATTTAACAGGTGATCAGTTATTGAAAATAAAACTCTTGGGTTGTGTCCGCTGTCATTAATAAGTTTTGAGTCGTATTTCTGCCTTGGTTCATGCTGCATTGTTATAAATATTAATACAATTTTTAAGAATTTCATAGTGAACAGTTAGTTTAGTGTCCTCCATTTTCCTCCATTTTACTTCAGTAGCTTTGTTGTCTGAGGCTTCATCAACATGAAAATTAAAATCACCAGCCAGAAGAATCCTATCATAATATAATGATTGCAGTACATTATAGCAACTTTACTTCAGAATGTTATACACTATGTATTTTTACTGGCATATTTTTTATTATTACTATTATTATTATTATTATTATTAGTAGTAGTAGTAGTAGTAGTAGTGGTATTAATAGTAGTAGTAGTGCTAGTAGCAGTAGTCAGCAAGTGCACACTTTAAAACTTCCCCCATAGGTGGGGTTGATTGTAACAGACTGAGGGGCTAGTTGTCAAAGTCTGGTAAATTGATGCAAAACACAATTAATTTAATGCAATTCTATGTTTTTGTACCAGACAAACTTTTCAACCTAAATGTATAAATATATGTGCATAAAAAATACAATTATTGTGAAAAAAAGGTTACAATTATTTTTGACCACAGAGTAGAAAAGCAAATATGACTGATAAAATATATAGTGAACTATTCATGAATCTGTGCTTAAAAACCAAACCATTTTAACTGGTTTTAATTTATGGAGTTCTTTCATTCTTTAATTTGGGAGGCTTAGTTTTTAAGACTTTATAAAGCTTACTCCATGGTGTGGAGGCTGTACTAAGGCCTGGCAAGCTCACTGTAGGTTAAGGACTTTAAAATGGTGCTATACTAGAGCCACCAAGACAGTCATTAATATAAGCGTGAATTCTGTGAATTGTATGCACAAGTTAGTAATCAAAGAACATTTTTACATTGAAAAAGTTATTTTTATGGTACAACTTCACTGAAAAGGTACTTTCAGGATGAAATATGTGTCTGAATTCTGTGAAAGTTGATTATGTTGATATGAGAAATTGACCAAAAGCATATCCCAGTGGAACCTGTTTAACTACATAAAATAACTGTTACATTTTATCTTTCATTGTGCCCCACTCTCCCCTACTCGTTATGATTATTTTGTTGTTGTTATTGTTGTTGTTGTTGTTGTTTAATTGCAGTATTGTTAGGAGCTTGCACAAAATTTCACTCATCTTAAATACTGTGTATTTGAAAAAAATGTAACTCAATTAAATCTTACAGGAAGTTGCCACTATGATGGGGCTGGACACCAGGAAAACGTCCTCGCTGTGGAAGGACCAGGCACTGGTGGAGATTAATATCGCTGTTCTCTACAGTTACCAGGTGAGGACAGGATGGGAGAATGTTTACTACTTTTACTACATATAAAATTACATTATTACAATTTTTAGTGTGATCGTATGGTGAAGTGTCACTCACTGGGCCTTTGTTTTGATGTCTGATTATGCTTAAAAAAAAAAAATAATCAGTTCCAGAAACTAATCTGGATCCCTGACACTTTACATTTCTCTGATTATGCATAATTGGCTAAATCTTCAAAGTTGAGAGCTATTATAGTCATTTTGTCATACTATTTAAATGTAATTACACACATGACTAATCACATAATTATATACATTTTATTTGTATTCTGTATCAATAAATTCAAGTCTGCGATTTCAATGATGACTTTTATCAAATTCAAAACATAAAATATCTTTTCTTTTACTTATGAACACAAATCCGTTGATAATGCATCTGCACTTTCAACAAAAGTTCTCCACTTGTTTCAGAGAGAAATAATTTATGTTAAATAATGCCATGTTTTTGTTATCACAAGAGACTTTTCTTGCATTCTATTGTCTTAATTATTTTCTGTAGAAGCTATTAGGAAGTGTAAAAAACTCTCTATAACTGGTAGATTCCATCATGGCTTTTACTGTGTTTCGCTATAGGTGTCAAAAGTGACTATCGTGGACCACCACTCAGCCACAGAGTCCTTCATGAAGCACATGGAGAATGAGTTCAGGGTGAGAGGCGGTTGTCCGGGCGACTGGGTTTGGATCGTTCCTCCAATGTCCGGCAGCATCACGCCCGTCTTCCACCAGGAGATGCTCAACTACCGCCTCACGCCCTCCTTTGAGTACCAGGTAACTGAAGTGAAGGAGGTAAAACACAACCAACAGTGATGCACAGAAGTGAAAATAAACAAAAAACAAAACTGAATTTCAGAACACACCTGCCTGAAAATCGAAACCAAAAAAAAAACTCACAATAAATTAAAACAGTTCAAATACAATAAAAGTAATTAAATTATAACACTAAACAGGCAACAGAATGTGCCATGTAATCCAGTGTTCATCCAAGGCAATAAATTCCATAATTTTTAGTTGCACTTTGCACTTTGGCAAGAGTGCAGATAGTGTCAACGTGCTCGCAGGGACTTTCTGCTTCTGATGTTTTGTATTCTGTATGTTTTGTATTCTGTATATCAAGCAGGATGTCATGGTTTCTAAGTGGTGTCAAACCTGCAGTGGAGATGTTGCTCCCCTTCTTAATACTTGGCATTAACAGTGACAAGAACACTTGTCTAATATCCTTAATAATAAACTGTGAAATAGTTCTGACATGTTCACTGTTTATCTATTTATCTGTTTATCTTCTGCCGCTCAAATTGTTTGAACACATCTGCACTGACTGGCACAAGAGAGTGAAGGAAAGGAATAGCAGTTTTAATGACTCATTTTCATTACCATTAAAATTATCTGTAATGTCTTAACGGAGTTATGAAAGAACATAAGTTGGGGAGAGGGACCAAGCCCAAAACTCCTCTTCCCCACCACTGCCCCATCTTCTCAAACTCTTCCACAACTGCTCTCTCTTACTGAGCGAAAAGTTGGGTCCATCTTCCTCGACCACAGCAAAGATGCCTGGGATGTGGTTCCACCTTGCAGATGCTGCATTTCATGTTGGCAGTCAATGGCATTCTGACTATTCGGTTTGTTTCAATGGAGCAGCGACGGACAATTCCAGCAGTGGCAAAGGTCCGTCAACAGTAGGAATTTCCCAGCTGTTTTCATTGCATGTGTTGGTCGAATAAACCATCAATGCCAAATGGATCATTGTTGAAGTCCAGGTGAACCCAGTATTATACAATAAAAAACAGAACAGTACAGAACATCCTGCTGCCTTTTCCACCTTAAACAAACAACATACACTGCCAAAGCTCTCCTCCGGCAATCATCCATTTTAATGTTCAATGCTGGCACTATGCCAGTACTTATGTGGCTTCATGCTGCCATCAGTCGTGTACCTCTATGAGGCACGGAACTACCCTTTTTCATTACCAACATGTAAACGCAGCATTAGATTTTGATACTTCATTGTAGGCTTTATTAATCGTTTTTAGAGTTAAGGTTTTTCAGAGTCATTCTATACATTTCAAGTGGCTGAAATTTTAGTCCGTCCCCAATTTCCACATATTTGTGATTTATCAAAACCTTAAAATTCTTTTTTTTTCTTTTGCACCTAAAAATAAAAAACAGCTGTCCTTTAAATTGTGTGAAGATGTCAATGAATGGACCGATAGTAATAGTTTAAAAGTATTTGGAATAAAATCCCATTACGTTAACTTACATTAAAAACATGACATGTTTTTTCTTCTTTACTAAAGGTTCTGTTTTGTAGATTAAAGGTTCTGTTATGACAGCGATGCCACATTTTGGCTTATTTAGTGCCAGCACTGACAAAACAAAGAGACAATAGAAATGAAGGAGGCAGCTCTTTTTTATTTATGTTGTTTTGTTTTTGCTGCATTACACTTAATGTACAATAAACCTGTGGCATTTTCTCTTTCACTGTTATGCTAAAATGGTGAAATGATCATATGTTTCCTTTTATCGCTGCACTGTCACAAGTACAAAAGCTTCAGTTTGCGCAGTACAGCCTTAAACTCTCAAAAAAGAAAAATGAATGTTTTGCTTCTGAGAAAAGGCAGTTTTTCTCATTACACTTTCACATTTACTGATTAAAAGAATTCAGTGATAGTGTTGATGAAGCTGCTCTGAGCTTAAGGATTCTCTCTTTAGAGATATTCAGTGTTTAATTGTCATAAGTAATGTTTAGAAAAGAGGAAATGGAAAGAATGCTGAAGTGAACCATGAGTGTCTCTCTCACTCTCTCTCTCCCTCTCCCTCTCTCTCTCCTTCTCTCTGTGCAGACCGATCCATGGAACACTCATGTGTGGAAAGGAGTGAACGGAACACCCACGAAGAAAAGAGCAATTGGCTTCAAGAAACTGGCTAAGTGAGTCTGCGGGGAAGGACCTTGGATTGATGTTTGTTTCCTGTCTTTATTTTCACTAAACGCTATAATGAAAAAGCTTTTCACAGTAAGGTCACGAGGCTCCTGACCGCCATCCTACTTACTCTGTGCTCCACAGCCTTGATTGGCCTTTTTTACCATGATTAAGATGGACCACCAGTGCTTTAGAAAGATGCTACATTAATGTTTGCCCAAGGCTGTTTTTACACCTAAAAGTCTGAACCAGAGTTTGGGTTTTGGTGACTTTTTTAGAGTTGTTCCATAAGATTGGTGCCAAAATCACATGCCAGTTTGAAAATTTTTCATGTCAATAAATCACATTTTTGTCCACTGTAGATTTAATTATGCTGTAGATAATAACATTGCAGAGTTAAAGCAGTCACATAACACTGTTGACTGTTTTTTATAGATTAATTGGGTTTATTTAGTAATTCAAGGTTGCTATGGTGTTGCCGTGAGGTTGCTATGGTTTTCCAGCTTGTCATTAAGGCATTGTTCCAGGGTTTTTAGGAGGTTGTTAAGGTGTTGCTAGGTTGTTGCTGTGGTGTCCCAAGTGGTTGCTAAAGTGTTGCTAGGCAATTGCTATGGTATCCCAGGTGGTTGCTAAGGGGTTGCTAGGCCATTGCTATGGTATCCCAGGTGGTTGCTAAGGGGATGCTAGGCAATTGCTATGGTATTCCAGGTGGTTGCTAAGGTGTTGCTAGGCCATTGCTATGGTGTCCTAGGTGGTTGCTAAGGTGTTGCTGGGCAATTGCTGTGGTATCCCAGGTGGTTGCTAAGGTGTTGCTGGGCAATTGCTATGGTATTCCAGGTGGTTGCTAAGGTGTTGCTAGGCCATTGCTATGGTATCCTAAGTGGGTGCTAAGGTGTTGCTGGGCAATTGCTGTGGTATCCCAGGTGGTTGCTAAGATGTTGCTTGGCCTTCCTGTGAGATGTGAACATACATTTTAGTAATAATATGTTAAATGCGACATGATAGAAATATATGAAAGAGTAAATGAGTAAAAATAATAATCTTTATTGCTGGGATGCTTGAATGCTTTTGTGCTGGTGTTTTTTTGTAATTGATCTGTCGACAGAAACCTGAACCTGTGTAAGAGAAACACTTTAGTCCGAAGATTATTATTTATTTATAGCTGATATTAAGTTTAACCAAAAAAGCACTATGGTAACGATTCTGTGAGTGAACCTGGTATTTTCACCATGCTAGGTTAACTCTGAGCTAGCAAAGTTAGCTTGGATTCTGTTGTCTGGCCTGTGTAAAGACAGATATTTTAAGCTTGTAGCAGGAATGCAGGTATTACATTTACTAGGTAAGTTGCAGTTATGCATTAACTCTTTCTTCAAAGGCTTGAACCCAAAGTCTGTCTTTTACCATTAGCCTGTTAGGTTCCTGCTGAGCTGCTCAGCCTAACATTACTCTGGTGAGGCCAGAATTTAGCCGGTTATAAAGAGAGCCAACAGCGTAAACTTATTAAAGAAAGTCCGTTGGCAGCAACCAGTGATGTTCAACTGCCAATTCATCATCTGGTGGGATTTAATGGGCACAGATTTCAACAATAACACCACGTTTGAGAAAGGCATGTTCTAATATTGACTTCACTCGTTTGGTGCTGACCATCATAAAACTTCGTTCCCCCTAGCAGCAAACTGAATCAGGGTTCACTTGTTGGAAGCGAGGTGATTTTTGGTGGCCCCAAGACAGGTGGAGCATTCACAGCTGTCCAAATAGACTGAACTGAAGAAAAGGTTCGATTGATCCAAAGCGGATGTGAAAGTGCCTTAAGAGCATATTGTGTCTGTTTTCCTGAATTTTTACGTTAAGTTGGCAGTGTTTGAGCTGGGAAATGAAACAGAGCCCCTCAGCAGTGTAGCTCACTCAATCATCTTCGAGGGGCTAATCAGGACTTTGTTTGGAGCCTTTTTTATCTTCTCTCTCTCTCTTCTCGTAAGTCACTGTAATTACTTACAGGATGTTAGTAGATGGGTCTCTGTGGTTTCATCGCTGTTGAAACAGGGGGTTCCTGTTGAGAGGCAGTTGGGTGGAGAATGAGAATGAGGATGCTGTTTGGCATGGAGAGAAGCAGTTTTTTGTCAGTTTTGCTGTTGACAATGATGTATTATGTAGTGTTTTGCTAAAAAAAAAAAAGCCGGTTCCATTGTGTCTCCGTTAAATGAGCGTCACTCTCTAACTTTTCTCTCCATTGTTCCTGAGGTTGCTTGCAAAGCAGCTTTTGCAGAATTGGCCTGTCCATGCTCCGCCAACAAATGTGTTCCTCTGAAGAAAATGTAGCAAAGTCAGACAATGCAAACATCCCATTCAACCCAATGAATTTAGGTTGGAGTTTTGATGTTCCAGTTGAAAATGCTGCACTGCTGAGCTGGACTATGTTGTTGTAGATAATTGAAACTAGTCAGGTTGGAAACAATAATGAGAAGACATTCTGATTCAATTCATTTATCAAGGCTGTTACGATGTAGACATAAAATGATATTGCAGGCATTGAGGCAAACTTTAAAAATTAGAACATAAACATGAATTGTTCATTTACTTTATTAATTTTTTTAAATTATGCCTTATTGTTGGAGTGGAGGGGGCCTCTACAGACTCTTGTGCCCAAAGGCCTTTGCAAGACCATGATCTGTCGCTGCATATCAGTATCAGCTAATACGCAAGCTGTCAAAGTGGTGTTCTGTCATCTCTAGTTTGAACACAAACTGAATTCAGTGCTACAGTTTCTCATTAGGTTGAATGCGATTTCTGCCAACATTCCATAAAGCTTGTCCAACCTCAGAACAGCTCCTATTAAAGAACGCATTCATGGGTGGAGCATGGACGGGTCAGCCCCTCCCCTGTCTCAATTCTCAATCCGTACATAAAAATTCTGTGAACGTCTATTGATATAAATGTCACAGACGTGCTCATCTGAGAATGAAGGTTGATGGATTCAGCACGAACAGTCACACACGAAGAGATTAGCTGATGTGACCAGCAGAATGGCAGCAAATGGCAGCAGTTGGGTCATGTACAGGTTCAAGCACACAGTCTGTGGCACGCTGACCAGAAAAGATCATTCAGGCTCTTCAGAGGAGAGAAATTCAGTAACTGTTATTTCCAATAAAAAAAAAAATTTCATGCTGCTCTAGTAGACAATAAAAAACTTTTTTTTTTGTTTCAAACACTAAAAAAAATGGAACCAAGGGTTTTGTTTGACTTACACATTGACAAAATGTCAACATTATCAAAGTGCCTTTATGCTGACTCTACTCTGTCCTAGTCTTATTGATTAACTGGAAATGTGTGGACTAATTACAATGATTTATTTGAACAGCTGTGGAAAAAAGTTAAAAATGTCAGCTTTTCAGCTTTTTGCACATAGCAATGACACAATAAGGCTTTCTAATTTCCAGGAAAGTGCAATTTAAATTCATTTTGTGCTGAAATTCTATTTCTATTTTCTTCTAATTCTTTTTCTAGAAATTAAATTCACTAATTCCACTAATTGTTCAAAATTTCTGCATGATTCAGTCACTGAAAAGGGAAGTCATTCAGAGTGATTTGATGTGAAATGTTTCATTGTGGAGGAACTTACCAACTCAGATTTCTTTACAGTGGTGGTGATAGGAACCAGGAGTCACAATGACTACAACAAATATTATTTTATTTACTATCCAAAATGAACCAACCAATTGAACCAACATGTGTCTCCTGAGATTTTATATGTAATGTTTATGATAGTAAAAAGGGAATATTTTGCTTCACAACACCCTGCATTAATCCTCCATATCATGAAATAGTGTCTCAGACATCAGCCCAAGGATTAATAACTAATATAATAACTGCCTGTGAAGAAGCTTTTGGACGCGTTAAACAGTTCAGATGTCTGGTTCCTGTCACCACTACCGGGAACAATTTGGACTCTCTTGATTTTCTCTAGAATGGAGCATTTCACATCAAACCAATCTGAATGACTTTGTTTACATCTCAACCATTTAATAATGTAGAAGTTTAGAAAAATCAGTGAAATTCTCCTTTAAGCTCACAGAACACTTGTGTAATAGTGGAGACATGGTTGGCTCTTTAAGCATTTTGCTCGTGATGCACTAAAGTTACTATTAAGTGCCATGGAAGTTGGTGGCGTGGTGGCGCAGTGGGTAGTGCTGTTGCCTCACAGCAAGGGCCTGGGTTTGCAGGTGACCAGGGTTGTCTCTGTGTGAAGTTCGCATGTTTTCCCCATCTCTGTGTGAGTCTCCTCTGGGTGCACTGTTTTCCTCCCACAGTTCAAAGACATGCAATCAGGTGAAGATGCTAAATTGGCCATAGATGTGTGTGTGAATGTATATGTGTGATGGAGTAGCAACCTATCCAGGGTGTTACCTACCTTTCACCCAATGAGCACTGGGATAGGCTCCAGTAGCCTTATGAACTCCTATCCCCTAACCTTATGATCTGCTGTCTGTAGAGCATGAACTTGTCTTGCATTCTTGATTCTATATTTGTACCTCTTCTCTTACCTCATCTCTTTCTGTTTATGTGTATTTCTAGGGCTGTGAAGTTCTCAGCCAAGCTCATGGGCCAAGCCATGGCCAAGAGAGTGAAAGCCACCATTCTATTCGCCACAGAGACAGGCAAATCACAGGACTATGCAAAGACCCTCTGTGAGATTTTCAAGCATGCTTTTGATGCAAAGGTAAGATTTCCTGTTTTTGCAGCACTTCAATTAAAACAACAGACTAAAGCTGACAAACTAACTAAGAAACTGTACTTTTTACTGTACACAGCTCTGTGTACCACTGCACACACACACAGTAGCAGGCTGTATGGACACTGAATGTCCTGTATGGACACTAAACGTCTCTTTTATTTTGATACATTGAGTTGCGCTTTCACTCTAAAGCGAGCCAATGTGATAGCTTGGACAGTACAAATGTGTTTTTTGTCACTATCTCTCTTCATCCCGTGTGGTAAATCGCCTAGAGACACGCAGAGAATTTACTCAGCCAAGCGTTGCACTTTGGTTTAAGATAAGATCACAAACCACCCCGAGGTGTTTGAGGTTTCGGAAGAAAAAAAACACACGCGCAGCATCAAAACAGGAAAACTCAGTCAAGTGTTTCTGCTCCGGGACGGCGTGCGCTCTTGATGTGATAAAATAATCAATCATGCTTGTGTGATCTTGTTGCTCTTACGTGATATAGATGCAGATGATTTGGATGCTGCTCTCTATCCTCCATCTCTCTCTCTCAGTCTCTCGGTCTCTCTCTGCTCTTCTCTGTCTCTCATGGTGTCCTGAAGGCATTCACTATATAACTCCCACTGCCACATCAGCACTGTTATCTCTACACATTAGCACCTTGTTAAAAGCTGAGTAAAGAGTTCATTAGTTCATGTTGTTGTTCATATTAAAGGGCCCATTTTGTGGAAAATAGACTTTTTCTTGCATTGTTTTTTTAAATTTGATGTAATCTGTACAAACATTCTCAAACTTTTAACAACTTTATGAATTAATTGTTATTGTGATGCCATTAAAACCAATGTATTCACAGTTTGAATAACTCTAATTTTCTAAGTGAAAACAAGGTAACACATCCTCTACCAAGAAGAAACCTAAATATGGATTTTCTGCAGATTTTAGTGCACAATTCCTATATTGTTTTAGTTTAACATATTGAAAAAACTGAACATGAAATATAAAATGGCCGTAGCTTTTGCCATATTATAGGTTATATTTTTTTCCGGTATGTTAAATTTAGGAAATAAACTGTATTTGTGCATTAGATGGTCCTTTGTAGATGATTAACAATCTCTTAACAGATTATCAGTAACACATCAACAAAATATCAGTGAAGTAGAAGTAATGAAGAATGTGAATGAAGCATCTGTTGATACATTACTTACATTAAGTAGATGTATTGTTGATATGTTCCATGAAGTAGACTAACTTTTACCCCCTTAACCCTGGCTCTAATCCTAACCCTAACCTTAACCTCAGCCCAAAACACAATCCTAACCCTCAGCCTTGCCTTAATTGTAACCCTAACCCTAACCTTAACCTCAACCTCCACAAGTCTGTATATATATATATATATATATATATATGTGTGTGTGTGTGTGTGTGTGTGTGTATATATATATATATAAAAAATAGAGAAATATAGAGGTTGGAAAATGGCCAGATTAAGACAAATGTCCACATAAAACCAGTTAGACTTTCCTGTTAGGGTCCCACGTCACTGCTCTATGGCCCACTGTGGGTCTCAGACCCACAAGCTGATTCAAGCTGAAGTATGAAGTGTATGAAGTGTAGCTGTTTGACATTGTGACTTTTCCGCAGGTCATGTCAATGGAAGAATACGATGTGGTGGACCTGGAGCACGAGACATTGGTGTTGGTGGTCACCAGCACATTTGGAAACGGGGATCCGCCAGAGAATGGAGAGGTGTGTGATACTGCTGTTCCATAAAAGCTGCTATCCTGTTGTTACTACTGATTTATTCATGTATTTCTCCACATTTCTGATTGCTAGGAATCACACCTGCACTTGTTTTGAAGGTGTTTTTGATAATATCACTCCAAATATGTGTAGGATGGGTGAGTGACTTTTTGTTCTCTCTCTCTCTCTGTAGAAATTTGGTGCGGCACTGATGGAGATGAGGCACCCTACCACCAGCGCAGAGGACAGAAAGTGAGCTTATGTGTGTGTGTGTGAGAGAGAGAGAGAGAGAGAGAGAAAGAGAGTGAGTGTAGATAAGTGAGTGAGTGGCTCTCTCGTCTTCCTCCTACCCATCTGCTTTCTCATAATTAATTTGTGTGGTGTCCTCTGCGCACACACGCAGACAGACAGACTTCAATTTACATGCAGTGTTAAAATGTTTCAAAACATCAAAAACGGTTGGTAACTGGGGAGTTTGATTTTTTTCCTGCACGTATTTCCAGACTGTGAAGGCTTTTCAAATAGATTTTGGTGCTGCTTTTGAGACAAACTTGATGCAACCCTCATGAATGATTTTAAAGGATTGTAAATTTTAAGTTGAGTGTTTACTTGGTGGATCTGACCTATAAACTCTTTAAACAGAACGCTTGTGCTTGTCTATATTGGTCATAGTACAGGGGTCGGGAACATGCGGCTCTTTTACTGCCCTGTTGTGGCTCCACAGCAGAATTAGATTAGATGAATAAAATAATCCTCCTTTGCAGTAAAATAAAGCTCTGCTGAACATTTTAACAGCGTTTTAACAATAAATTGTCTTAAACCTCGGAGTTAATGTACAACTGCTGATTCACCCTTTAACCCTGAAGATTGGCACGCAGACTGCTGGTCACCATAGCAACGACAACAATCTCGCCTAGCTAGTAGCTAATGAAACGGCAAAGAGAAAGATTTAAGATGAACATCAATAATTTGGGACTTATTTGCATTTGTAAGCACTCAGCTGGTTTCCTGATAAGTTTAATCTGCAACGAGAAACTGTCAAACACTAAAAGTCGGCAGCTTCTTGTTCGAATTGTCCTGTTCCTGTTTAAGGTGGAACGGGAAAATTCGAACAAAAAGCTGGCGAATGAGAAGCTGACTTCAGCCTCATAAAAAGAACGTTGAGAGACATTTTACAAGAAACTCTTCCACTTTTGAGGAAAAGTTTCCTGTCAGAGATGTGAGAAAAGTGGTTATAACTGAGCAAAGTAAGTCTGCGTTTTCGTTTTTATGATATTTTCAGCCTATACTAGTACATTAGCACATACAGAGACATATTCACAGCCAAGATGGTAAAATGTACATAAAATATTGTGGCTCCCAAGGTAGTTTGATTTTTGTTGAAAGGACAAAATGGCTCTTCTTAACATTTGGGTTGCCGACCCCTGTCATAGTAAGATGGACCAGCATGTGGAATTGGAGTTTTCTGGGCCTGTTTACACCATGCATTAACATGCATTTTCGGTGATCGGATCATGTTTCGGAATTCACTGCTAAACACCGTCAGGACGAATTGTGATCAAATTATGATTGGACCACTCAGTGTAAACGGAATGTATTTTCAACATCCGTATAGAATTACAAGTGGAAATGCATCTGGCAGGGTGAGAGAATCAACAAAGAAATGAAAGATAGAGGATACACGAAGCTAGAGTTCCCCAATCCAAAAGCCTTCTCTTACTCTGGGCTAATGAAAGTGTCCAACCCCAGCTTGTGGAAAAAGTGGGTAAAGTAAAAAAAAAAGGAAAATGAAATAGCACGTGTGGATGTGCTTTCTATGCAGGAAAGTAAAATCGGATCTCATCTGGTCACACTGGCAACACATTTTAGTGAAAAGTGTAAATAGAATCGTGCCAAAGTTTATCCAGATACAATCCAGATATGAAGCACATGTTAGACTGGCTCTCTGTGTGCTACCATGTTTTCTATCACTGTATAAAATATGCTCCATGTTGCCTTTATTGTTGGAAGCACTCTGATCGTATCAACATATTACATATGCATACAAGACATGTACATAAAAGCTAATTTCTTCTAAGCTAACTATATAATCATTTCTTTCTCTTTTTGAAAGGAGCTACAAGGTGCGATTCAACAGCGTCTCCTCTTATTCGGACACCCGCAAGTCCTCCAGTGATGAGCCCGAGTCTAAGGCAAATTTTGAGAGCACAGGACCTCTCGCCAATGTCAGGTACTTTACAGCATCATCTATATACTCTGTTTACTATATATCATATTTATATAATGCATATCGGACACTGACGCTTAAATATATACACATTATTATCACGTGTAACACACTATAAGTACTCACATGTATACTACATACAGAAAATATTATTACTGTTATTATTACTGTTACTGGGACATATTATACTTACATATACTGTAGGTACCCACATATGTATATATAATCCATATAGGCCATAGTATTGTAGTTACACACACTGCAGGAATGCATATGGCACAGGTTATTATTATATATACTGTAGGTACGTATATATAATACATATTGGAAATAATATTATTACATACTCTTTGGGTGCTTTTATATAGTCATATGCAAAAGTTTGGCCGCCCTTGTTTAAATGATATGTTTTGTTTATTTTCTCAGTGCAAATAAGTTGCCACATCCTCTACAGAACACACTTCTGCACATTTCAATGTAAAATTACTGTTTATTTGCTGTATTGAACATATTCAGGGAAAAAAAAAAACATTAAATCTGGTATGTGCAAAAGTTATGGTGCATTTATGTTTTCCAATATGTTAAACTCAGCAAATAAACATAAATGGAGCACTAAAATTATTTTTTTGCTCCATGTAAAGAATGTGTCAATTTATTTTCACTCTGAAAATCAACCAAACTTATAATTCGACTGGGGGTGTTCAAACTTTTGCATATGACTGTATAATACATATGGGACATGCATATGATTTGTTTTTGCTTCTACGTTTTTTGTCCCTGGCTTGTGGGTACACCCACACTCTGTATGTGCATGTGTTTTAAGTGTGTGTGTGTGTGTGTGTGTGTGTGTGTGTGTGTGTGTGTGTGTGTGTGTAATATCTCATTTCCAGCTCCTGGTCTTTTGCTTTGGAAATCCTCTGCACGTCTGTTTGTGTGTATAGCTCTCTGCAGTGTGCTCTGTGTTATTGGCCTTGGGGTGCAGGGCCTACCCACACTTCAGCCTGCGAGTGAGACAGAGAGAGCGTAACCGACTCTTTCTCCCTCTGTGCTAGGTTCTCGGTGTTTGGCCTTGGCTCGCGGGCCTACCCACACTTCTGTGCATTTGCCCACGCAGTGGACACGCTGTTCGAAGAGCTTGGGGGGGAGCGCATCCTCCGCATGGGCGAAGGAGACGAACTCTGTGGCCAGGAGGAGTCCTTCAGAACATGGGCCAAGAAAGTTTTCAAGGTACAAGGAGCCATACTTATCCATACATAAACACATATATATTTATATATATGTGTGTGTGTACAGCTCTGTGTAAACGTCAGAGACCACACTTTCATTTATTTAATTTCCAGTCAGTTTAATTTATTCTCCCGGTCCAAATAATCCCAAACACATTCAGTGATGCTGAGGTCTGGACTCTGGGGTGGTCAGTCCATTGTTCTGAGAACACCAGCAGCTTCTTTGTTTAAACAGCAAATTTTCTTCTTTTGTGACTATGTTCTTTTCTCAGTGAGGGCTTCTTGACAGTAACACATCCTTTCAGACCCATAGTGTTGAGTTGTCTTCTCACAGTGGATGGATGGACAGAAACACCTTTATTGGAAACTGTAACTGTACATCATTTCTATTGGTCCATTTGCCACGAATATAAAGGCTGCTGGTGTCTTCAAATGATATAAAACAATAAAATCAACATAAATGGAGTATCATTGTTTTTATATGACCTGCTCTCAGCTTTCAAAGAAATTTACAGGGATATTTTTTCACACCACCAAAGTTCAGTCTCAGAATTTGGTTGAACTTTATGCTTTTTACAGTCCATGTAATGCCAAACACATTTAGTGATATTGATGTCTTTCGAAGTTTGGATTATTATATTATCATTCATATGCTTAAATTCTTCAAACGTTGTTGGAAAGACAAATATAGACAATGAGGTCTAAATCAAAAATTTGCACTCCCTCAAAGTACTCTTCATCTCAGCGTATGTGACGCCTGTTGGAAAAGCATCCCAGGTGTTCCCTCAAGAAATTGCTTGAGAGATTGCCAAGAGTGTGCAAACTTACTTCAATGCAAAGTACCTGGGGCTACTTTGAAGAATCTACAATAGAAGATAGCTTTGAGTTGGTGTTTCCAAACTGGCACTGTACATGTAATGCGTTTTGCCAATTATATATAATTGGTAAAAAGCTTTGTGAAAACATAAATTACTTCTTGGAATATATCAAATGCTTCAGGCAAAAAACAAACACTTTGCATTGGATCTTTCAGGCTGCCTGCGACGTGTTCTGTGTCGGCGACGATGTGAACATAGAAAAGGCAAATGATTCATTGATTAGCAACGACCGCAGCTGGAAAAAGAGCAAGTTCCGCATGACGTACACGGCTGAAGCTCCGACGCTAACACAAGGTACAGTATGGCCTCGGGAACAAGGCCGCTTACACTCAATGATTCATTGTCCTACAAACCCAGTACTCTGCTTTTGTATTACAATCTACTTAAACCTACTCTTTATCATGCATGGGTCTCATGGTTGAGGGTACAATAACGGCTGTTACTGCCTCCCTAAGTGCAATTCAAAAATAATACTCAGCATCAGAAAATGCCATGTTTATTTATAACTGAAAAATATAGTTTGGCTGGTGCAAAAGCCGTGCCAGAGAATTTGCGGATGGCAGCATATTTCTAACCCTTTCTTTCAACTTTGTGCAACATCAAGAAGCAGAGCTGCCACTTTCAATTCTTACGTCAAGTGGCTGTGTGGCTGTATGCTTTTAGCTTTTGACTGATGGTTGCGTTTCTTCCTCAGCTCTCTACAATATTCACAAGAAGAAGGTGTATGGAGCGAAGGTCTTAATGAGACAGAACCTTCAAAGTGTCAAGTCAAAGTAAGTGATCTGATAAGTGAGCCGGTCCTTTATGAATATACAGTGCATTAACACGTCATAGACACTAAAGCAACGTTCAGCTTCAATTAATATATTGACAATATAAAATATTATATTTACTTGTGATAGTCATGCTAAATTGCTTTCTTGTTTATGTTAGAAATGCATAAGGATGATTTCATATGGTGGAACCTTCCTGCTGCTGGTTGCATAAATCATAACTGACAGTTGCACACAGCAAAGTTGCAACACATTTGATAATGAAATGCAACACTAGATTTTTTGTATTGTATTGTTTAGCTGTATAAAATCATAAGCATTTCGGGACACAAAGGAACCTCTGTACTGTGAAATATTAGGATGTGTCAAGAGAAGAGAAAATGAGTAGCCTACAGTGGGGTCAAGAAGACTGAGACCACATTGAAAATCTAGGATTTTTTTATTTAAACCTGGAAATAAACAACAGAAGCTTTTCAAATTTTGATCCTTTTAAAACAAACATTGACCATGTATTAAGGTCTTTGTATTCCTTCTATTGAAGGTCATGTTTAGACGACTCTCTGGTGGATCTGATCTACTCTTCAGAGGCTTTTGCACAATTTATGGAATCCACGCCAGATCCATTACATGATGTCATAAAAGCCAAAGGGGGAGATACCAAATACTAAGAAATTCTGAAATTAATGTTCAAATTTCAATAATTCTACTTTTTGTTCAAATTCTTAAGCTGATAATGTACTTTGTAATAAAAAAAAAACTTTGTATTAAATTAGAGTAAAATGCAAAGTTTAAACATTTTTACTAGTGGTGTAACACTTTGAGCTCTACTGTAGCTACATAGAAAACAATAATAGCAGGCTAACAAAGCAGAACAAATGATGCTACAAGCAGCTGTTCAAACAGCTGTCATGCAAGCTAGTTAGACTAACTGGTACCCAACAAATACGCAAAGTTATTTCAGTTGTTTTTTTGCAGTTGATATAATTTGATGTGGTCATGTGGTTTATTATAGTCAGGGGATAAACTGGAATTGTGAAGATGAGGAAGCCCATTTTTTTCATATATATCTACTGCAGTTGTTCTCAAGGTGGTCCTCAGGGCCCCCAGATGATCCACATTTTTGCTAACATAGGGAGCAAAAATATGGACAGTCTGGAGGACCCCAAGAACCAGTTTAAGAACTACTGATCTACTGTTTGTAGAAGCGGAACAGTTTAAACAGCAATCTTGTAAACCTTTGTTGAAAATGTTGTTAGATTTTGTAATATATTGTTTTTATAATAAAATAAAACAAATTAAACACTTTACAGTCAAGTATTCAATGTCATCCAGTCAGATTTGTAAACATGCTACTGAAAACCCCAGTTCTCCTACCACATATCACTAACTAATTTAACTGAATTGAATTGGTGTAGCTAGCTAGATGAAAATGTGTGACTTTGAGTACATTTAACAGCAGTCTGTTAGCAAAACATCAGGCTAAAGTTCACGAGATGGCTTTCAAATTCCATGAAAACACTTTTTTAGAACAGGCCTACAATATGAACATGTTTCGTTTTAGGAATTCATTGGTGACAACTGTATCTGGCTTTGCAAATTTGGCTGGATACCTGCCATGTCACTCTTCCATTTAAGAAGCATCTTTGTGCTAAGATGATTTCAGGAAATCCAGCCCTGATTGGTTTTTCAGACTCACCTGATGAGAAGTTCACGAGCCATCTCATGAACTTTAGCCTAATGTTTTGATGTTTGGCAGCTACCTTGTGCTATTTAGCCAAGTGATGGCATGAATGCTCCATTTGTTGAGGCTTCTGTGCAAACAGCACAGAGCGGTGGTTGGTTGTTACCAGTTCACATGCACATAAAGCCCAGCGCATGCTACTTACTGCTGTATCTTCTAAGTCGGCGATGCGGTAGCAAAGCCTTGGAATCTTTCCTGTTGAAAGACTTTTGACCATTAATTAATGGCTGTGTTTATATGCCAGCCTGATTGAATACATTCTGATTATAGATTAAGACTGAAGTGTTTATATGCTCACTCTACTCAAAAATCTGATGGAAAATCTCTGTTTACATGCACACTGGAAGTAATCCGATCCAACATTACGGGTATGCATAGAGTACCACTTAGTGTAGATGTTACCATGACAACGAGCATCACGTGAGTCCAGTCAGAGTGAGATGAGCAGCAGTGAGCAGCGCTTGTGTTTTTAATTAGTTTAAAATGATATCAGACTCAGGAAAACGTCCTTCACATGTCCTTATTAAAGAAGGCCGAGAGGAGGACGTCGTGTTCTGAGACACATAAGATGGACGTCCGTCCCACCGCCGTCTTTTAAAGATCAGAGCATAAACTTCGTCTCCTCTGCAGACCAGTTTCTGCTCCATGTTGAACATTGTAAACTTTTGCTATGACGTGATGCACACGATCAGAACGTACTTAAACTTTCCGATTGGGAATGTAATCAGATACAGACGTTTACATGGTTATTATTCTTCTGTTTATCAGATTATTTACAGGATTACCCACCTCGTTCAATCAGACAGAAATTGTATTCTGAATGTTCTCAATCAGACTGGTCTATTCCGATTGAGGTGTTTACATGGACATATTCTATTCTGATTGAGCTATTAGTCGGATTATTAATGAATTATTAGACTGCATGTAAACATGGCTAATGATGGATGAGTTCCATACGATTAAAAAGTGAAACAATTGGCTTGCTCTAAAAAAATAAACATAACTGATTCAATGTGAATATGATATTTTATTTTTGCATGTTGCAACAGCGTTTGTTGTATATAGAATTATGTTTGATTAAATGCCTATTGTATCAATGTTTGCAGTTAAAAAAATAAAACATGGCCAACTGCCTCCTACTGGGGGGCCATGGCCCACAGGTTGAAAACCATTGATCTAAGCTACTTAAAGGTTAAAGCATGTTGAGCATATAATGAAGCAGCAGGATGGATTCGACACATATTTACATGATTGTGGGATTCAGTAGAAGATTACGAGAAAGACAGGCCACTCGTATGAGACTATTTTGCCAGCACAGTTTATTACATCAGATATTTAAATGGGTAAATTCACAAAGACTGTTTTGGAAACTATTTCGATTTCCATCACTTTACAGTACTGGAGCTCAGCTTCGGGGCACTCCAGCTCAGTTTAGCTCAGACTTTTTCATGAATTTGTTTCACAAAGCTGAGACAGTCGCAGCTGTTATGACTTTCAAACGAGCGTCAAGTGAGTGTCGGGATGCTGCAATGCTAGTGAAACTTAGTTCCATGTAAGTTTCAGGCAGCTAAGGTTCAGTGAAAGTCAGCCTAAGAGGCAGAACTCTTCACATCGGTGTTGGATGATTGTTCTCAGCTTCAGTGCTCACCTCCTGTTGACTGCAATATCTCTTGCCAGATCTCTTCAGGAATACAGGGCTAATCTGAAATCAGCGGTGCGTTACCTTAATACCTTAAAGCAGGAGTACCCGACCTGGCTTCGGTCGAGCTCTGCTTTACCCGTTATCTAATCTAATCCAGCTAATCAAGATTCTTCAGCAGCATCTGAGTGTTACAGCCAGGTGTGTTGGAGTGGTGTTGGATAGAAACTCTTCAGCTCAGTAGATATCAAGGAGCAAAGTTCGTCTTACACCAAGTTTTACAGGAAGCAGTGTGTAGGATTACTTGATTAGCATCATATCGACAACAACAGAAATAATCCGTTTTAAAGAGATAGCTATGCTTTTCGGTAGTGAACCATATCATAATATCTTAATCACACAGAGTGCCTGCCAATAAATTGCTGAATTACTTCTAGACATGGTTATTATATTCAAGCTTTTAATACAATGAACTAGATAGAAGACCCAAGAGGAGACCTTCAAAACTTGTACTTTTTTAATAATAATTATATCTTTATTTATAGAGCACTTTTCCTACTGGTGAGAACTAAAAGTGCTTTAAAGACTGGTGATAAACTGAACACTAATAGAAGAAACTATGAGTGTTAATTTAAAATCATATAAGAAAATGACGGAGACCAAATTAAGTAGATAACTACCAAAGAGACGCAGAATTTTAATTAAATGCTAAGTTAAAGAGATGTGTTTTTGGATGTTTCCTAAAAGTGGGCACTGAGCTTGTCTGTCTAATAAAAGGTGGAATTGAGTTTCACTGTTTAGAAGCATGATAACCTAAAGAGTCCTCTCCATTTCTGAATTTTACAGAAGGCATTTGCAGGATGATGAAGCGGTATAGGCTGTATTTTTATTACCAAGCACAGATTTAATGAAATTTCATTTACAGTCACTTGTTTCACCCATTTTTAATGCATCTTCTTTGACCCTGAATAGGGGTGTGGCAGCACTGGAATAGCACTGTTTGTCAGTCGCTGTATTTGCATGCTCACAGTGCTCTTCTAATACTGCCACACCCCTATTCAGGGTTGATGGAACGTGCATTACAATGAATGAAACTCGTGGCTCCTGATGCGATTTCATTAATTCTGATCTCATCCATTAGGAGCCACTGGCCTTACCTATTTTTAATGCATGTTCCCTTGACCTTCAATGAAGGTGTGGCAGCATTTCAATAGCACTGTTTTACAGGCCCTGTATTTGCATGCTGAGAGCGCACTCCACTCGCCAATGGTACTCAGTACTCTCAAAGCACAGAAATAAGAGGAAACTGCTTTAAAAACACTCGTCCCACGTGCTTACGCACGATTTTTTGTAGGTCAGGCCACAATCATTTCATGCTTTCGTATCATGTGCCTCTTCCTTTTTCAGCCGATCCACCATATACATCCAGCTCCATGCCAACAACCACGAGAGTCTGAAATACCTGCCTGGAGACCACTTGGGAATCTTCCCTGGCAACCACGAGGACCTGGTTACGGCTCTCATAGACAAACTAGAGGATGCACCTCCTGTCAATCAAATCATTAGGGTGGAGTTTCTGGAGGAGAGGAACACAGCACTGGGTAATGACAGACTATATGCAGACTTGTATGTTAGTAAGTGTACATTTATGCAGTATCAGTCAAAAGTTTGGACACATTAAGTCTCACAAGGCAGACGGCAGAGAGTCTGGTGGGTTTTGTCGGTCCAGGTGGCCAACAACTGCCTTCTTTAACCATTTAACATGCAAAATGACCAATGATAAGCTACTGTTTTTGCACAGTGTTTATAGGCAGATGACCTTTAAAATGATGCAACACCAAAAACAGACCCATGTGAAACAAAGTAACGTGTCAGCAAACACACACATTTTCTAAACCGCTTACCTTTCTGGATCATGTGTGGGTTGGGCAAGGTTTGAGGGGGGTTGCTGGAGCCTATCCCAGCAGTCACTGGGAGGTCAGCGTGTCCAGTTGGCCTGAATCCACCTCTTTGGACTGTGGGAGGAAATCAGAGTACCACACAGACACATGGGTTTCCTCCGGATACTCCGGTTTCCTTCCACAGTGCCCGGAGACTCCACACAGTCTCCACACAGAAAGGACCCTGGTCACCCGGCCGGGAAACCGAACCCATACATGATATTTAATTTAATTTGCCAGATGTCTTCAGGAGTACAGAGCTAATCTAAAATCAGCTACGTATTATCTTTATGTAATCTTAATATCAAAATTTGCCTAATATAATTGACTTTATTTAAACATTTCATCGAAAACTGCTCTCCAAATCCCTAAAGATGGGATGCCATGAACTTTTTTTTCTGTTCAGTACTGGCTGTATCTTGCTCCGAAAGGTGCGCAGAGCAGGCAACCGCTTGAAAAAGTTTATTTTTCCATCCATTTTTAAACCCCTTTCAGCAAGTAGTTTCAGAAGCCAACAATATCTATCTTCAATGCTGTTGGAAAGTCATACATTTTCAATATTTCTAGACAGATATAAATAATCTCAGCATATGCAAAGCTTCTTCAAGCATCCTAGAAGCATGTTCATGATGCTGCAAGAGAAAATGCCAAGAGTGTGCAATGCTGCATCGAGGCAAAGTAGGGAAACTTTGAAATTGAAATTGGTTTTGATTAGTTTAACCCCTTAAATGGTCAGGGCCCACCAGCAGGCCTAGTTTTATTACACACTTCTGTAACCTAAGAATAACTCAGCCAGTTTGCATTGAAGTCCCCATAGATACTGAATAATAAGCCTTATTATCTAAAATTTTTTGTTTTGATGTTTTTACTATTCTAAATGTGGAAACCATTAAAAAAAATTAAAGATAATCCATAGGTGTGTCCAAACTTTTGAAAGGTACCATAGCTCTGCAAATGAGTAACATGTAACAGAATAATAAATGAAGTACATACTTATTTACCTTTTATTCTGCCTCTCATTAAGTATAGTTGTCTAGAGGCAGCTGTTCAAAGGCCTGCTTGTGTCCATTTAATGGAAGCCTCAGTCTAGACTTGTGGGTAAAAAAGCCAAACTGAGTAAACATGAGATCAAATGATTCACTAAGTGGAACGCCTGAGGCTGCAGTCTGGTACCCTCTCCTGAACTGAAGAGTTATACATTATAGAAGTGCAGATAAGGATAACTGTCTGATTACTGCTGTCACTTGACTCATGGCTTTCACTGCACAGTTGACTCAGCCAGGGATTCTTTTATGTCCAGCTGCTCAAGGCTGCATCTGAATCCTTTATTGATACGAGAACAAAAGTGTTCAGCCTACTCTAAAGCAGTTTAAAGAGCCCATATCCTACATTTTTCGTGCATCTTGTTTCCCCTGAAGTCCATATATGATATGGTTTTGTGCAAAAGCATTTATAATTCATTTTTAACAGATTGCTTTTCAATTTCATGCCTTAGAATTAAACAGGCTGTTTTTGTTAGTTCAACTTTGAGCCAGGTATATGTAAATGACCTCTGCTTTGATTGGCTACCCTTGTTCAAAAAGCAGTCTGGGCTGAAACGCTTCTTATAACTTCAACTTTAATGGGCGGGGCTAAACTGTTGCTGTTGCAGCTTAGTTTCCATACATATATTTGTCAGAATAAAACCTAATATCTCCATTTTGACGTTTTTCAGTTTTTGGCTTAATTTGAAAATGTCTGTTGACCTTTACATTGTATATAAATTTCATTATGAATGGACCAAAAGAAATGACGGTTTCCATTGACTTACATTAAAAGTAAGGTAGGCTTTTTCCTTCTCCTGTAAAGTTATCATATATTTATCTGTTGTCTGAAAAAGACCTGTGTTTCCAAAATGGTAACTTTACAGGAGAAGGAAAAAACCCACTTTATTTTCAATGTAAGTCAATGGAACCAGACTTTTTTCCAACTAATTTTGGGCCGTTTCTTTTGGTCCATTCTTCATGAAATTAACACATGGTGTAAAGGCCAAAAGGCACTTTCAAATTATGGCAAAAACTGAAAAGCCAACCAATAGGACTTAGTGTGTCATAACGTAGGTACAGCCTCTGGTGTTATTTGCGTATTATTTACTGTAACATAGAAAAACTGTTCATACACTGAAAAAAAGTGATGCATTGAATTTACTTGATTCAAATGTGTACATCATTTCTACATCAGTAAAATATATTACATCTACATGTACCTTAGGCATTAACTGTGTTGTAATATGTTCATGTTGTACACATTTACATCAAGCCAATTCAATCAAGTGAATTCAAAGCATGCCTTCGGTCATGACTCATCCTTTCTCTGGTCCATAGGTGTGATCAGTAACTGGACAGATGAGAGTCGTATCCCTCCCTGCACCATCTATCAGGCCTTTAAATACTTCCTGGACATCACAACCCCACCCAGTCCTCTCCTGCTGCAGCAGTTCGCTCCTCTAGCCACCAGTGAGAAGCAGAGGAAGAGACTGGAGGTTCTCAGCAAGGTACAGTCCAAACCAATACATATACAGTACTCTGAAAAGTCTTAGACAGCCAAGAAAGTTTAAAACTGGTTATCTCAGCAGTAAGGCTGTTTTTGCCTGTAAAACACACTGTAACAATAACCTAAATATAGTTAAACATAACAAGAATGCATTTTTATTATTGATATCTTGGTTATTAGAATACAATTAGAAGACACATTTGGTCCCTGACTTCTCGCTGCACTCCAGCCATTGTATGGATTTTTAAAAGTCCATCAGCAGCACACCTGAATTAATATAATGAAGAATTGATTAGATAAGCTAGACAGAGAATAATGCCCAATGCATCTGGCCACATTTCACATTCTGGCCCCTAAAATAGCAGAGCTTGTGGACCAAGTGGCCACTTGCTTTGGAATGTTTTTACATTTTTTTTCCCTTTTAAACCTGTTTGGTCAGATACAGAACTAATTAGACAAAACATATTTTGCTGCAACTTGTTAACGGTAACCAACATAATCGAAGGACAGTTACAATGGTCCTCCTTGCTGAGATGTGCAATCACTACAATGGCAACGTTCCTATTATGTAAAGTTTTTAATTATTATTTCCTTTTTTCAAAAACAACATCTGTGTTTTTTGGTACTGAAACATATTCGTTAATTATAAATACAATGTACATATGATTAGCATTTCTGTTATTCTGGCCACAAATTCTTAATTTTGGCCACAAGATTAATTTGCCACTGCAAATTTTTATATCTGACTACCTGCAAACTGAGTACTGAAGTAGGGTAGTTTAGTACTGTGAGTATTGGGCTTCCTCAAGGAGAGGAAATGGTGGATGGATGGATGGATGGATGGATGGAAAGAAAAGCCAAATCCCACACATTTCATCCCCTTGTTGTGATGTCAGCACTCATCAGCACTCAAAGCTTTCAGGTGTCTGAAGCACATTTGGGCCCAAAGAGTTTCAATGTGCTTTTAAAAACAGGTTGGAAAAAAACCCTAAATCATTATTTAGGCAGAACCTGCTCTTCATACCAAAGGAGACACTTTGATGAACCTGAACATGATTGTTAAAGCTAAATATATCCACTATATAAATATATCCACACATATATTTAGCACAAAGCAGCAACAAAGTCTTTGTTGAAAAGTAACAGCAAAAATCAAACATCACTTGGAAAATGTCTTCGCACTTTTCACGGGTACTGTAGGTGACTCTTCATGTCCCTGTCCAAGTGTGTTATTACAGTCAACCACGTGCCGTTCAGTCTGATCAGATGTGTTGAAAGAGCACTGTGTTTTTTTGTGTTTTGTTTTGTTTTTTTTCTCCAGTTTTACTCATGCATTCATATCCATTGTCCGTCACTTCCTCAGTGCGCAGCTAAAGACGCCGCCGCGCGTGACTCCAGCTTTGCTTTTCAAATTAGCAGCAATTTTCTCAGTCAGATCATTCATTAGCCCTCCAACTCTCTCGCTTCCCCTCGCCAATCACTCAGTGTCAATGCCATTTTCTTCTGCCTCAGAAATATTTCCCTCTCACTGCCTCCCACTGTAACACGCTTTGCAGTCCTTCGCAATGTTGCTAAAAATGGCTGCCAAAGCAGTGAGTCACCCTCTTCCTGGTTCAGCTGAGTCTCAAGGAAGGATGGAGTGAATGAGAGAAGAGAGAGAGAGATAAATACAGAGAGATGGGGAGAGAATCAGTGGATAGAATACAGGAGAGAATGAACGTGTTGGATTTCTTGCATGGCTTTTACAGTGGAGTTCACTGGCGATTCCCACGAGGTGTAAAAAAAAGGTTCAGTGGAAGATGAAAGTGTGATGAAAGTGCGTCTGGAGGAAAAGTACAGAGACTGTGAAGGTGTTAATGTTATTGTCACCTTGCAGCACCAGGATTCTGTTACCACTTTTCAAATGATATGAATGACTTGATTTAGTCTTCCATCAGGCTCTTCCTGCTGAATTTAGCCACCAAGGAATGGATAAAATTAAACTTTAAAAGGCGTTTTAAAACCTATTTTGCAGTTGGCCCAAAGTGTTATTACACACTTCTATAACCTAATAATAGCTCAGCCAGTTTGCATTGAAGTCCCTGTATTTACTGTATAATAAGCCTTAATATGTAATAAGCCTGGGATTTTAAGTGGTTCAAATAACTTGGAAACCCCCTTTTTGATGTATCTTGAATGTGAGTGGAACATCTGCTTTGGGGGGACTTGTGAGGAGAAGAAAAGCTAAAAGCTAAATTTAGCAAGGTAGCTGGCCACTGAGATGCCTCACCTGGCTTTTTTTCTCAGATTGAAAGGGTAAATAAAGTCTCTGGTGTTCATTCTATGCTGAATAAAGACAGAATCTGGGTTTTCTTTATGATTTTGTTTAACAACTGAGGTAGGAGTTACACTAGAGCTATGTTGGTTGTATTTATTAGCTATAGATTAGTGGTTAGGTTAGCAGTCAGGATTGGTTGACATTACAGGGATTCCCTGGAGGCCCTTTTCACAAGAAACGGAAGTGCATAAACAGCGGGTGAAACAAAGTTGGCTATTGCCTGACGGACAGTCCTCAGAAAAATAGGAGTTTGTATCACTTCAGCTCACCACGGAAAGATGCGTCAGTTTTTCTTTGTCACAGTTGCCAAGATTCAAATTTGAACGATGTGTCCAGGATTGTTGGAGAACACAAAACACAGCAATGTGGGAGTCCAGACTAAATAAAGGATAAAAATGCTTTGTGAAAAAAATTTCTTCACTGCTGTCAGGGTATAATTACGGAGCCCCTAAAGGGCCGTGGTTAAAAAAAAAAAAAGTTAGTGACGTTGCGTTCCCTTGCAAATAAAATGCGTTCCCTCACGAATGTTCTGCATTATGATGCAATCGGTTTGCATTCGCTTGCAAAAGCTGTGCTTTGCTTAAGCTCGGACATGGAGCAGCTCATTGAATTTTACGTTGATCTTGGATTAAAATATAGTGTCACTGAAAATCGAACATGATTAGTGAGCACAAATTGAAGATCGGGTGTCCTCGTACAGTAAAAGCTACATTTACCGAGACTGCTGAGAACAACTGCTGAATGAACTCAGCACAGACTGGCGAAACTGGGAAAACAGCTTTTAATGTTAGCCATGCTAAAAACAAAGCTCTAATGTCATTGGGCATCTCTGGTCCTATGTTTGCTTGCTGTCTGATATTATATTTTGGGGAATTATTATATTATAGGGAATGCATATATTTTGTGAGGGAATGCAAAACATTTGCGAGGGAACGCAATGTCATCAACTTTTTTTTTTTTAACCACGGCCCCTTAGGGGCTCCGTATATAATAATGTCAGCTAACATCTACAGAGCCATAAATTGATGGATAGGTGAAAATAACTATAACTAAAACGCTAGATTAGCCATGTTAGCTGGAGATGTTAAAAGCAGCTTTCTAACAATAAAGTAGTTGGCAAAAACTAAACATGCACACATTCTGGCAGGGGGGCGTGCCGGGGCGACATGGTCCAAAGCACCACTGTAGACATTTCACACAACCACTGGCTCCAGTGAACAAACATCTACTCCTTGCCAAGCACTTGCTCTCTCAGATGCTGCTGGTTTTTGAGGGAGAAAATGAAAACTGTTCCCCTGAAAGCAGCTGTAGCACCAACTTTGAACCACAAACTGCGTTCAGTGTAACGTTAGTCGGCAGTGGTGAAATGCTGACGCAGAAGTTCTTTTCCTCCAAATGACAAAGTTTATTCCCAGTGGCGGACAGTAACTAAGTAAATGTAATTCGTTACTGTACTTAAGTAGTTTTTTCGTGTATCTGTACTTTACTGAAGTATTTCCATTTTGGGTGACTTTTTACTTTCACTCCACTACATTTAGTCAAATATCTTACTTTTTACTCTACTACATTTTGCGAAATCTGTCGTTTCTTTTGGTTTATGTGTGTATAAAAATGTAACGTCAAAATGAGAGAAGCGTGAAGCAACAACACCAATCAGGGCACAGCGCACACTTTGTTTTGAGCTTGTTTTGACCTGTTGGTCATACCGACCCAGTGCAGCACACGGTTCAACGTCAGTGCAGCAGCGTAAAAGTTTGTGAATGTCTATTCCAACATAAATGATGAACTAACCTAACTTTGTGTAAATAGACCACAATATAGAAATATGTACACATATGCAGTTGTGACTTTTTTCTGAACTTATACAAACACTATTTCATTTTATAGTAAATTTGTTTGAGCTAGTTCACGTTTATGAACAGAGACCTACAGATGCAATATAGTAAAGGAAAACACATTTGATGAATCTGTGTTTAAAGCAAGTTTTATTAGACTTAAACTTGTAACTAAGTTACAAATAAATCTTAAACTGAAACTTTGCTTGTTTGCAAAAAGTTATTTCATGGTCAATTGGTTCTACCTAATGGAAACTGTTTGCCTTCAGTGTTTTGTGCTCATGATAATTTGAATAGACATCAGCGTCAGACTAATTAATGACATTCTATTAAAAGACTGGTTTACCAAGAGTGACACTGGAGTATTTTCACCTAAAATGAGTTAATGAAGCGAGAGTCTTCTTACAAAAATGGTAGTAAGACATTAGAGCCATAATTAATTCTTTAGTACTTTTATTTTCGTTACTTAAGTAAATTTGAAGGCAAATACTTTTTTGTCTTTTACTCAAGTGGAGGTCTAAAGGGAGGAACTTCTACTTTTACTGGAGTAATATTGTACCTTGGGTATCTCTACTTTAACTCAAGTACATGGTTTGTGTACTTTGTCCACCACTGCATTTGAGTAAGCTGTACACGCTCCACTCATCATCGTTGTTATCGTTGTTGCTTTAGCGGGAGCAGTGTTACCCTGCAACGACTGCTTCCAGTGGAAATGTGAAAAGGGCCTATGGTTGTATGAAGTATTTGCATAATGCATGCCGGTACTGTAGTGAGAGAACATTGGTGAACGAAAACATGAACATGATATAAAATTGTTCATTCTGTCAAACCGATAAGGCTGAGCTTCAGGCGGCTGCATAACAAGACGAATATCATATTAAATTCTAGTTTTAGGCCAGAATGACCCTTTTAGCACAGCAGCTCAGCCATCTCCAGTAACCACTAGCCGATGCAGGTGTTAGATTGGTGCATTTGTGCTTGTTGACAACAATTGTTTTATTCACATCTGTTCACATTGGTTCATTTGGCCCATCAGTGAATCTTAGGCAATAAAAATGTTTATTGTGTTGATGTACACTGAGCTTCAGAATGCTGGACAGATTTCAGTGCATTCTTTGAGTCGTTCTAGAAAACTCTACATCAGTCAACAAATCTGTGTAGCCTTTTAGAACAAATCTTTCCATGAATTCTCATGGGGTTCTAGAAGACTCCACATCATTCCATGGATCCTTGTAGTGTAGAACACTCCACAACTTTCCGGTGGATCCTTATTGTGTTGTAGAACACTCCAGATTGTTCCACAGATCCTTGTGGTATTCTAGGTCCACATTGTTCCATGGGTCCTTGTGGCATTCTAGAATGCTCCACATTGTTCCGTGGTTCATTGTGGTATTCTAGAACACTCCATGTTGCTCCCTGGATTTGTGTCATATTCTAGAACACTTCACATTGTTCTGTGGATCTCCATGGCATTCTAGAAACTCCACATTCTTCCTTTGATCCTTGTGGTATTCTAGGATGCTCCACATTGCTCCATGGATGCTTCTTGCATTCTAGAACACTCCACTTAATTCCATGGGTCCCTGTGCACTCAAGAGCTCTTCCTACATCATTTGATTGATCTTTGTGGCATTCTAGAACACCCCAAGTCAATCAATCTTTGTGGGTTTTCCAGCACTCTCCATATCATCCTTATGATGATCTAGAACATCTCATATCATTCTATGAATCTATATTCTTCAACATCCGTGTTGTTCTGTTCTGTGTGCAGGGTCTGCAGGAGTATGAGGAGTGGAAGTGGTATAATAACCCCACCATGGTGGAGGTTTTGGAGGAGTTCCCGTCACTGCAGGTGCCCTGCACACTGCTCCTCACCCAGCTGCCCCTGCTCCAGCCACGGTACTACTCCATCAGCTCCTCGCCGGACCTCCACCCAGGCGAGATCCACCTGACAGTGGCTGTGGTCTCCTACCGCACCAGAGGTAAATGAGCCAGCTCAAACACAATCTTCTGAAATCAGTGTCAGTCTCAGAGAGAAATTTGCCCAAAGAGGTCTGAATGAGGAACGGCTGGATTGAGACTGAAGTATCACTATTTCCAATAGAGAAATATTGATATTTGTAATATTTCTGATATTGAAGTATTTATTTTTCCCTTTCATGATGTTTCCTGCTATGAATCGATCTTCATTTGAAATACTGATAGGTGTTGTGTTTAAGTAGTAATTATATTATTAATCATTTTAATTAAATTATATCTAATATAGTATAATCAAAGCGGAAATAGTCACACAATAATTTTAATAAATAATTATGAGGAACAGGAACTACATTTCCTTCACTTTAACATCGATTCTTGTGCACATACAGCGACAATCATTCCCACAACTCTGAATGAACGCTTTCTGAAGAAAGCAAAGCATTGTTAGCAGAGATATTAAACACCACTAAAGGATTCTGAATTTAATATCAATGCAAATGATTTCAAGTATAATGTTGTTGTCCACACTTAACAGTTTTTGCTGTAGGTATTTCTCCTTTTAATGTGCAAATAAGACTGAAGATATGAAAGTATCTGTATTAGTATTTGGTATCAGGATGTTGGTTTGGTATTACACTGTGAAAATGTAGCTGTAAAATTACAGAAATTTACTGTCAGTATAATGCTGTTTAGTTACAATATTGATATTGTAATAGACAACAACAGCCCATTGCTGCAACTGAAATATACAGTTTATTACTGTACTTACAGAAGTGAACTATACTGTTTTTGCAGTACGGTGTTATTCATAATCAGCACCGTTTCACTGCACTGTAATTGCTCTTTTCAGAATTATCTGGTAATTATTACTGTTGACAAAAGTTACAGAGACTATTACATATTGTTGAAATTTTGTTAATTATAGCTTTTTATAACCAATAGAAGGATTACACTAATTACAACAATGTAAAATCCTTTAGCAATCATACCTTATACACAGGACATGATAGCAGCTACAGTAGATGCAATTATGCCAATCTTGAAGTCTATAACCCATTATCTATTTTAATGTGATACTATGGGATGAACCAGTTAACTAAAACACAAAACACCATTATGCCTGGAATAACAAACCATGTAAATGCATTCAAACATCTTTAGGGCTTGAATAACATGTTAAAACAAAGAAAAAAACATGTGAAAGTAACTGTTGATAGCTTGTTAACAGAATGGATAGTGAGGAGTACTGTCACTTAATAATCAAACACAAGAGGGCGCTCCTGAGCAAGTCCTATTATTTTTTAGCAAAGTTGAAGTTAAAGTCGAAGTCATCTTTCTTGTCATGTCTTCTCATGATAGATGTGTTGAGAGAGGAACATAGTTTCTCCAGGTGCTACATTCAACACAGAACAGCAGCAGATAACAGTGCAGACAGAAAACAAATACAGTAACCAATTAGCAGTAATATTTCCTGTAGAAAAACGGAAGGACCAGTATATTTTCGTAATTTTTTTAATGAAATATGTCCTAATACTTTACAACATTAAAGGATGTTCAACACTAAAGGATGTTCAACATTAAAGGATGTCCCTGCATAAATGGTAGATAGATTTTTCGTGTTGAATTGTTCAGCTCTCCACCCCATTCATTGAGGACTTACGAGTAACCCCTAGTATTTTGCAGTCATGTTTTTGACATAATGTGAGAAATAGGAACAGATCAGCCTCCGCTTAAACTTCTCTATCCTAGAGTGGTTTGTAAACAACAGTTAATTACTGTAAAAAATTGACATTTTAACCTCTTCAACATCTATCTACCAGAATGCACCATTTTCTTTAAAGCAACCTGCTGTATTTAAGGAATATAGTTCATTACTGTAATTCTTCCACTCTAAACCTACAGCTTTTTTCTTTCTTTCTGTTTTTTGCTTGGTATCATTCCAGAAAGAAAAAAAAGAATGTCTTTAATGTCACACATCCTTAGTCTGAATTGTCAAAGTTTTAAAACATGTTTACGTTCAGAATAGAATTCTTGCCACCACTTTAGAAAAACTATCACTGGGAAAGAGTCTTGAACTTACTGAACCTATCGCTGATTTTCAGCCTGCCAGTATTTCTGCGGCTCGGTAATTATCAGGAGTTTCGAGGCGTCATTCATTTCTGCAATACAGTAAAGACCTTCTCACTTTCAGCAGCTCTTTTGACAGAAACAGGATCATTTCTCTTGATGTGTGATTATTTAAAAGATTAGGTGCTTATAACAGGAGACTGTGACCTTTATAAGAAACTCCGCTAAAGTCTGCCTTTGTGCCTGAACTCTTAATGAGCTCAGAATATGATCTGTTGTACGAATAAAATGGAGAAGATTGCGCACAATACTGGCTTCAGTTTCACGGAGACTGTGGATCTTTTAATAACTCGTGTTTTAATAACTCGTCTGAATTAATTCTGGAGTTGATTAGTTGATTTGTCACGGTTGATTTGCTGATTTGCTGCTAAGCCTTTTTTTTTTCAGTCAACAGATGTTATAAAGACAGATGATAATCATCTCTTCGGTTCATAAATGTTAAAAAGAGAGACGATAATCATCTCTGCCGCTTATGAGGTGACCTCTCTCTCGCTGTCCTCGCTCTTCTTGCTAAATGCATTGTAAACATGAAATGATGTGCGTAATGGCATAATTGCCGGCTAAATTATAGCAGTTCCACTTCATCTAAGACGCGCGCCCTCAGACCCCAGCAGGCTTAATCACTAAGCATCAGATCAGCGCCGGAAAGACGACGAATCAAACGAGTGCCTGTTTAATTCTCTGCAGACGGTGCAGGTCCCATACACCACGGGGTGTGTTCCTCCTGGCTCAACAGCCTGGAAGCAGGCGACATGGTGCCGTGCTTCGTCAGAGGGTAAAGTTCTTCTTACTTTTCTTGATACTGCACTTGTAGTGTGTTTTATATGAATAGATAAGCTGTCTTATGATGCAGCCTGAGACGCTGTCAGACCTCTTCATACTGTACAAACATCAGTTCCAATAAAAATAATAAACAGAAAGCAGTGATTTGTAAACCTGTATTGACCTATTTAAACAAAAACAGTAAAAGACAAGAAAATGTTCTATCTTATGAACTTCATTGTTTTTGTAATTATACTTTCATTCTGAAATTGCATGCAACACACAATTCCAGTGTTGTATCTGACACTTCCTCAGTTCCCCCTCAAATTCATGTTCCCTTTGACAAATCAGGTCTTTGAGTGCTTCCTGCTGCCCAGAACCCATTTGCTTTAGAAAATGGAAATATATATGCATGTTTTCTTTGCTTTTTTAGTGAAATACATCCTTCTACTTCCTAAAATTAAGGAATGTTCTGGGCAAGTGACTGGAAACTACTTAAACTTTTCGTTTTTAGCCGTTTAGCTCCATTTATTCCCATTCATTGAGGACTCACTCGCGGGCACCCTCTGCCATTTTGCAGTAATGTTTTTGATATAACGGGGGAAATAGGAAGAGGCCAGGCTCCTTATAAACTGGCTCTGACAACGCCAAGCAACACTGGAACTACGGAAAGCAAATAGGTTCAAAAAAACGATTGAACGGCCGAGTGTTTTCACCCAATCCCCAGTATAAATTCACCCAAGATAACACAGCATAATTGAGATTTCATGATAAATATTATTGTCGATTCGAGTAAACAGTAAACAATCGTACTGATAAATACTTTTTGTACTGTTGTACTGTGAATATGGCTGACATACAAATCTTTTTTGAACCTTTTCACTTTCCGCAGTTCCAGTGTTGCTTGGCGTTATCTGTTCAGTGAATGAGGACCTGATTTGTCAAAGGGAACATGAATTTGAGGGGGGACTGAATCGGATACAACACAGGAAAACCTTAAACAGGAGAAATTTATGAATGTTATGAAAATGTTGAAAAAGAATCTTAAACAGAAGTTATTATGCTTGGGTATACAAGGAGCACTTAGGAAAGACTGAGTTCTTTATGAGCAAGGCTGGGTTGAGGCTCGCCACTTTGACAAAAAATGCATCAGTGAATAATCCAGCTGTTTAAGAACGTTCCCCAACAAATGACTGCATGGATTTTAGTTGTTTCACATGGTGACCGAGAAGACCCAACAAACTGCACATAAAAAATGAGCTGCTAATGCAGAAAACACTTTCATCAAAATGACAACATGGGCACTGCATTTTACAAATGCGATGCTCTGCAAACTCAGAAAACACTTATCAAAATGACGACACCGACGTAACATTTCATAACCACACTACAAACATCAAGAAACATTCTGCGCATGTTAGAAGAGTCAGACAGTGCAGCTGCTAGACTGGCCTGCCTGCAGTTCAGATCTGCCTCCCACTGAAAACGTGTGGCCCATGAAGCGCAGAATATGACAACAAAGGCCCTGCACAGCTGCTCAGTAGGGTGCACTGTAAAATATCTCAAGCGTGCATAAAAAAAACATAATCTTACTACAAATTTCCACTAGTTTTTTCTTGTTTACACAACTTCTGTAAATAGGTTCACTGATACTGTGTTGTCAGCACTAAAAGAAAAATGTATTTGAGCTAACATAAGACTGTTGTACAATTAATAATAATAATAAAAAGACCAGCAACCCCCAGATTTCAGGGTTGGTTTACTGCAGCTGCTAAAAATGATAAAAAAAAGAAACGTGGAACTAATTTGAGTAGTAAAGATCTATGTCTGCTTCTTTTAGAATGGAGTTTGTGTTTTTATATTTTATTCACAGATTTTAAAAGCGTGCAGTAGCTGCACTGTTTACGGTATTTTCATTACAGTGAGCAGAACCGCTTCCCTCACCCACGCTTTGTGTCACTAAAACACACACAGGTTGAGGTGCAAAGACGGAGTGTGTGCAGAACTGTCAGCCATTTCTGAGCCCAAACGCAGCCTAATATTGATTTTTAACCTGAAAACAACCTCCAGTGTTTCAATGTGTGACTGTGGGTGTGACACAATTGTTCACTGTGACGATATACTGCTTAAAATTTCAGCTCCCCCTGATAGTTGGTGTCAACTGGTCTTTGGTCATCAAAGGTCCACTCACTATTTAAGAAAAACCTGAAAATCATTTATCTTGAGATCTCTAAGAAAACAAATGATGCAGATAATCAGTGCTTAAATTAGTACACACATGGACGATAAAAACACAGTGAGCTCAGGTATCAACTGTGTAAGAATACAGCATATTTGCCTAAAGACATGATCAAGTCTAATCTACCTGGCCTTTCCGCTCTATATATTTAGATAAGAAAATATCTTATAACTTATAATCTTATAACTTCTCAAAGTCTAACAGTCAATCAAAGGTCATTACAGTGTGAGGCAAAATGGATTTACTGCACAAACTGTGCCCAACCTATAGGGCTTGAAGAGGAACCAAAATTCCTACATACTTCAGTTGTTAAGATGTTAACAAAGTCATTCAATCAGAATAGTTCACAGTGGTGGTGATAGGAACCAGACATCCGAAGTTTAATGCTTCTAAAGCCTTCTTCACAGAAAGTCATTACATTAAATTGTTATGAATACACTGCCAACTGCCCGAAACATTCTTTTATGATAGTTTTGAGAGAAACTTTTGGCTTAAAATGTATATTTTTAATATATTTGTGAAGAACAGATACAAGCAGGATATTGTAAGGTGAAAACATCACCAAAGAGAATCCAGATTTTTCCAGATTTACCACTTTTAGCATTATCAGCATTACATAGAAAGCTCAGAAGACACGTGTAGGTTCACTGGTGGTTTTGGATAGTAAATAAAATAGCTATTTTGGGGTTTTGGCATTGTGACTCCTAGTTCCTACCACCACCACTGTAAAGAAATCAGTTAGTAAGTTTCCCTACAATGAACTATTTTACATCAAACCACTCTGAATGACTTTATATTACTGAATTATATTTATATTGGGATTACCTAATCATGTATGTGCAATAAACCTATCATATTTTACGCTCTCATAAGCTGTCCCTAATGACACGGTATATTTAAGTAATGCACAGTAAAAATGATAGTCATATGTAATGTATAATAACATAAAAGGAACTGATTATTTGACTGATGGGGCAGTTTTGATGGACTTACTGTGTCTGTATCTTGTTGCAGAGCTCCATCATTCCGCATGCCAAAGGACAGCAAGGTTCCCTGCATTCTGGTTGGGCCGGGCACAGGAATCGCCCCCTTCAGAAGCTTCTGGCAGCAGAGACTGTTTGACCTTGAAAATAAAGGCAGGTTTTAATGCTAAAGCATTCATTCATACACTGGAACAGTCGTGCTATAATTACACCATAACAAAAGAGAGGAAGTAGATCAGAGATCAGTACACTAACATCTCGCAGCATAGCGCAGCCTCTGTTGTTGAAATTATACAACATTTTCATTATGTATATGTTTACTATGAGCTTTACATTCTGGGAAGAACAATAGTTAAAGGGCCCAAATCATGCAAAAGAATTTTCCTCACCATTTTGAAACAAAGGAGTTTGAAAAGCTTGCTTTTTAGTACGCAAGTCTATACAGTCCATATATGGAAAGTAAGCTGCGAAAACAGCCTGTTTTGAATTCAGTATTTTTGTGATGTCACAAAAACAATACATTTTCATATCTCTGCTGTAAGAACAAAACCTCATATCTCCAAAATGGTAACTTTACAGGAGAAGGAGAAACATACTTTACTTTTAATGTAAATCAATGGAACCAGACTTTTTTCCAAGTAATTTTGCGCCGTTTCTTTCATTCGTTCATCATGAAATTTTTACACATTGTAAAGGGCAACAGGCATTATTATTATTAAATTATGCCAAAAACTGAAAAAACGGAGATACAAAACAAAAATGGAGATACAAGGTTTTGTTCCGATAGCAGCGATATATCAGTCTATTCAGCCTACAGCTGTTTAGCCCTGTCCATTCCCACTGAAGTTGTTAGGCTTGTTTCAGCCTGGACTGCTTTTTGAATGAAACATGATACAGGGCCACTAATCAGAAAAGAGCTCATTTACATATATCAGTCTTAAAGCCAGTAACAAAACCAGCATGCTTAATTCTAAGGGATGAAAAAAGCATGTACAGCAGTCATGTAAAAATAAATTATGACCATTTTGTTACCACACATGGGTTATGAGTGAAAAAAATGGCATGTAGGCCCTTTAAATGGTCTATATTGCCAGGCCGTTACTAGGTTACAGGTGAATAATGTAAAGTGACAAAAATGTGTTCAGAGTGCCAATATGCCTCTCAGCCAAGCACTTTAAGGTTGAACCCAACTGTTTGTAAGGTTTAGGTTTTACGAAGGCGCAGTTGTTTAGAAAAAATATCGCTGCTGTCGTGACAAAACCTTGTATCTCCATTTTTGGTGTTTTTCAGTTTTTGACATAATTTGAAAACGCCTGTTCCCCTTTACATTGTGTGTACATTTCATGATGAATGGACCAAAAGAAACAGCCAAAAATTACTTGGAAAAAAGTCTAGTTCTATTGACTTACATTGAAAGTAAAGAAGGTTTTTTCCTTCTCCTGTGAAGTTACTATTTTAGATACAAGGTTTTGTTCTAACAACAGCGATATGCAGTTTGAGTAACAGTTTTCTGCACCTCAACTGTTCACGCAGGGATCAAGGCCTGTCCGATGATTTTAGTCTTCGGGTGTCGACAGTCACAGATGGACCACATCTACAAGGAAGAGACCATCCAAGCCAAGAACAAGGAAGTGTTTCAGGAGCTCTACACCGCATACTCACGAGAGCCTGGAAGACCAAAGGTAAAAAGGCTTTTCAGAGGTACACTCTTAGAAATAAAGGTGCCAATAAGGTCATTGGAACGATGTCCTAGAAGAAACACCTTTGGTTCCCTTAAACAACCTTTTAGTGGATGATTCTTTAAAGGGATACTTTGGCCTTTTTCAACCTAATCTCTGCCTTATACAGCTGTAATATTATTATATTATTGTATTATTATGTTTATTATTATTTTATTATATATTATTACATTATATTAATTATATTATTATTATTTTATTTTATATATATATATATATATATATATATATATATATATATATATATATATATAATGTTTATTATTATATTATTATTATTATTATAATATTATAATATTATAGAATATTATTATATTATTTTTTTATATTTTTCTACAATTAGTGTTTATTTACTGTCTATTTAATTCACACATTTCCTGTTTACTGTCTATTTAATGTTATTGCTACACCATGGGGTCTGAGAGTAATGCAATTTCAATGCTCTGTATGTCCTGTACATATTGTAGTATTGACAATAAAGCTGACTTGACTTGACTTGACTTGACTTAGTTAAGATGGACAATAATTATGACAATAAGTATTTTAAAGGGAACAGAAAACTTGTTAACTGGAAAGGATGGCTGGTGTGTTTTGACTCATTGGGTCATTGGCTTTTTTGGTTGGTTTGGTTTGGCACTCTTAAGGGAATGTAAAGCGAAAAAGTTTCCAAATTTATCCAATTTTCCAGATAGTTTGGCGCTAGAACTATAAGGCTAACGTTCCTAAAAAACACAGAAACCTTCTCTATAAATACATCCTTAAAGCGTTTCTCATCCTGCTCAGACTGCATCTCGGCCTTCATTACGGTCACAGACACACAGTGTTTTAAGACGCAATATAACTCTGTCCTATTAAAACGATGAGCTATTAAAATAAACTAAATTTCATTGTGTAGCTGAATCCTGCAGGCAGCCACTTCAGGCAACAGGTGTGGTTCTGAATTCTGACACCTTTCATGTGCGTACACGTCAGGCAGGCATACGGATGCCGCAGATGATGTTCATGATTTCTGTTTTGAATTGCATGAAAATGTGTTTTTATAAATGAAAACAACAGCAAACGCAATTTAACATCCTTATGTCGCCTTGACGTGGGTGCACGACAGGGAGTCAGATTCTGCAGGAGAGTCGAAATTTAGCATAACACCTGATTAAAGTAGGTAAAAGTGGCTCAGCTGACCAGCGTTTAGTATATAGCTGACCAGCGTTTAGTTACACAGTGAAGTTTTGTCTGTTTTTATAGCTCACAATGAGTTGAACTGTGTCCTAAACCACCACAACAAGTCAACCTTAATGAACAACTGGGTGTTGTTTGAGTGGGGAAGAGAGAAGTTTTGGGGAGATGTTTCCAGAAAAGATTTGGGTGACTACTGACTTCTAGTGTTTGTTAGCATTGTTAGCCTTGAAGATGCAGTTTTAAACTAAAGAAGTAATATTTGGAAACTGAACATATCTAATCAACTGCAGCTGGGGTAAGTGGACAAATTGAGAAAAAATAGATTTTTCGCCAATGCATTACTTTCAATAAAGGTTCTAGGTTCTTCAATCCCTTTGGTTCTGAATGTGGTTATTTAATAGTGTCCCAAAAAGAAGCTTCTTCAGCACCTTTATATTTTTAGTGAGTAGTTGGAAAGTTTGGAACATGAATGTGAAGTTCTGCTCATTTAAAATTGGATGAGACCGGATTGCTTTAAATTGGAAGCACAGAAGATCAGCTCAGTATGTTTATAGTGTTAGATGTTGCAAGATCTTGTAATGTGAAAATGGTTTAAGTGCTCAAGCTTTGAAGAAGAAGACAACATCCTAATGTTGAAAGACATGTCACTGGACTGTGAGTCATCCTGTTTCCGATTCAAACGATGTTGAATATTTCACTCCTGCTAGGATTTTGCGTCTTACTTTGTGATAAAATGCCGACGTCTCCTTATCTGTAAAATGAGAACAGTGATGCAAGAATGTCACGATGGTGCCCGAGTGTCTCTTCAGTGCAGTTACGTATATGACTCTGTCACGGTCTCTTCTAGTTTCTCATTACCATCTGTCTCCCATTCTGTCATCTCTCTCTCTCTCTTTCTCTCTCTCTCTGTCCCTCTCTCTGTCTTTCTCTCTCTCCCCCTCTCTCTCTCAGAAATATGTTCAGGATGTCCTTCGCGAGCAGTTGTCTGAGACGGTGTATCGGTGTTTGAGGGAGGAGGGGGGCCACATCTACGTGTGTGGGGACGTAACCATGGCGGGAGACGTGCTGAAGACCGTCCAGCAGATCATCAAACTGCACGGCAACATGTCTCTGGAGGACGCTGGATTCTACATCAGCAAACTGAGGGTCAGAGCTACTTCCAACGCCATCTTTACTCACCTTTATAACTTCATTTACTTACTGACATTGCATACAAGGGCTCCATATCAGTTGTGTTCATGCTCTGTAACTTGGTTTATGCTTGTCCAGTCTGAAATATCAGTATCAGAGCTGATCAGGATCAGCTATATTAGAGGGGAATTACACAGATTTTCCAAAATGTCTGCCTAATTCAGTCATTGTGATGTAAGTAAAGTCATTCAGAGTGGTTTGATGTGAAACGGTTCATTGTAGAGAAACTTTTTACAGATTTTTTACAGTGGTAGTAAAAATAGAGCCATTTTGTTTACTATGCACAACCAGTAAACCAGGTTTTTATATCACTGCTGTCGCAAGAAAACCTCATATCTCCAAAATGGTAACTTTACAGGAGAAGGTAAAAACATACTTTACTTTTAATGTAAGTCAGTGGAACCAGACTTTTTTCCAAGTTATTTTGGGCCGTTTCTTTTGGTCCATTCATCAAGAAATTTACAAACAAGGTAAAGTTCAAATTAGGTCAAAACCATTGTGAGAACAGTGATATATAATTTTGATTATTGTAAAATAGTGACAAAAGCTAAAAAAAAAAAGTTTTCTTTGGGAACTGTTTTGCCATAAAACACCCCGCATGCACCATTAATTGACTATTAACTATCTAAACTTTCTCAAAACTATCATAAAACAATGAGTGCGTTTACATGCACTTAATAATCTGATCATAATCAGATTTCTGCAGTTATCTGATTATTCAAATGGTCATGTAAGCAGCATATTCCAATTTCTTACACTGGAGTAAGGTCCAGAAATCCGGTTAAGAAATCAGATAAAAGGGGGCTCTAAGTGTCTAAGTGTTGGCCCCAGCGTTGGAGATCATGAGTTCGATCCCTGGTGATGCTACAGCCACAGCATCAGTGGCAGTTCGAAAAGATGCGGTGGCGCCTCACAGGTCTCAGAGAAGCCTGTGCTAGCCTCACCCTCCTAGCATTGGTGGTATCATGTGGCTGGGGGAGTCCCAACTTGGGGGTGGAATTGGATACGACTAAATTGAAAAGAAATCCGATAAAGAGAGCCGGAATCAGATTTCAGTAATTGGATTTCAGTATTTGGATTTCTCAGTGCATGTATACTCTTACTCAGATTTCTTTCGGATTTCTCAGTCCCCGCATTTGCGAAAACAGCACATGGTATCGGAAGTAAGCAAGGGATATTTAACACCTGCGAATGACCTGAAACCAACTACATGCTTGACGAAATGACGGATTTAAACATTCTTCATTTCCTTGATGGTGCATTTTTGTATTTTCAGGTAAAAGTGACTCGATGTACAAAAAAAAAAGCTGCGGCACGACATTCGATATCTCCGTTATGTTTATGTCATGTCTTCTTCTGTCTTCTTCTGTGAGGCTGGTTGCAAAGCAGAAATCTGATTATTGCCTGACTCACGTAGACCTGGAGTTTTCCCATTATCCGATTACCCAAGTGCATATAAACGCGTTGATTGGATTACTGACAAAATCTGATTTTCTGCAGTTATTGGATTATAAGTGCATGTAAAGCACTCAATGTTTCAGACATCAGGCAGCGTATTTATAAACATTTCATGTAATAACTTTCTGTGAGGGAGATTTTAGAGACATTAAACTCTTCATATGTCTGGTTCCTATCATCATCACTATGAACAACTCTGACTCATTAAGTTTCTCTAGAACAAAGCATTCCACATCAGACTACTCTGACTGACTTTGTTTACCTCTTAACCGTTTAATTATGCAGAAATTTTGAAAAATCCTTTAAGATCTAAGACCTTTTAAGATTTCTTACACACAATTCGGCCGGGATCAGCTTTCCGTGGGGAGGTGGGGTAGTGCCAGTTTACCACAGGACCACAGGACATCTGTAATGCTTATTATCAATTTGTACCAGGTAAGAAATCATGGTATAATTGACAGAGATGGGAGTGGGTATTTGATTTACACACTACCTTCACTCCAGAAAAAAGTAAAAATCATGTCAAAACATTTAATTCAGCTGATATTATTCATATATCTATTTACCCTAACCATCTGTCTTGCTGTATAAAGTGAATGTACTGTGTCACTAGCATTGACGTTAGCTTGGGAGTCAACAGTCAACATCACTACATAAAATGAAAAAGTTATTTCCTGCAAATTTACATGTTTTAATATCCTGGGTTGTACAGGAGGAGGACAGTAATGTTCCACATCAGCTTGATTTAGCCAAAGAGAACACAACTAGACACTTCATCAAGTGCCTCAATACTTTAATACCAATACCTAATATTGTCAATCTAAAATTAAAATAGACATTTTTTAACATGTTAGTTCAATTTTAAGCGAAACCCTTTGTGTCATATCATTCAGTAGACAACATTCTTGTTTCTCCTTAATCTTTGATAGAAGTGTAGTGACTCTTGCCCACCTCTAAACGCCGCCTGACGTTTGGTTGCATCATCATGTTCCAGCGGGGGGGGGAGATATACTAACCAGTAATATCTTGGTATGCGCATCAACATGACCTGTCATCAAGCGTAAACACCCATCATCACCTCCACTCACAGCTGCACGTACATGCATACAACCTCTATTCTTCTTGTCATTTTACTCTCTCAATCAGTTTTTAGACAGGTGAAAAAATTATAACTGAGTTATTTCAGTTACATTGACAACCCGTGTTCATGTTAACACTAGTGAGGTACTTCAGACATCTGGCAGTGACTGCACTGTTTTCTGACGTTTTCTGCTGCGCTGCATGACGGCGAGACTGCGAGGCAGGTCAAGCTGTTGATGGAGCAAGGTGTACAGACACGCACATACACACACACACACACACAGTCCATCTCTTTCCTCGTACACAGGTTTTTCTGAATGATAACGTGATTTCTTTTTTCCTGAAGTCTTTTTGTCTTGCTTTTGCGGTGAAACTGTAAGAAAAGTGAAAGCAATGTGGATGCGAGCCTGCTAAGACTTCAGCTTGTGTATGTCTTAAAAAATATTGTAATCAAGTTAGTCTCTTACATGTTAAAATCAAGCTTTCCATAAATAACGAATCATGTTTTAGAAAATTCGTTTTTTGACAAAATCTGTCGTTTTCCTGTGGCTTTTCAGCTAAACTCCATTGTTTCAGAACGCCCACTTTTCAAATCCTGAAGACTAAAATCATGTCCTGCCCTTATTTTATTATCTGTTTTACTCAGGAATACATCATGTTAAGGTAGAAAAATGTGTTCTGATTTCCAATTCATGTTGACTTTAAGGAACTCCTTTTCTACAGAATATGACTGCGTTTTTACTGACATGTCGATTGTCACTGGATTAATACAAGCTGTGGAATATGTACATATCGCTGTTGTTAGAAGAAAACCTTGTATGTCCAAAATGATAACTTTACAGGAAAGGGAAAAAAACTACTTTACTTTTAATGTAAGTCAATGGAACCAGACTTTTTTCCAAGCCGTTTCTTTTGGTCCATTCGTTATGAAATTTACACAAGACAAGGCATTTTCAGATTAGGCCAAAACCTGATAAATGGAGATACAAGGTTGTGTTCCTCCAGTTTCACTGTAGCCAATTCCATCCACTAGCTAGGTCCCCCCATCAAACAGTGCTACCAAGCTGAGAGGGTGAAGGCTAACACATGCTTTCTCCAAGGCACGTGAAGCACCACCACATCCTTTCACACTGCAGCTAACGTAACATCATTATACAGTTCTACACGCTTGGAGGAGAACACTAACTAAATTCTGTCACATCAGCTAACAGATGGCTGCGTTGGCTAGCATCATAAGTGATGGAGGGAGATGGATTCTACTCTACCCAGAGAGTGAGGCCAGTTAGGCTGTCACTCCTGGCCACGGATGGCTGTAAAATTCTTGTTTATTCTTGAGGCTATTTTACTTACTGCATTAGCCACAATAGCCCTTGTAAGATCAGCAGTGCCAATCTTATGACTGCGATTAAGCTAGCCACCATTTGTCAAAACAAAAGGTTGAACTGGCTTCAAATAAAATTTGAGTGTGTGGCTGTTACAGCGCATTCAAAGCTGAGAAAAATAAAAGTAGCAAATATGAAATAAGCATATTTAAGACACTGAAAAATGGTCTAGAAACACACAAAGCAGATCAGTTCTGACTCTATCACACTACGCACATACTGAAAATGCAGTGACTGTACTGTAGCATTTTAAAGTGTTTGGCTGTCACATTTTACCCAAATTGGATTAATTTTACTGACGTTAATACACCTGATGTGCAGCTGTGTTATTAATATGCTGGGTATTAATTAAATGAAGGAATTGGGGCCCAAAAGACAGGATGAAGACATCTCTGGCTATAACTGTAAATGTTTAGACCCATGTGGTACAATACTTGTGCACAAGAATGAGATTAGAGGATACAGCAGTGTGCAGATGTTGCTTTGTTTAGATGTTTATCAGAACTCTCTCTCTTCTCCATTCAAGTGTTCTTCTGACACTTGTTTGTATTGTTAATTATGCCCAGGAAAACAATTCTCTCTCTCTCTCTCTCTCTCTCTCTCTCTTTCTCTCTCTCTCTCTCTCTCTCTCTCTCTCTCTCTCTCACACACTCTCTCTCTTTCTCTCTCTCTCTCTCTCTATCTCTCTCTTTCTCTCTTTCTCTCTCTCTCTCTCCCTCTCTTTTCATGCAAGTTTTTTTTATGTAAAATGCAGTGAAGTTTCTTGTGACCATCTTGTGTCTTTAAATCTTTTGCAGGATGAGAATCGTTACCATGAAGACATTTTCGGTGTTACTCTGCGTACGTATGAGGTCACGAACCGGCTGAGATCAGAATCCATCGCATACATTGAGGAGAGCAAGAAGGACTCAGACGAGTGAGTGTCCATTTCTTTATTATTTATGCTTTATGATCATGCTACACATGATACTTGACTATTATTGGTTATAACAATGTTCAGTAAAGTCATTGTTAGGACCAAAATAAAATTATCAGGCTCTTTTCAAAGCTAAAACTAAAAAGAAAAGCTTGGTTTGTTGTTTGTTGTGGTGTAAACTGTTCTTGCAGTCACATTTGTGTACGTTTAAACAGCTCTGAATAATAACAAAAGAATCTCTTTAAATTAATTATAATGAAATTTGAGATTTTATGATGCTATTAATTATTTTCTAATAAATTTGAATCAAACTGGACCGTTGTGAGGTCACACCAGAAAGCAGTGCATTGATTTTACTTGATTCAAATGTGTCCATCATGATTCAAATGCACACCACATGAAAAAAATATATATAGATATGCATCAACACAGTTTGGCCTTTTTGGACTTACTTTTGGCAATAACTGTGTTGTATTGATATTGTGCATGTATATTTTGTTGTTGATGTTTTGTTGTGTGGATAATGTGTAGATGATGTGTACATTTGAATCAAGTACATTTAATAGGTCATTTTTTTCAGTGCTACCATTTATATCCATATTACCTGGACAGGTCCCAGAGAGGTCAGTTGTAAGTGTGTAGGTTTACCAGTGGGCTTCACAAAAAAAGGCCAACTGGCAGTGTTTTATATTAGAAAAATACACATACAGTATACAGTACTGTGCAAAAGTCAGAGACCACTCTTGGTTTATTTCAATTCCAGTCAAAACAGCTATCAAGTACAAGGTTTGTTTTTCAGGAGATATTTATGAGCAGATCAGATATAAGATAATGCACTTCCATAAGGACGGAGAAAGTCAAAGGAAAAAACAAGACTAAAACAGGAGTTTCAAGACCTGGTAGACACCAAAACTGCCCCCATCAGATAAACAGCACTTAAAGCTTTCATCTTTGAGAGAGAGGAGAAAATAAAGCTCCACTCTTACTTCAGATCTGAAAACATCCACAGTAATCCTTCCACTGTGAGAAGACAACTCAGCGCTATGAGTCTCCGGTAGCTGTCAGGAAGCCTCACTGAGCAAAGGAAATAGGAGAATATGAGATAGAAACTGGACCCCTGAGATGTGGAGTAAAGTTTTATGGACTGATGAGCCTAAATTTGTTGGATTGAGGCAGAAAATGCAACCAACTTCTAAGACAGAACTTTGGAGGTGTGGAAACACATCCCTGTAGATATATTCAAGCAACTGAAACAAGCCTCCTGAAAAGAAAGGAAACTGTGATAAGTATTGAAAAAATGATATTATTATGGTGATATTACAGTCATGGGCTGGAGTTTAGCTAACCAGCCTTGTGAGCAGAAGATCGCCGGTTTGATACCCAGAGATACCAACAGTATGTGACTGAAGTGCCCTTGAGTAAGGCACCTAACCTCCAACTGCTCCCTGGGCGCAGTGGATAGGGCTGCCCATCACTCCAGGCAAGTGTGCTCATTGTCCCCTAGTGTGCGTGCATTCACTAGTTTGTATGTGGTGTTTCACTGCATGGATGGGTCAAAATGTGGAGGTGAAATTTCCCCATTGTGGGACTAATAAGGGTCACTTAACTTTCTTAATATTTACTTGTTGAGTCTTTTGAGTAATTTTCAATTAAACATAGGTTTTCTGCTTTCTTCTCAACACTGATCAAATAATAACTTAATAATAAGTTTGATGACCATTTTGACAGTAAATTAAAAGAGGGCTGGTCTCTGACTTTTGCACAGTACTGTAGACAAAAGTAGTGCACCACTGCATGGACTTTCTTTCTGTAGTTTTGAGGCTCTTTTTCAGTGCTGTTTACTTGCTGTTCTGTAGTGTTTTGGTGGCATTTGGCTACCGCTGGTTACATCCAATAGGAGGGCCCTGCACTCTGTGGATTACAAGATACCTTTCAGGCCGGCGTGCCAGAGTGGCAGCAGTAACTATAGAAACGGCGGTGCAGGACGGGCTGTAGAGTAACAGGATTAGCTGGAGCGAGTAGCTCCTCTCCACTAGCTCTCGCACTTGTGCCTGCTCAGATAAGAGCCTGTTCACGCAGCACTCTCTCCTGCACGGCAGAACATGCACAATATGGCAACTGACTCGCTTGTTTAGTATATGGCCCTGCGTAGCTCCTGTGAGAGGAGTCACTTGACATGTTTGCAGTTTTACAAGCCAAGTCCTTGCATTGGAGCCTTGTTTTTATTGTTCTTTTTCTCTCTCTCTTTCAGAGTGTTTTGTTCGTAGAGCCTTGTTACCGTTCTGGTCTCACTCAATTTGGGATGGGACCTGAAAAAAACACAGCGGCTGTTTAAGAGAAAACTGTGCCAAGTTTGTCTTTTTTGTTTGCCTTTTCTTGTCTTTCTTTTTTTACTGTAAATGTTCTTGGCTCTTTGCTAGTTTCGACTCATCCTGCATCTCTGTGGTGAGAGTCTGCACTCACGAGATAACAAGTACGTTTTATTTCTTTCTTCGCCGCCAATTTCTGAATGCACTTTTTATCTGACGTACGTTCACATGTTCTTCTTTATTAACGAGCTGTGCGCATTGGCCACCTAAACTCGAACTGCCTATATTGTGGATGCATGAGCAAGACCCATGATGTCAAGAGTTGTAGTCCTGATTATATTAACATGTATAAACATGTATTTAGCTATTATGTGTTGGTGATAAATGGTTTAGCTTCGAGTTTAGTGAATGGAAAGGGTCACTGTGCACATCATATTGTGTCTGGAACTAGAAACGGAGCCAGTGCTAGTGAGGCTTGTCAGTTTTTAATCAACTGCATGTTTTGTGATTTCTGAACAAAAAAAAAAAACAAAAAAACATGGCAGCTTCAACACTGGCAACGCGAAGTGTGTTAACCTCAAACATGAGGTCCGTTACTCCACTCAGCTTGAAAGACAGCCTGGAATGCAACAGTAGTAGCTCCATAATGAACCATTTTCTTTTTTCTTTTTTTTTTTTAAATCTGAAGTTCAGTCATGGGTTACTGTTGTTTTTATTGCAGCCGCTCTTTCGTGAAGATCCATATCATGCTTGGTTTGAGTAGCATGTAGAAAGAAAGGCAGGGGAATGGAACAGATAGAGCATCTAGAATTGTCTGCATCACATTTCAGGCATCGTCCATCTCAAAGGTACCAGAATATTGGGTTTCAGTCTGACAGGCCTTGAAGCCACATTCATGCATTTTCTCAGTGTTTTCTCAGATTTCTGTCAGCTTTATCATCCCAAGATGTCTGAAAAAGAAGAAGATAACAGTTTTACAGTAAAGGTTTTGCAAATACACTCTTAAAAATAAAGGTTCTTTGGAGTGATGTCATAGGAGAACCACTTTCAGGTTCTTAAAGCAGTTGTCTGGCCAGGCCAATAGGGCCAGTAGCTACGGGGCTCTGACTGCCAGGAGCCTAACTCAAAGACAAGGGATAGTAAAGTGAGATGAACAAATAGCCCATGAACACAGTCATATGCAAAAGTTTGGGTGCCTCTGGTCAATTTATATGTCTTGGTGGTTTTCTACATTAAGTTACTCTTTAGTACATTTTAATGGACAATTACCATTTATTTGCTGAATTTAACATTATTTTGCAAAATAATGTCTCATTCGAGCGTGTCGTCTGTAAAAGATGTGGTGATGTGGTACTTATTTTCACTCACGAATTCAACAAAAGATGTAATTATACCTGGGGTATTCAATAATACGCATAATACGACTTTGTGTGACTAAATAAATGAAATAAAGGCCCCTCAGTCCACACAATACCACCATCTTTAAAATCATCAAAAACCCACTAACACTAAAAATGTGAAGAACTGTAAATGAGCAGAAAATAACAGGCTATTGCACGTTAATTGAGAATCTATTGAGTCTATTTTTTTATTTTTTTGTGTGTTAGTTGAGTTTGGAGGTGGGGGGTCTCCGTGTTCTTTGTCATATTAAGCATGGTTCATCATATTATCTCATTTAAAAGAAAAAATTCCTGTTTTTCCTGTAATGTTCCATTGAATTATAATGACTTTTTACCACATCTAAAATGTCTTCTTGATCGGTTGATTTATTCTTTGCCACACAACATGTCAGTGGTCATTTTTCCGGTGCATCAAAATACATACTTCTCTCAGAAAAATATCACAGCATGAAAGAAAAACACAATTTGATTTCCAATTCACACAGACTGTGAGTTTAATGTAAAGTAGGTGGTGATTATGGCAAAAATATAATATACACCAAATGTATTGTAGTGTTTAATAAGTTGGAACTGAAAAAAGCTCCACTAGTGCCACATTTTTTAAAAATACTATCTAAACCTATGAGTACAATGATTTTTATTCACTAAATCTAAACACTAACGATCTAATGATACATGCAGTTGTTCAGTGTTCTTTAACCCCTAAAATGGCCAGGACCCACCAGGACCCCTACACATTCCTGTAACCTAAGATTAACTGAGCCAGTTTACTTTATAGTCCATGTAGTTACTAAATAATAAGCCTAAGTAATAATAAGCCTGGGATGTTAAGGGATTAAGTGATGATATCCATGCTCAGAAAAGCATATTATGTTGTAATTTATTATGACTACAATAAACATCATCACAATGCGCATCCTTAAAGGGGAATTCTACTGATTTTTTCCCACGATTCAATGGTTGAGATCTAAACAAAGTCATTTAGAGTGGATGTGAAGTGGTTCATTGTAGAGAAATTTGCTGGGCTCGCAATGTCTACAACACAGATATAGCCTTTTTATTTACTATCTAATTCACTAGTGAACCTACACGTGTCCATAAAAAGCATCATAAAAAAAAGGTTTCTTTGGGGACTATTTTGCCTTATAATGGCTTGTATGTACCTCTCCATCATGAATTGATTAAAAAGAAAACATTTTAGGCCAAAAGATTTATTTGAAAAATATCATAAAGCAATGTTTCAGGCATGAGGAAGTGTATTCTTAACCATTTCATGCAGTACCTTCCTGTGAGGGAGCTTTGAGAGGCGTTAAACTCTTCAGACGTCTGGTTCCTATCACCACCACCGTGAACAATTCTAGCTTAGTACGTTTCTCTCGAACGGAAAAATTTCACATAAAACCTCTCGGAATTACTTTGTTTACTTCTTAACCGTTTAATTATGCAGAAATATTTGGTGGATTCCCATTTAATGTAAAGGTTCTATAGCATTTTTTTTCCAGAACTGCACATCAAAGCAAACAGCCATTTAGAAACCTTTATTTTTAAGAGTGTCTATTCTAAACCAGTGGGAATATCACTGTGGGAATGATGTATGATCTGAGCTAAAATGAGAAACCTGAAAGCTGTTCCATGCTGCATGTGCTGAACTGAATTTTTGTCCTCTGAAATGGCCTGAAGAACATTGTTAAGTTTGAGAAAGCATCGCATTTACTCATCATTTTTTTCTGTGATGGTACTCTGAAAAAAACCTTGAGAAATCAGAACCAATCACACAAATATCTCCCGACCTGGAAAGCCTAAAACATATAAAAGGCTCTTATCCGCCATCCTTGAAACTGAAAATGAAGTTTGGGGTCCAGAAGGGTCCATTTTCCTTGAAGGTATATCCAGACCCACTTTTCTCCAGGGAAATTACGATAATGTGAAGCAGCCAGATCCAGGTGGTTTCTATGGTTGCTTGATTTTTTTTTTTACAATAACCAGCCACATTTACCACATTACTGAATTACTGCTTAAATACAAAACCTCCAATGATTTTTCCATTATGGCCACCTATAGTGAGGCCTTTTAAATATGTGATGCTGAACCCATTCATGTCCAATGACTAAATTCAATGCAACAGAACCTGTTGTGATTGGTCAAGAGTAATGAAAGTTTGTATAGTTGCACTGTGGATAAATATCTCACAGCACCCATTTTATTTATTTTTTTGGTTCTATGTGACCAAAACACTAAATGTCACTTTTCTGTGACTTATAAATAACTAGTTATTGTCCGTTTGCACTGTAGCTCATTTTGTTACTAAATAAAAAGACTTTGAGGACATTCAGATGGCACTTTTTCAAACTCTCTCAAGTGTGCTTCTTTCTATTGTCTATATAGCAACATGCACAATGACTGAAAAGCACTCCTCTAGCATATGCAATGGGTTGTAAGGTTTTAAATTGTGTATTTACACTGAAAAACTGCTGAGTGCCATTGAAAAGCACCATATGTCATCACAGCCAACCATCAATATAACTGCTTTCTCATTTACCTACGTTGTATGGCCAAAAGTATGTGGACATCCCTCCTAATTATTGGGTTCAGGTGTTTCAGCCGCACCTATTGCTAACAGGTGTATAAAATAAAGCATATAGCCTTGCAGTCTCCACAGGCAAACGCTGGCAGTAGAATGTGTTGTACTGAAGAGCTCATTGACTTTAAACATGGCACTGTCATAGGATGCCACCTCTGCCACAAGTCAGTTTGTGAAATTTCTGCCCTGCTAGATCTGCCCCTGTCAACTGCAAGTGCTATTATTGTGAAATAGAAGTGTTTAGGAGCGAGAAAAGCTCAGCCACAAACCAGTAGACCATGCAAAGAACGGGACTGCCGAGAGCTGAAACTCATAGCGTGTAAACATCACCTATCCTCTATTGCATTACTCACTACAGAGCTCTAAACTGGCTATGGAAGCAACATCAACACAAGAACTGTGCATCAGGAACTACATGAAACAGGCCAAGAAGCTTCATAAAAGCTTAAGATCACCATGTGCAGTGCCAAGTGTCGACTGGAGTGGTGTAAAGCATGCTGACGTGTGAGCCAGGCCTTCTTGTACAACATCAGTGTCTGATCTCACAAATGCTCTTTTGAATGAATGAGCAAAAAGTCTCACAGACACACTCCAAAATCTTGTAGAAAGCTTCCCAGAAGAGTGGAAGTTGTCATAACTGCAAAGGGCCAACTCTATATTAATGTCCAACAAGCTCATGTAGGTGTGATGATCAAGTGTCTGCATACTTTTGGCCATATAGTGGACTTTCAGTCGATTATGTTAACTCGGTCCCTTAAGAAATCCATCCTGTTTTTTTTCTTTTTTAAAGCACGAGACACGGTGCACTCTGCGTTTAATAAGGTGTTGTCTGAATGCCCACTTAGGATGTAATAAGCCTCCTATTTTAAGGAGTTACTAAGATTAATTGCATAAAAACCCACTGGTTTGATTGATTTGAACAATTTCAGATTTGCGCTCATGCAAACTAATAGAATATTCGGACCAAGAGAAATATAAAATGTAATATGTAGACAAGTGGTTACACCACATCCAGATGCTCCTTTCTGGTTTGAAAGCTAGCCTGTGTTGTTTTTACATTCAGTATTCCTTTTTTCTGACCTTGACCTTCAGTATGATTTAACTTACTTTGTCAAGTTTTGACTCTGGCTATGGATGACTTCCTCTTTCTAAAGGAAGTTGTTTAACTGAAAGCATTTGTAGTCTCTGTTGCCGTTTGCCACTGATTGCTTCTGTCCAAACCCACTGTTTAAACTCTGTGATATAAAAAGTGCAGCAAAAAAAAGTTATATACAGTATATATACATGTTTCGAGGCTAAGTAAATATCTAAAAATCAATCTGTATGAGAATTTTTTAAGAATGTATTTTGATTATGGCTAATGATTTTGGAGTTTTGGTTTGTTCAGATGTTGCTTGTTATGAAATTCCGTGGGGAAAATTAGTTCTGATGTCTAGTCACTACGTTGCTTTTGGGGAATCTGAAGCAAATGCATGAGGTCACTGTGTCCTGTTCAGAAATCTGTTCCTCCTCTTCAGCACTGTGTCTAGTTGACTATTGTGACAGAAAGGAGATCGAGGGACTATTTCTTGTTTTTATTTTTGTTTTGTTTTTTTGTTTCTTTTTTTGCAGCTTGAAGAAAAGAGTAAAGAAAATAAAGAATTCCAATCACTCTCTGCTGTGAACCTTCAATTGTGCAACACCTGAACCTTGAGACATTTGCCATTTTGATGCATATTCTTTAATGCATATTCCAGAATACTTTGCATCTACTTAATAATAAAATACCATTTATATGTCAACCTCTGTGGTTCTCTGTCTTCTGTGGGTATTAATGGATGGTTGAGTAAAGATACAGTAATTAATATCAAGTCCTACATTTCTGCCTCAAGTTTGCCTTCATGGCTCATAGATTAATAACCACTGTCTTTACTTCCTGTCATCTTTAGTATTCCACACATAGCCTACTTAAATAATCAGGGTCAGAATTTACTTAAGCTATTATACTTTGGTTCCATACTTGAGTCTCACTTTGGAAGATCTGTACTTTAATACAAAAAAATACTTTCAAAAATCATTGATAATGAATTGGAAATACATTACATAAAAAAAAACATTCCTTTTACTCCTTACATTTCAATGTCTTTGTCCTTTTAGTTATTTTTTTCTTTTTCTTTCGCCAATTAGTCAAGTGCTATGTCTTTTTTTTCATCGAAGCTTCTAGACAAATTTTACTTTTACAGTTGTTGATTTTCTAAGAGAACACACTTCTGTACATTTTAATGCACAATTACTGTTTATTTGCTGAATTTAACATATTGGAAAAAATGTTAAAAAAGAGTTGTTTGTGCATATATATTTATATTTTATACTTTATTTTTTCCAACATGTAAACCTCAGCAAATACCTAGAAATTGTGAACTAAACTTAACAACAGAAAAATGCCATATTTACATTTTTTGGCTTTAACTTATTCTCACTTACAAAATCAACAAAACTTGTTATTTCAACAGGGGTGCTCAAACTTTTTCCTACAGTTGTATATAGTTTAGCGTGTTTAAATGCAGATACTTTTTGATTTTTGCACAAGTAAATTTTTGGCTCCACCTTTAATTGTGTAAGATTTTGACACCATATACACATTTTGAATTTGATACCAGCAACACCTTTTTAAAAAGTTGGGACAACAAAAGACTCATGAAATTGTGTAAAAAACACCTGGTGGAGCATCTCACAACTAATTAGGTTCAATGGCAACAGGTCAGTAACATGATTGAGTATACAAAGAGAATCTTAGAGAGTCTTTCAGAAGTAAAGTAAGGGGAGGGGTTCACCTCTGTGTGAAAGACTTGGTGGGTGCATCAATTCAAGAGTAACATTTCTCAACACAAAATAGCAAAAAACTTAGGGATTTCATCATCTATGATACATAATATCACTGAAAGATTCAGAGAATCCGAAAAATCTCTGTATGCAAGGGACAAGGCTGAAAATGATTGCCCTCAAATGATACTCAACAAAAACAGACAAGATTCTGTAGTAGAAATCACTGCATTGGCTCAGGAACACTTCTGAAAATCATTGTCTGTGTAAAATATGTTATATTAGTTCATTGCTACATCTTCAAATGCAAGTTAAAGCTCTATATTTCAAAAAAGAAACCACATATAAACAGGATCCAGAAACACCGCCGCCTTCTCTGGGCCCAAGCTTATTAAAATTGTCCTGTGGTCCAATGAATCAAAATTTAAAATTCTTTTTGGACATCACCCCATCCTCCAGGCTAAAAAAGGGAGAATCATCCTGCTTGTGATCAGCACACAGCTCAACTGCGAGCATGGTTAATGGTATGGGGGTACATTAGTGCACATGACATGGGTGACATAGACATCTGTGAAGGCGCCATTAATGCTGAATGATATATACAGGTTTTGGAGCAACATATGCTGCCATCCAGATGACATCTTTTTCAAGGAAGGCCTTGCTAATTTCAGCTGGACAATGTCAAACCACATTCTGCATGTATTACAACAGCAAGGCTCCATAGTGAAAGAGTTAGAATGCTAAACTGATCTGCCTGCAGTCCAGACCTGTCACCCATTGAAAACATTTGGCACATTATAAAACAAAAAATATGATACGAGACCCCAAACTGTTGAGAAGCTGAAATCCTACAACAAGGAAAAATGGGAGAATATTTCATTTCTAAACCAAGTGAGTCTCCTCAGTACCCAAATGCTTACAGAGTGTTGTTGAAAGAAGAGGTGATGAAACACAGTGGTAAACATGCCCCTGTCCCAAATTTTTTGGAATGTGTTGTTGGCATCAAATTCAAATGGGCATATATTTTTCAAAAACTCAAATTCTCAGTTTCAATATTTGATTTGTTGCCTTTGTACTATTTTCAATTAAATATAGGGCTGAAATGATTTGCACATTATTGCATTCCGTTTTTATTTACATGTTGCACAGCATCCCAACTTTTTTGGAAATGCAACTGTATAACCATACAGTCATATGCAAAAGTTTGGGCACCCTCGTGGGGTGTTCAGTGGTCAAATTCCATGCTCTGTAAACACATCCTTTGCACGGAACACACATCTGCATATTGTAATGCTGTTTATTTGCTGAATTTAATATATTGGAAAAAAAAAATTAAACATACAAAATGTGGCCTGTGCAGAATTCATGGCACATTCTGTCTGTATGTTTTATATTTTTCCAATATGTTAAACTCAGCAAATAAATTAAAATGCTCTAAAATATGCAGAAAATGCCACATTTGAGTTTGTTCTCTGTAGACGATGTGTTAACTTATTTACACTTCTTTAATGAGATGAAACATGCAGTGTGACCAGGGGTGTTCAAATTGTTGCATATGGCTGTACATCCAAGCCAAGAACTGTTTAGAAATCTTTATTTTTAACCCCTTAAAATCCCAGGTTTATTGCATACTAGGGCTTCTTATTCAGTAACTACAAGGACTTCAATGCAAACTGGAGTGTGTAATAAAACTTTGGGCCTGCCGGTGGGCCCTGGCCATTTAAGGGGTTAAAGATATTCAGAGTCAGGTATGTCATCTGGTTTCACATCACTGTTTCTCACTCTGAAACCCCTCGACGAGGAAACAATAGAAGAGAGGGGAGGATTGGCGCCATGGCAACCTGTCAACAAAGTAAATCGGTTGGACTTTGGCCCGCCCCCACTGTTCAGAGCCTCCTGCTGATTGGAGCGTGTGGGCTAAAGTTGGTGTCTGAAGCCAGGCAGTTAGTGAGAGTGTGTGTCAATCTCAGATGGACCACCCACAACAAGACACACTCCTGCAGTGATTTCCTTTCACTCAGCTCTTGTTGAACATGTTTAAGTTTAGAAATGGAACACCTGCATACCTGACTGAGGCCTGTTTTCACAGATTAAGCCTGTCTGGTTAAATACAGAGAAAGTTTAGAAACATTCTTGATTCAGACCCCCATCACTACCACATACATTCAGTATGGTGGTGGGTAAGAGGGTAGCCAAGGAGACGCTGCTGCCCTCGGTACGTGAGGATGATGATGATGACGTGGGTCATGGGCAAGAGCTGTTAGGAGGGATTGGGAGCAGGCCGACTAGCAGACCACGAAATATCTACAGCAGAGGCAGTGTGGACAGCCAGGTGAGTGAGCACATAAGAGTTTGGGGACTTTTAAAAGTGTTTTTGATAACACTTTCTATGAATGTCACATTTGTAAGCATTTATAAATACATTCTTAACATGTTATAAAGCATTCATAAGGCATTATAAACATGGTTATATATGTTTAAAAAAATTAATTACACTAAATTACAGTTTACAGCCATGTTTATTTTATATTATGTAGTGTTAATATAATGCATTATAAGTAGTGTTAATAACATGCTATACTGTCAGTGCCAAAAAAACTCAGTCCCAGCTTGGAGAGTGTAAAGACAAATACAAAGTTTATTTATGTCATGGGATTTACAATATTTCATTTTTCACTGCTGGTTCTGTTAGGGCTGCATCACTGAGGATTAAGTCCTTGGTAATTCAGATGCTCCAAACTGGTTGAACATCATAGAATTATTGCTACAATGATGCCTTATGATTGCATTATAACATGTTGTGAATGTGTTTATACATGTTTACAAATGTGACATTCATAGAAAGTGTTACTGTGTTTTTCATACAAATCAACATGATTTCTTAGTCAATTTGTGATAAATTAACACATTAAAACATACACTAAAGCTTTAATATACTATATTAAACAGATATTAAAGCATACAGAAGATGAAAACAGAAAACATGCAAATGCACCTGACAGTGTTCGTGACAATGTTCTAATAATAATGCAAAAGCCCACCCATTTTATGCTTTTCATAAAAACCTTTCAGTTCTTAAGGCACCTTTGGGCCAAAATGTTTCCATCTGTGCTTTCAAATAAATGTTTGGAAAAGAAAACTGAAATCATTCTTTAAAAAAAATCCTGCTTTGCTTTCCAAAGAAACACTAATCAGTATGAAGATGAGTGCCGTAAAGAACACTGAGGGTTTATTAGAAATACCTACCTTGTGACAACTGTCATTGGACATTATATCAGAAACACCCAACATATACAGTACTGTACAAAGTCAGAGCCCACCCTTCACTTATTTACTTTCTAAACAAAAGGACCTTAATTTATTACAAGATATTACTGAGAAGATTAGATATAAGATAATCCACTTGCATAAGGAAAGAAAATAAGTAATAAAACTCAAAAAAGTTCAAAAAAATTGGTAGACACCATTTGTCACCATCAGATAAATAGCAATCCACTGTCAAAATGGCCACTCTGTACAAATTATTTATTTCTAATAAAAGTACATATACAAGATAATCCACATGCATAAAGAAGAAGAAAATCAAAGGAAAATATGTGAAAAAAAGTTCCAAAAACTGCTGTTCAAAATACAGAAAAAATGCAACTCTATACAACCAAGCAAGACCTGTTAGCCCACAAAAACTGCCCAATCAGATAAACAGCACTTAAAGCTTTCATCTTTGAGAGAGAGGAGAAAATAAAGCTCCACTCCTGCTTCAGATCTGAAAAAATACACAGCCATCCTTCCGCTGTGATAAGAGAACTCAACACTAAGAGTGTGAAAGGATGTGTAACTGCCAAGAAGCCTCACTGAGAAAAGGAAAAATAGAGAAAGACAAAGAGGCTGCTGGTGTTCTCAGACGGACTGACCACCCCAGAGTCCAGTCTTCAACATCATTGCAAGTGTTCCTAAAATGTAAACAAGTCTCCTGAAAAGAATGCAAGTCATAATAAAAGAAAACACTAAAAAAGTAGATATTATATTTAGCTGTTGAGGCTTCTGTGAAATTTTCTGTTAAATATAGTTTTTGACCAGGAATAAAGAGCCAGAGGACAAATAAAAAGTGTGCACCAGCAAGGTGGAGCTACAAGGTAGGTGTTTCTAATAAAGTGGCCACAGTAAGTGTGATGTAAGTGCATTAGTAAATAGCTGGAAAGCTTTGCAGGTGTCGTTTCTTACTTACTTACAAAGTAAAAGTAAGAAAATTCACCGAAATTCCAAAAGAAGGCCAGGTTTTCCAAACTTTTGACGGACAGTCTACTTATTTTCACAGACAGTGGTCAGAGCGAGGGGCCGGAGTCCGAGCGCAGGGGAGAGGGCTGAAGATGAGGAAGACGATGGCAGAGATAAAGATGAGGAGGATGAGGAGGAGACTGGTCAGAGCGGTGGAGCGTTTGACGAACAGCACAGAGACGGAGTGTGTTTGAGCACGGATGAAGATTATGACACAGAGCTGGAGCTTGAAGGTTATGTAGTTCTTATTAAAAGTGAAAAAGTGAGAGCGTGAGACAAAGAGAGAGAGAGAGAGAGAGAGAGAGAGAGTGCGAGAGAAAGCGAGAGAGAGAGAGATAGAAAGAGAGAGAGCGTGGGTGATTCGTGTTATTATGGAGGGTGTCAGAAAGCTAAGGGGCAGAGAGTGTGTGGTTGCTGCTCTACAGGGAATAAAACGGGCTAACAGTCATGAGTCATACTTTTGATTTCAGACAGATCCTCTCTCTCTATCTCTATCTCTCCATTTCTCACCTGCTTGTTCTGAAGATACTGGAACACCTACGCAGTCTCCTACATCTACATAAATCACTGTTCTAAACCCTCATCCATGTGCTCCCTCTCTCTCTCTCTCTCTCTCTCTCTCTCTCTCGGCCTCTCTCTCCCATGGCTGTTTATTCAGCTTATTAGAGATGACCATCTGCTGTATTAATGCAGTGTGCCTCTGCATAGCTTAATGAATGGCTTGGGAATTTTCCACATTTATCATAATTGGCCATCTTAATGGCGAACAACGGTGTGTTGTAATATTTGATTTGCCAATGATACTATTTCACTCCACCAGGCGGCTAACGGATCGTGTTTCACCAGTAGATCATTTTTACAAATATTGCTTCTTGCACATTGACTTGCATATTGTTAACCTCTAATCTCAGTGGGTTTGTATGCCCACACTTCAGTTTCTCACTCCTATTAGTTTCAAAGATGGGTCACACTTTATTTGGATGGTCACCTATAGATGCTGTACGGATACTTAAATCATTAACAAACGTTCTGGTGATACTTTGCTGATCATCAACAACATTATGGTTAGGGTTAGGATTAGGAGTAGATGTAGGTTATGCCTTGAGGTTAAGGTTAGGTTTAGGGTTAGGGTTTAGGTTAGGGTTAGATTAAATAAACTCTTTCACATTGAATGTGAAGTTCAGTTGCATTTAATGGGTATTTAGTTGAATGTTACTTATAGACAGATTGAGCAAAGACTTACAAAGCATCTACAGTGGATCATCCAAATAAAGTGTTACCCAAAGAAGTCACTGAATAATTCATAGTAGTTACTGAATAATTCTTAATAATTAGTGAGTAATTCATAGTGCTTTATGAGTAATTGATAATAGTGAGTAGCTAGTAGTAGTAATAATGTATAATAGTTAGTAATAGTGAGTACTTCATAGTAGCTAGTGAATACTTCATAGAAGTTACTGAAAAATTCATAGTAGTTTCTGAATATTTTTTTCTGAATATGTATTTTATATGTATACATAGCAGTTAATGTGTAATTGATTATAGTTACTGAAGAATATACAGTAGGTACTGAAAAATTCATAGTATCTTGTGAGTAATTCATAAAAGCTACTCAATAATTTATAGCAGTCACTGAGTAAAATGAAGTAGGTAGTGAGCAATTCATTGTAGTTACTGACAGATTCATAGTGGTTACTGAAAAATACATAGTAGTAAGTGAGTAAGTGTGTAATTTATGATGGCTGCTTAATAATTCATAATAATTCATGATAGTTAGTAAGTAATATATAGTAGTCAGTGAATAATTTATTGTATTTCCTAACTAATTAGTCTTAATATCAATAACTAAATAAAAAGTCTGAAATTTTAAGGAATGGTACACAGTTTACCACTTACCTCAGAAGTAGTCAATCAGCCAAAACATTTGTAGTCCACATTTTGCTTCTATGTTTATCTCAACAGTCACCCAAATCTTTTTTGTAAATACGTGCCCAAAACTGCTCTGAAAATCTAGCGTAAGGGGGAAAGTATATAAATTTGATTTTTCACCAAAATATTTGTTAAGGAGTTAATTAAAAAGGAAAGGAAATTTGGCGCAAAAAAAAAAAATCAAATGTACACAAGTTTCCTCTTAGCCCAAATATATATCATCATAAGAAATATTTGGTGTCAAAAGCTTGTATCTTTGGTTTTTCACTGGAGTTACAAGTCTAATGTAGCTATAATGCAGGCATAATAGAAGTGCATTTTCACCATTTAGCATGCTAAAACAGGCCCACAAGAAAATAAACCTGCTGGAAACATATCAGTATCCATCAGCAAGCATAAGAGGATATCTCACTTAAAAGCTTTATTATGTTTCAAAGAGCACCAATGAATAACTTTTAAAGACACAATCCCATGATCACATTCCAAAAAACTGTCCTGATCTTCTTTGGCCCAGAGAACATAATGTCATAACCTTATTTCCAGTAAACAATCTGAAAGGTTGACACGTCAGACCTCAATACATGTTTTCATTGTGCATCAGGCCATTTCAGATGGGCTTGGGCCCAGAGAAGTCGGCGGTGTTTCTAGATACTTTTGACATTTGGCTTCCACTGTACACATTACAGTTTGTCAAAGCCCATGTGGTGATATCCGTCACAACAACACACTGCATGCTGGTTTGTAATGCAGCCATTTAAGGTGTCGAAGGTCACAGGCGTTCAATTGTGGATTTTGACCTTGGCCTTTCCTGGATGCTTCTTTAATACCCAAGCATGATTGCACCACCTGTTTAGGATGTTGTTTCACAATGTTCCTAGTCTTAAATTGCTGCTGTGTAAATTGCTGCATCAATTTCAGCATGAGTGTATATTTACCAAAAAACAATTAAAATGATCAAATAAAACATGATATATCTTGTCTTTGTACTGTTTTCATTTAAATCCAGGTCAAAGTACATTTATAAATTACTGCATTTTACCTACTGTCCCAACTTTTTTGGAATTGGGTTGCCAAATTAAAGAAACAAACTTCAGACCAATCATGTCTTGGCTGATTGGTTACATTTAGGGCATCTGAGGGAAAATTGTGTTGATTTTTCACTGAACCATAACATAAAGGGTTAATGAATCATTTAACACTCACTGGTCATCAGTTATCCATACTATTACATAACAATGCCATGATGTCACCAGACCGGCTATTGGAATCAAAGATCATGAGATCTTGCCAGCTTTGAGGAGAATGAGAGATGTCCTGTTTTGTTTGTGTTACAGATGAGAAAGATCAGTATGATCCCACTGGCCAGGCTCGCTACAGAGAGGCGTGTAAGAGGCTCGGTGTGATTCCTGTCTCGTACTTCCTCAGAAACATGCACCAGAGTGAACTCAGCATGGTGCACCATGGCCTTGGACCTCAGGTAGACTTCAAGTCTTCTAAAATATGCTCGTCACTATAGAAACCATGTATGAATAGAGCTTATTTGTCTTATTTTGCTCACCATTGATCACAAAGATAAATAAACAACTGAAAAAAAAGACATTTTGACGACTCTGCTCTGTAGGGTACCATGGCTCTGGCGGTTCCCTTGGTAACCAACACCTCCATCCTGAAGCTGAATCTACGAGATAATTGGATGGAAGGAGTAGGCGGGGCGGCTGTGGCTGACATGCTGAAGGAGAACTGTTACATCACAGGTGCTTTTCTGAAACGGCTAAACACCTTCCATACACACTTCCATACATGTGCTACTATATATCTAAACCCAAACACCAGCAGCACACAGCCTGTTTAACTTCACCACCTGTGATGCTTGATTGTCTTTGGCTGCTCCACCTGAGTCTGTCATTCCTTCTTAACCCTCTCTTACCTAACGTATCATCAGCATCACATCAGCCTTTGTCTTTGTCTCCTTTAACTAATTAAAATCTGCCTGTAAAGTAGGTGGTGCACATGCATGTTGATATATATACACCGATCAGGCATAACGTTATGACCACCTCCTTGTTTCTACACTCATTGTCCATTTTATCAGCTCCACTTACTATATAGGAGCTCTTTGTAGTTCTACAGTTACAGACTGTAGTCCATCTGTTTCTCTGTATACTTTGTTAGCCCCCTTTTACCCTGTTCTTCAGTGGTCAGGACCCCCATGGACCCTCACAGAGCAGGTACTATTTGGGTGGTGGATCATTCTCAGCACTGCAGTAACACTGATGTGGTGGTGGTGCTGTGTTAGTGTGTATTGTGCTGGTCTGAGTGGATCAGACACAGTAGTGGTGCTGGAGTTTTTAAACACCTCAGTGTCACTGCTGGACTGAGAATAGTCCATCAACCAAAAATATCCAGCCATCAGCGTCCTGTGGGCAGCGTCCTGTGACCACTGATGAAGGATAAGAGGATGACCAACACAAACTGTGAAGCAGCAGATGAGCTATCGTCTCTGACTTTACATCTACAAGGTGGACGGACAAGGTAGGAGTGTCTAATAGAGTGGACCGTGAGTGGACACAGTGTTTAAAAACTCCAGCAGCACTGCTGTGTCTGATCCGGCCAGACCAGCACAACACACACTAAGTGCACCTATATAGTAAGTGGAGTTGATAAAATGGACAATGAGCGTCAAAACAAGGAGGTGGTCATAATGTTATGCCTGATTGGTTTATGCATATATATATATATATATTGTTACAAAAATATTATATTATACAGATGAAAGATGTTGTCCTAACAAGGACATAACTGGCCTATAATTAGTAATTTGTGGTGAGATGAGACAAAAACTATGTTGTTCGGCCAAAATTCAAAACACTATATGTGGCACAAACCTAACACTGCTCATTCCTCAACAATCACCATCTCACCAGTGAAGTGTGGGGGTGGCAGCATGCTGCTGTGGGTATGCTTTTCCTCAGCAGGGACTGGGCATCTTGTTAAAACTGAAGGATGGATGAACGGTGTAAAATATAGAGATACTGCAAGACCAAAAACCTCCTTCAGTCTGCTAAAAAAAACACTAAAGCTTGAGAGAAAATTCACCTTTCAGCAGGACAGAGATTCCAAGCACCAGGCCAGAGCAACACAGGAAGACAACAAAAAGACTAATATTCTACAATGTCCAAGTCAAAGACCAGCAGTGGTGGACAGTAACTAAGTAAATGTAATTCGTTACTGTACTGTAGTTTTTGTGTATCTTTACTTTACTGAAGTATTTCCATTATGGGGACTTTTAACTTGCACTCCACTACATTTCAAAGTCAAACATCTTACTTTTTGCTCCATTACATTTTGCGAAATCTGTCGTTCCTTTTGGTTTATGTGTGCATAAAAACGTGACATGACAAAACGAAAGAAGCATGAAGCAACAACACCAATCAGGGTACAGCACACACTTTGTTTTGAGCTTGTTTTGACCTGTTGGACGTTCCTACTCAGTGCAAGCATACGGTTCAACGTCAGTGCAGCAGCACAGAAAAAAACTGGGAGTGTCTATTCCAGCATAAATGATGAACTAACCTAACTTTGTGTAAATAGACCACAATATAGATCTATGTACTCATATGCAGTTGTCTTTTTTCTGAATTTATACATAGTAAATTTGTTTTGTCTAGTTTATGTTTATGAACAGAGACCTACAGATGCAGTTTAGTAAAGGAAAACACATTTGATGAATCTGTGTTTAAAGCAGGTTTTTATTAAACTTAAACTTGTAACTTGTAAGTTGCAAGTTCATCTTAAACTGAAACTTTGCTCGTTTGCAAAAAGTTATTTCAGAGCCACTCAGTTCTACATAATGTAAATTGTTTGCCTTCAGTGTTTTGTGCTTATGATAATTTTAATGGACATCAGTGACAAACTAATTAATGGCATTTTATTAAAAGACTGGTTTACCAAGTGTGACACTGGAGTATTTTTACCTAAAATGAGTTAATGAAGCGAGTCTTTTAGTACTTTTATTTCTGTTACTTAAGTACATTTGAAGGCAAATACTTTTGTACTTTTACTCAAGTGGAGGTCTAAAGGGAGGAACTTCTACTTTTACTGGAGGAATATTTTTACCTTGGGTATCTCTACTTTAACTCAAGTACATGATTTGTGCACTTCGTCCACCACTGCTGACTACAAAATGATGACATACTCTCAGTGGTCTGCTGCCATTGGTGTGGACAAAAATTGTATTTGAAATCATGGTCAAAAAGGCATCTTCAGAAATATCTTATATCTTATATAATATATTATATATATTATATCTTATTATACACAAAGTCTGATAAGCTGTGTTAGAGAGAAGTTGACGTAGTTGGAGCCTTCAATTCTGAAACAGCCTAATGCTTCACATGTTGGATTTCTCCTGCTGCTTTTTTCAGCACATTACGACCTCAGTCTGTCAGCACATCTAATGAAAGGGCAAGATTGGCTTTATTAGGAGGAAAAAAACTCCAGCTCTTGTTTAAATAAGGCTCTGAGTTTGATCGCACAGCTTCGCACAACGCTGGAGCAGAATTAGAGAACAAAGGTGACCGACTGCTTTCCGTCACTAAGCAATACCGTACATGTATGAGCTAAAGCTTTCAGACAGAACAAAGCACAGAGCCTGTTAACCTGAAATCTGATTCATTTATTTAACATTTAGAATTATCTGACAATTAATATTGTAAAGAAAGTGTATAATGTATTCAACCAAAAAGGTTCTGCTACTGCTACAAGCTTGGCATCGTAATGATAGAAGAGCCCCATTTTGGTGCTGTATAGATCCATTTTCAAGAAGGTTCATCACAGCTCATTTTCCATCAATGCAGAGAACCATTTCACCATGCAAAGAACCCTTTAAGCATGCAAACAGGTCTTTGAGTGTTCATGGTTCTGTATACTGTTAGAAATAAAGGTTCTGTGCTGGTACATTTTCCTTTCATCAAGGTACACACAATGTACATTGGTGGTTTAAAGGTCCAATTATGTACCTAAATAAGTTTTTCCCAGTAAAAAAGTACGTATTTGTACCTTTTCATAATATAATGTTTTAAAACAGAACAATAAAATAAAAGCCTGGAGACGAGACGGGGTGTGTGGAGTCAGTACAGCTTAGAAAATATAATATCAGTGGATTATGGTACAATTAAGCTTGCTGACTAAAGGTACTGAGATGTACCCTTGAGGGTACCACCCCAGTGACAAGAGGGGAACTGCCCCAGTGACCATTTCATACCTTTATTCTGAGAGTGTATAGAACCATTGCCTTTACTAAAGAACCCTTGAAGACCCATCTTTTTAAGAGTGTTGCCATACTCAAATGATGTAGAAAAAGAAAAAATTTAAAAAAAGGATATTCATGTTTTCGTTAGGACAGCGATGATATATTTGCATCTCTTGCCTCATCACAGTCGGTTATGGTGCATTCTGTCTGCTGTAAATTATCAAAAAAAAAAAAATCTAACAAAAAAGGCAAATCATTGTGCATGACATCACTGATCACGTTACAGATGTGCTGCTTAAATTTTCAGCACCCCCAACTTAAGACACCTCCCCGCATCCCTGCTCTGCTCTAATTGGCTGCCTTGTATTGTGCCTCATTCAAAAAGCAGTCTAGGCTGAAACACTTTAAAATGAATGGATGAGGCTAAACTACTGCAGGCCGAATAGGTGGAAGTGGATGTAATGTAAATGCATTGGTTTTTGTGACATCACAAAAACAATGACTGCAAAATCAAGCTTGTTTTGTAGTTTATAGAAACTGCATTAAACTCTTCTTTGTCAAAAAAAAACAAACAGTGAGTGCGTTTACATGCACTTAATAATCTGATAACTGCAGAAGATCAGATTTTGTCAGTGTTCCGATCAATGCATTTATATGCTTATGGGTAATCAGATAATGGGGAAACTCAAGGTCTATATGAGTCAGACAGTAATCAGATTTCTGCTTTGCAACCAGCCAATAAACTCACAGAAGAAGATGCGACGTAAACGTAAAGTGAAACTCAAATTTCATGTGGCTTTTTTTTTAAACATCGCGCCACTTTACCTGAAAATATGAACACGCATCATTTAGAAGATGAAGAATTTTTAAATCCTTTATTTCATCAAGCATGTGTTTGGTTTCAGCATCACTCCAAAAGTGTTTTGCTGCCATCTTGCAGCTGCTTGCCTAATTCTGGTACAGCGGTCTGTTTTCACACATGGGCAGACTGAGAAATCCGAAAGAAATCAGAGTAAGAGTTTACATGCACTGAGAAATCTGATTACTAAGCTAAAATCCAGCTCTCTTTATCAGATTTCTTAATCGGATTTCTTGACCTTACCCTGATCTAAGAAATTGGAGTGTGCTGTTTACATGACCATTTGAATAATCAGATAACTGCAGAAATCTAATTAAGACCAGATTATTGAGCGCATGTAAACGCACTCAGTGAAAAAGAAAAAAGGAACATTTTTCATGATATGTGAAGTTTTTAATGTTCCCAAACAACTAGGAAGATTAAATAAAACATCTTGAAACACCTTCTGGTGTCACGTTTAAAATGAATGAAAGCATATCTGCAATTAGGTTGCAGGTTTTATATTATTGAGAACACTGAATCCAAGCTCTATCATTCATAATCTACAAATATGAGTCTTCAGATGATCTGGACTATGAATGTTTTCATATGAGGATAAATAAATAAATGTATTTGATGTTGATATTCTTTCAGAGATAGACCTGTCAGAGAACCACCTGGGTGAGTATGGTGCGAAGGCTCTGGCCAGCATGCTGCTGGAGAACACCACCCTGGTGTCGCTCAACCTCTCAGGGAACTGTCTGGACGAGCGAGCGGCCAGACACCTGGCTGAGGCCCTGAGCAGGAGCCAGAACCTGCAGCATCTGGACCTGAGTCACAACCGGCTAGGAGAGACAGCAGGTATGGCCTTGGATAACGTAGCTAAAGTTAAAAAGTTGGTCTTTTCTTCAGCAGTAAAGCATTTGGTCAGCTGACATGGAATGAATGGTCAGAGACACTTGGTGGAGATCTGTGAGCAATACATTTTTAAGTATCTTCTATCCAGCAGTCTTAAAAATAAAGGTGCCAAAAAGGGTTGATGCCATAAAAGAACCACATTTTTCTTTCGCTAAAGAACCTTTCAATGGATGGGTCATAAAGAACTTTTAAAGAACGTCCACATAATGTAAGGGTTCTAAGCCTTAAATTGGCACAGATCCTTTACATTATGCGGCAGTTCTTCAAGAATTAAAAATCCCTTAGTAAGGCTTATTATTCAGTAACTACAGGGACTACAGTGCAAACTGGCTGAGCTATTCCTAGGTTATACATGTACCTACTTCTTTAATAAGTACATGTGAAGTATGTTTTCCTGAGTCTGACATCATTTTGAAGTAATTAAAAACACAAGCACTGCTCACTGCTGCTCATCTCACTCTGACTGGACTCACGTGATGCTTGGTGTCATGGCAACATCTCCACCAAGTGGTTCTCTATGCATGCACGTAATTTTGGATCGGATTACTTGTAGTGAGCATATAAACTGAGATTTCAGTCTTAACCTATAATCGAAATGTATTCAATCAGATTGGCAAAAGCTTTTCACAAGCTTTCTATTCCACTCTTGAAGGCTTGTGATCAACAATTGCAATAACCAACACCAAAACCTCAAATAAAAGCAAAACAAGCACTCAACCAATAAAGTGAACACAAAGGGTATTTATATTATTGACAACTGTCAATCAGAATGACAAAAACACTGAGATTTCCAGGCCAGAACAAACAGTCTTCATAGGCAGAGTTTTCAGATCTCAAAAACAACCCAGCCGTCTTTTTCTGTCAAATCCAGTAACTACACAAGTGTGACGGGACGGGGTTTACCTTCCTGCCTTCTCGCTTTGCGTATGATGTGTGCAGCCAACCAGTGTTTGGATCTTCTCAACTAAACTGTGAAAATGTACCAAACCCAGACTTCATTGAGGAAGTCGCGCCGCCTGAGACATGTCAAGGCTGTCTGTTTCAGGCAGTGCGTCCCGGAAAATGTCCTAGTCGTTTCCAGACTGCGTAGCCTAGGGCGGAATCATCTGGCAATGGAGACGACACGAGTGATCATGAGCGCTTGAAGAAGAACATTACTCCTGCTGAAAGATTCTGCATTGTGAATAATGCATAAAACAGCAAGAGTTGAATGTTTTCAGGGTTGTAAATAATGTTGATGACCGTGCCCATAAAAGCTCTGTTTAATACGCCTCAATCCAAATGACAGTCCAAACGACCAAATGGACGTAAGAGAACGCAGTGCTACCAAAGCCTCAATGCATTGAATACAACAATCTCATTTAGATGATTTATCTCTGAGTCTTAAGGCACTGCACTGGTAAAAGGAGACATTTCTCATCTTGCATAAGGAAAAAAAAGATCGAACAGATTAACTGTTACCTCAGTTTGTATCACATAACACCAATAAACACTTTATTTCGTTAAAATTGTGAAATTTCAGCCCACGTGCAAGGCCTCTGTTAGATGTGCTTGACTTTAACTACGCTGTAAAATATTTCACTGTAAAATTACATTAAATAACTGGTTACTAGTTTCATTACTTTCACAGTAATTTACTTTATATAAAATGTAAATAACAGTAAAATAGCAACTGTGTACTGTGACCTCACAGTCACCTGGATCACACGATTACTGTGATGTAGCTGTATTGGTTGGAAGCAACCTCTAAAAATGCAGGAGAAAACAGTTAGAACCTGTTAGAATTAAAAAGGCTTCTTTTGTTCCTGTGCCTTTAAGACTGAAATATGCAAATATTCTGATTGTTTGCTCATTTTAAAAACAATCTAGGCAGAAACACTCCTTATAACTTCAATGTCAATAGGTGAATATACATAGAAATAGTATTACTGTGGAGCAAAGAGGTGGATACCTCAAAGTCTGGGGCTGGTTTTCTTATAATGGTGTTCAGTGAGTTTGTGGTGTCATTCATGGATCATGAACTCAGAAATGTACAGACATTCTGGATGTAAATCTGCAAAGCCTGTAAAGAAACAATAACAATCTGAAACACGACAGCCTTCTTTTGAAAGAATACTTTGCCAAAAAGAAAGTACAGTTTTGGAATGGTCTGTTTAAAATAAGCACCACTTGGTTGGACACTTTGTCTCTTAACACAATGAACATAATACATTTTTAAGCACAGCTGCTGTACAGTATGTCAATGCGTTGTTTTTGTGACAAATACAGTCAACACAAAACAGGCTGTTTATGCAACTTAATTTCCACATACAGGCCTTATGGACTGGACAGTTGTCAAACATTAACAACACAAAATGAAAACAATACAAAATGAAAAACGTGAGGTTTAGTTTTCCAGGATTTGAGCCCTTTAATATTGTTATGCGAATATGTTTTGTACCTATTTCTTAAATGCTCTATATCATGGCTCACTTTTTTAAATAAATGGGTTTGAAATCATTTAAAAACACTGTTAAAGTTACTAAATGTGATATTCATTTCTCAAGTCCATGAAAGTGTATGGAAGCTATGCTGCCAAAACAGCCTGTTTTGAATTCATTGTTCCGGCGATGTGAAGACGACTCATGTACATATACACTCACGTACACCTTTCCATCTAAAGCAGTTTAGCCCCACCCATTTATACTGAAGTTCTACGGAGTGTTTCAGCTCTGTGTGTGTTATGCACAATACAGCATCATTCATTCTGAAGAGCATTTGTGAGGTCAGAGACTGATGTTAGACGAGAGGGCCTGGCTCGCAATCTCCACTCTAGTTTATCCCAAAGGTGTTTGATGGGGTTGAGGTCAGGGCTCTGTGCGTGCTTCGCATTGTGCTTGGTGATGTAAAGCTTACATGCAGCTGCTCGGCCATGGAAACCCCTGACATGAAGCTCCCGGGGCACAGTTTTTGTGCTGATGTTAAAGCCAGAGGAGGTTTGAACTCTGCAGTTAGCAGTGTGTTGGCGACCTTTATGTGCCTCAGCACTCGTCGACCCGCTCTGTACCTTAACATGGCTGAGTTGCTGTGGTTCCTAAACACTTCCACTTTTCAATAATTCCACTCACAGTTGATTGTGGAATATCTAGGAGGGAAGAAATTGACCTGTTGCAATGGTCACATCCTATTCAGTGCGCTCTTTAGAACGACACATTCTTTCACAAATGTTTGTAAAGGCAGACTGCATGGCTAGGTGCTTGATTTTATACACCTGTGTCAGTGGGACTGAATGAAACACCTGAATTCAATGAATAAGAGGTGTGTCCCAATATTTTTGTCCATATGCTGTATATAAAACATAGGTGTGTGAGATCTCAATTAATGTGTGGAAAAGCGCATTACCAAAGTAGAAAAGAGCATTTCCAAAACAAGATGTGTTAAACCAAACATTTTGCTGCCACTGAAGCATCAGCGCAGCTATAGCGAGAGAATTAGCAGCCAGCCAATGCTGGAGTAGACAGCCAGCGTTGGACCCCCTGAATGTCAGTGGGTATTTCGCACACTGCTTAAAACCATGCAAATGTCATAAGTGGACCTCAAGAGAAAACATAAAATTCAAGAATGTTGTATATGGGCCCTTTAATGCAAAACATAACTCTAAATCATCATTTATCCTTTGAAGTCTACAAACAGAAGGCCAATTTCAGTGAACATCATACGGAGAAAGCGTTTAAAAAGCAGACACCTGGATTATCCTCCTTTGATCTGAACACCTGTGGAATCAGAAAAGAAAAATAGATAAATGTCTTTTTATGTATTTTACATCGTAATGTTGCATAAAATGATTCTATTTGGGATAATTAAAGTAGGTGTTTTTGCCATTTACATGAAGCACCTGTTTCCAAGACTGATAAATGTGCAAAATCCTCTATGCTGCAACATCAAGCTCTCTTCCTTGAAATACTTGCAATCCTACACTTGTTATGACTAAAGCACTCATTTAATATAACATTTCACATCATTGCACAGGAGCCCTGTGTATGCATAGAGGATTAACGCAGTCATACAGATCCATACAGTGGATCTCACATATAATGAATGACTGAAGACTAGCTGAAGTGTGCTGGGTGGGAGGACTGTAGATGCAGAGCCTTCTGGCTACAGCACAATGAATGACAGGAGTGTGAAGACGGACTCATGATCTATATAATTCAAGAATAAAAATACAGCTTTGGAGCATTCATGTGGAATGATTCTGTGAGCAAGCTATGATTCATGCATTCATAACCCGTCCAACTGGCACCTCTCCCTCTACAGTGCATATGGCAATATCTCTCTATCTTTATAAAGCTTCCATGCTACCATACCGAAGCATATGCTTATGCTTCTACCCCCGTGACCAATGATAAAGCCTAATAGGCAGTGACAGTGTGATATAATGTATGTACATTCAATTCTTCTCCTCCTTTTCTTTCATAAGCCTCACATAATCAAATTCCATTGCGAATGTTTCACATTAGAGGCATATGGATACTTAAGAGTTCTGTCTTTTACTCTCTCCCTCTTTTTCCCCCCTTAGGGGAAACTCTGGGTGCAGCTCTCGCTGAGAACACAGGACTGAAGTCATTCAATCTGGCCTGGAACTGCATTCGAGGAAAAGGAGCCATTGCTTGTGCCAAAGGCCTTGGGGTAAAAGTGATAACTTTTCTTTCATGCTCTGCAGGAAGCCACTCCAGCCCGGCCGCATCGATCAGCCCAATAACCGTGATTAAACACCTAATACTTTAATCCGCGACGGCTGCAAACAGCAAGGCAGTTTTCAGTACTGCACAAACTCGAGCTTCGAAACAACAGTGACTTCAACATGTGCTGAACTGTCAATGTACTTTTCCTAGCTAAGTCTTAAAGGAGAATTCCACCATTTTTTTCTCTACATAATTTACTCATTGAGATGCAAACATCCTCATTCAGAGTGGGCTGATGTGAAATGGTTCATTGTAGAGAACCAGAAATCGTGATGTATACAATGCACGTAATGCCATTTTATTTACTATGCGAAACAACCAATGAACTTACCGATGTCTTCTGAGTTTTATATGTAATGTTGAAAATGATAAAATAGCGGTAAATCTGAAAAAAATATGTTTTCTTTTGGGGGGCTCTTTCACCTCACAATACCCTGCATGTACCTTTCCACCATGAATGGCTAAAAAAAAAACTTTTAGACCAAAATCATCTCTCAAAACTATCATAAACCAGTTTCTCAGGCATTGAGCAGCATATTCATAATCATTTCATGTAATAACTCTCGGTGAGGGGTCTTTGAGAGGCATGGAAGTCTTCAGATGTCTGGTTCCTATCACCACCACTGTGAACAATTCTGACTTTGTAAGTTTCTCTAGAACAGAGCATTTCACACCAAACCACTCTGAAAGACTTTGTTTGCATATTAATCACTGAATTATGCAGACATTTTGAAAATCGGTGGAATTCCCCTTTAAAGGGGGGGCATTCCAGCCTTAACATGGCATGTAAAGGTCCCATGTTCTATTATGTCCCTCTGCCTCATCGGTTTCATAGTATTCATGATTTTGTATTCATGTGTTCGTCCATCAATGTTCTCTCATCATAATATCCGGCATGCATTACGCAAATACATCATACAACCATTGGGAACACACTGAGATGAAGATATGTACTGATGTAGTGGCTGATAAATACAGATGTTATATTTGGCTTCCTAGCAGTAATGTTAACTCCTCCTGCACTAATCAAAGCCCATCCTCATTTACCTGCCTTTGTAGTTTTTCAAAAGTTCCTCCCACCTTCAAGATACATCATCAGAAGGGGGATCTCTTAGTCTTTAAACCAGATCAAATCTCATTCTAGAGGCTACCGCAGCACTGCTGTAGGAGACGAGTAGGTACAGGCACAAAAAGGTGTTTTAAGTTGAGGGTGCTGGAATTTTAAGCAGCATATACACAGTGTGACCGATGATGTCATGCAAAATAATTAGCCTTTTTTTAATTAGAATTTTTTGATACTTTACAGATTATATTTAGTTTTATAACAGTGTCATGTTGCCTTTTCCAGTTATTTGTCATGACAGATGCCAATAATGTTTGTGGCCATGACTGCTTCTGTCACATGATCATTTTTGCTAAGCATACTCTAGTTAGCTGTCATGACATCAAACATTATAACATCTGTCACAGCAAACTTTAATGTTAACATGGCAGTTATATCAATGTTTTATCAATAAACAAACTTGTCATGACAATCCAACTAGCTTTTTTTCCACTCATGACATTTCTAATGTACACAAAAAGAGGATTTTCATAGAAATGAATTGGTTGTTTTTGTTACTGCACCTTTAAACTCATATGTCACTAATATACATAAAAAAACAACAAAAAACAGACATCTCCAAAAAATGGCAACTTTACAGGAGAGGACAAAAACATTTTTACTTTTAATGTAAGTTAATGTAAAGACATTTGATTCCGAACACTTTTGGAGCATTTCTATTGGCCCATTCATCATGAAATTGACACACAATGTAAAGTATGACAGCTGTGCTCAAATCATGTAGAAAAATAAAAATCGAAAAATAGAAAATTCAGATGATATGTAAATGGCCACTGTTCTGATTGGCTGCCCTGTGTGTTATTTAAACAGTAGTCTGAGCTGAAAAACTTCTTATTGCTTCAGCCTGAATGGGCAGAGCCAAACTTCTGTAGACTGAATAAGTGAATATATGCAAATGTTTTTTGACATCACAGAATCAATGAATCCAATATAGACTATTCTTTCAGCTTCATTTACATGTATGGACTGTATGTGCTGGGGAATAAATGGTGTGGTGAAATACGGGCACTAGTTTGTGACTGACTCAATGTCTGGTGTTAATGTTTAAAGGCAAACATATTCCTGCGAGCTGTGGACTTATCTTACAACGGACTTGGCAAAGAGGGAGCAGTGGCTCTGGGTGAGGGGCTGAAAGAGAACAACACTCTGGAGGAGATCAATATTAGGTACACTCCTTTATCATTTACTTTATCTGTATGACTGTCACAGCTCAGTGACTTGAAGCAGAAGATCTCTGCAGCATGGAGCCAGAGGGGGGTAGTCACCCAGTTACACGTACAGTGGAAAGCATGCTCAGCTCCATTTTACTCACTGTCACTAGTTCCAAATTAAAGATCAGTCTGTTCTGTTGGTTCAGATCCTGGACTTCTTATTTTAGACTCAAAGGAGAGGAATAGAGCCTAACAACCTGGAGGGACACGCCAGCCAAAATAAAAATGTAGCAATTGTTACATATGCTGTAAACATGCCTCTTTGACTCATACAGCAGGTCCACAGTAGTTTCTAGTGTGAGATTTCACACTGGAAAACCCCCTTCCGATGATGAACCTTGAAGGTGGGAGGAAAACTACAAAGCGTTTGGGAGGGATTTTTGAGGTCTGTTTAAAATGTTTCTGTTTTTTCCGTTAGCTAGCTAATACAAAAGGAGGCCAAATCAGAGCCAGTTTATGAGGAGCCTGGCCTCTTCCTATTTCCCCCATTATATCAAAAACAGGACAGCAAAATGCCAGAGGGCGCCCGTGAGCAGGTTCTCGATGAATGGGGGTGAATGGAGTTAAATGGCTAAAAAAGTTTAAATAGTTTCTAATCACTTGTCCAGAACTTTCCTTTAATTATAGAAAGTAGAAGTATGCATTTCATTAAAAAAACAAAGAAAACTAACCTGTAAGTTTCTTTTTTTCTACGGCAAACGGATTTTGGGCAGCAGGACGCCAGCATTACTGCCACTGAGTGCTGATTGGTTGGCGAGCTGAGCAGCTCATTGGCTGTTTGTGCTCACTGACATTATGAACGTACATGAGGCGCTGTTTTAAACTCCCATAACTCGAGTTCAAAAGCGCTCAAAAATATAAAAATATACAAAAAATGTTTAAGCAACTATGATTTTGCACAAATGCTCCATCTTAACCCAATAATTTAGAACTAGCTCGGGAGCGCCCTCTAGTGTTTGAGAAACCCGGAAGACATTACAGAGCGGTAATTCACCTCTCTACAAGTTCTCTGGCCAAATACACAAGCAGTCAGGATTTCTTTATCACCACCAGTATTTGCGCAATGTATGCTGGGTATTGTAGTGAGAAAACATTGATGGATAAAAACACAAATAGGATACAAAACTGTTCTATCAACACTAAGGCTGAAAGATCAATCCTGTATTACAAAATATTGAATAACATAGCAAATAGCATATTAGGTGTTGGTCTTAGGCTGGAATGCCCCTTTAAACTCCTATGCTGGATGCTGGATATGCTAAGAAATTCCACTGCGGTTATATAGGGAGTTTGGTCCTTTGCTCTTTTACTCGAGTTGTCTTTTGCTAGGCTATTTTACTTCTAGTCATGATTTCATTAAGTAACAATATGTTTCCTTAAGGGTGGCTTTAGGTTAATCTTCCTCTGCATTTAGTAAACAAAGCGTCTGTCAGACTGTCTTTGCCCTCTATCTGCTAGACTGGGAGAAAAGACAAGCAACTTTGATTTGATATTTTACTAACATGCCTTAAATCAAAGGTCATGTGTGCTTTTCCCCCGAAACAATGAGGCTGATGGATTCTTGGCCTTTATCTTTGACAGTATCAGCCTGTTTACCATTAAAAAGCTATCCGCATAGTCAAAATTGACCCTACTTCTGAGGGGGCAGCAATGAAATGGCATCCTTTGAAGATGATTTGTCTTGTTTATTTTGCTTAAATCTTTCTGAAACACTAAACATGTTATTTCATTTCTCTGATTTCTCTCTATCCACAGTATCAATCGCATCCCCCCTGAAGGAGCAATCCATTTAGCCGTGGGCCTCAAAGTGAACAAAACCATCCGGATCCTCAAAGTAAGGCGCGCGGAGGAAATTGGTTTCTGTAGAACCAGCGGGGAAGTGTCTGAGACAGAATACTGGGATAAAAGTGGCACATCGAGTGAAACTTTCAATTAAATTTCAGTGCTGACTTACAATTCACTCGCTGATAATCTGCTGACGGGCTCTTCTGATTTTCTGTGGATGTAGATGTCTCGGAATCCCATGCAGTCAGCTGGATGTTTTGCAGTCCTTAAGGCCATTGAAGCAAACCCAGCATCAGCAATGGAGCACCTGGACTTCTCTGTATGTGCCCACCTCTTAACACTCTATGCATGTTGACAAAGTCGATTTAATCATGCTTGACCCAGAAATGTGTGCTTTTGTAGCAATTTGCGAAGCTGGACAAGCTTTACAGAACATTAGCAAAAATATAATTAAATCTGATGAAATTAGGGTAAAGTTAAAGAGGCACTCCAGCCAAAAATTTAAATTTTTGAAGCCATTGTAAAGTCCACAACATAGGCACACCTATGACCACTTCACAACAACTGAATTGTGTATCACTGCACCACAGCACAAAAAAAAACATGCTGTTAATGGAATAATCTTTGTCTCTCAAGCTCCTTGCTTGGACCACAGACTATATTGATGAAGTAAGAACCCGTTTTTTTATTTAAACTGAGGGGCTTACACCTTATGTTTTTAACTAGAACTAGGCTGGTCAGCTAGCTAACAGGCTCATTAACATCACAGGTTGGAATTAAAGCACTTACAGTATGATTAATTGTAAAACGGCAGGGTAAACAATGTCACTCGAATGTTTTACATGCTTCAAATGTTCGTGTTTCAGACAGAAATAGCGTCAAACCCAGGCTGAATCCCAAACGGCTCCATATTCCCTATATAGCTAGTGTGCTAGCTATGAAAGTTTAGAAATTCTAGCCTCTACAGCCAAATAGTGCATCATTTATCGAGTATGTGGCTGAATTTTCTCTGTAGTGCACTATGTAGGGAACAGGGAGCCATTTGAGATTCAGCCCCAACTTGAGAAGAGGGGCACTGCTGGGTTGGTGCTAAATACAACTCGGTGGTAATTTGGGGACCAAAAAGTGCTTATAAAGTGAAAGTTTTTGCATTAAACAGTGCTGTGTTATCATGTTCATTGTTATATGAGAAAAAGTTAAACATTCATTTAATGACTTCAATTTACAGCGATGGCGACCGAACATTCTCCTCATTCAGTGGTCCATCGTTGCTTTGCAATGATACCACACGCCAAATGAACTACATTTCTTGGCGGAATACTTGTTTTTGTTGATTTTATATGTAATGACTGAATTATTTTCTTAGAAATTGTGTATTTCATCATATTGTATGTTGGCTGCCATTTTATAAAAGCAGTAGGCCACTTCGCATCATGCCTAAGAACACCCTTCCCGTGCTAAAATCACAGTAACACACGGCCTCTCGTGGCTTATTGCTTTAGTAAACATGTCTCTTGCCTCACAACGTGCCGCCAATAAAGTTCAGAAAGTGAGATTTAGCAGTTTCATGAGTAGGAAAACTTTCTTCTGATGATGCATCTTGAAGGTGAAAGAACTTTTGAAAAAAACTTTGTGCTTTTGAGGCAGATACATGACAGCAGATCAGAGCTGGACTTTGTGGTTTTAGCTAATCAAAACTACTCAGGTTGACAATGACAATGAATTTCCTCCGATGCTAACATGAGCTTGATTACAGGGCAAAAAACTACACCTGATCTATCCTAACAGTGTGACCTTTCACACACATATACAGTAAATATGCTTTGAAATTATTAACACGTTTTAAAAGGAGTTGCTACAAGAAAGTACCATTTATGGGCTGAGCACTGATTGGTCAAATGTTGGTCCATCAGCTCTATTTCGTCTTTTTCTGTTAATCTTTGATAGACTAACACTGATCACTGGTTTATCTCACACATCTCTCCTTTGTCTGGTCTGAATACCTCTGTTTATTGTTTAATCCTCAAGATTTCGTTAAGCATAATTCTCATAGTTCTCATTTCTGCTATCTGATGTATGGAGTTTCCCTTTAGAGCCTTTAGATTTACCCTTTAAAAGGTGCCACAAAGGGTTCTTTGAATGATGCAGAATGTGGCTTAGAAAAACCGCATATAACCCTCCTGTTATTTTCGAATTTACTGCTGACATCTTTATCCTTGGGGTCAACTTGGCCCCAACATTTTAAACCTCCAAAAAATTATTATAATCAAAACTGCTATCCAAGTTTATATGTCAGGTACTTTGTTGCTTTGCAAAAACAAGAGAAATCAATGGTCATTCATTTACTTAGAGACTTTAAACAATGAAAGATAACAGGATGACTAAAGAACCATTTTTGAAAAAGAGATCTGTGGTGGATAGAACCTTTTAGAGGTTTAATGTAAAGGTTCTATACTAACTTTCGGGTCCTTCCAAGAGCCTTTCAATAATGTGGAGGTTCTTTAAACTTTAAAAAAGTTCTTCAGACTCACACATCTCATTTACAAAAATGATTCTCTAAAGAACCATCCAATGAAAGGTTATTTAGAGAACCAAAAGTGTTTTTTTTTCCTATGGCACTAGTGCAAAAGAACCCTGTTAATTTTAGAATGTGGTTTATTTCAGTGGTCCTTCCTCATGCCCTTATTTAGTTTTTCCAAGCTTAGGTTTGAGCATTAGGAGTCTGGACCAGGCATGTGCCCAGATAGATGCCAATGGGGTATTCAACTGAATTCAGTTGAAAATAGTCCAAAGACTAGATATGTAAAGTTTTAACTAATTAACTTAATTATTTTTTGGTATATATACACTTATTCTAGAGTTGATGCCTTATTCTAAATTAAATGTTCCAGAAAACTTGGTGAAACAAGCAGGGATGTCCCTGAAAAAGACGATGTCTTGATGGCAGCATATGTTTCTCTAAAATGTGTATGTAGCCCTCTACATTAATGATGCTTTCACAGATGTGCAAGTTACCCACTAACACATCCCCATACCATGACAGACCCTGGCTTTTGAACTTTGTGCTGGTACAATTGGGATGGTCCTTTTTCTTCTTTGAACATGACATGGACTCATCAGACCACAGCATACATTTCCACTTTGCTTCCACTAAACTTAAGCCCAGAAAAGTCAGAGGTGTTTCTGGATGTTGTTGATATACTTCCATATACTCTGTAGATGCAGTGGCATTTACTGACAAGGGTTTTACCAAGTATTCCTGAGCTCATATGGTTATATTCATTACAGCAGCATGTTGGGTTTTAATGCAGTGTCATCTGAGGGGCTGAAGGTCACAGGCATTCAGTGTTGGTTTTTGGCCTTGCCCTTTGTGCACAGAGATTGCTCCAGATTCTCTGGATCTTTTCTTAATGTTATGAACTGTAGGTGGTGAAAACACCTAGATTTCTTGCAATCGTGTGCTGAGAAATGTTCTTAAATCATTGGACTATTTGCTCGTGCAGTTTTCCCAGTGCCAAACCTTGACATATCCTTGCTCATAAATGACTGATCCTTTTGTGAATGCTCTATTTATACCCAGTCGTGAGGGCATCATCTCTTACCTATTTACCTGTTTACCTGTGGAAAGTTCCAAAACAAGTGTTTCTGATCATTCCATAAACTTCCCAGTCTTCCACTGCCCCTGTCCCAGCTTTTTTGGAATGGTGTGCAGGCATCAAATTTGGAATTAGCATATATTTACAAAAATTAATATAAAATTAAGTTGATAAGGTAAAATATTTAATATCTCTTCTTTATGCAGTTTTCAGTTACCTTTAAATACCTTCAAAAGACAGTTTACAAACTTGTTTTTATTTGCATTTTACCTACTGTCCTACCTTTTATGTAAATGGGTTTGTACAACACCACTGTTCTTCACTCTTTTCACTCTAGGACATCAGTGTGGACCAGGAGTTTGAAGACTTGTTAAGCTCTATCAAAGAAACACTACCAAATCTCCAAGTGAAACACGGCAGCAAGATACGGCCTCTCCAAAAACCAAAGAGCTGACCAGATCTGAGAATCATTCAGACGCAGTATCTACTACACCACTACCATGCAGGTCAACTCAGTGTCAGCAAAAGCATGACTGAAAAGAGATTTCATTTTATTACACCAAATATTTTCATTAATGTGTTTTTAGTGTTTTTAGGCAAGCAAATGTAATTCCAACTGTTCCTCTTGAATTTATTAAAGGTTGATTACTAAAATCAAACAGAAGGAAATGGACCTCTACTCTTGACTTTACAACTCACCGAAAGGTTACTCGGAGCAGCACCTGCTCAGTTTAATGTGAACAGCTGTTGAACACAATGATGTTCCCATGCATGGGTGCTTGTGCTGATGACGTTTATAACCTCAGGTGTAGTTCAAGCATATGCACATCTTTGAGTTTTTCTTCTCTTCAGGAACCACTGACATTGAGAAAGGAGAAAAGATGAAAAACACACAGCGCTGGTCACAGGAATTATACAAAAGCTCTGTTGAATATTCACACCATTTTCATTTCTTAGCCATGGAAAACATGGGGCATTCAAGCTTTTACATATGATGTACTGAATGTCATTCAAATCATTTAAAAAGGCAAAAGCCTTGTAATATTCGATTGAGCATAATGATGTTGAATTGGGTTACAACTGTAAAGTCAACAGTTCAAATTAACTGAGGAGTAGCAGTCAGTGAGTTTATTAAAACATGGAAGGAAGGGAAGTATCCACTCTACTGAGCACTGAATGTGGAAAAACAGCCAGGAACAAAAAGAGAAATATTAAGGGGCCCATATCCTACATTTTTCTTTATTTTATTTTAACTGTGAGGCCCATGTAAGACAGTTGTGTGGTTTTATGTACCAAAAACAATCACAATTTATATTTAAAAGATCATTTTTGTAACTTGTCTTTATCCTCTAGAATTACACTGGTTGTTTTTGTTACTGTGCCTTTAAGACATATGTAAATGACATGTTTTCTAACAAGCTACCTTTAATATCCAAAAAGCAGTCTGGGCTGAAAAGCTGCTTATAACTTCAATATGAATGAGCTATTTTCCATAGAATTATATATATATATATAGCTGCTGTCAGAACAAAATCTCATCTCCATTTTTGTCTTTTTTCAGTTTTGGACATAATTTGAAAAAACCTACTGTTCTTTATATTGTGCGTAAATTTTAAGATGGATGGACCAAAAAAATGGCCCAAAATTACTTGGAAAAATGTCTGAAATGTTTGAAATTAAATAAGCTTTTTTGATTAGATAAGGAAAATTTTCCATGATATGGGCACTTTTAAAGCCTGCTATTCATGGGGTGTGTTAATTAATACTAATAAAACAAATTCTGTGTTTCAAAACTTGTCTAAATTTCTGGACAGTTAAAACGTTCAGATGTAAACAAAGAACCAAAGAAATGGTTCATTGTAGAGAAACGTACAGACCCTGATTTCAGTGGTGGTGATAGGAACCAGGGGTCGCCACCATGAATGTATTTTAAAATATGTTTTGGGCAAAATCTTATCAGAACTGTAGTAAAACAATGTCTCAGACATCGGGCAGTGCAATCATAACCATTTCATGCAATAACCTTGTGTGAGGGAGCTTTTAGAGTCATTCAACCCTTCGGACGTCTGGTTCCTATCACCACCACTGTAAACAATTCTGACTCAGCAAGTTTCTCAACACCATTTCACATCAAACCACTGTGAATGACTTTACACCTGAATGATTAAAGAGAAAGGGTGAAACATAGGTGGTGTTCCCCTTTAAGCCTCAACCTGTTAGCGTTAGTCCGGTTTAATAAAGCCTAGCTTGCTAGTATATAGCCTATAGTCTGGAGTCACGTGGTCGCTGTTGCCCTTTGCCTGCTGGAGAGCAAACGTGGAGGCGCGACCCCGTTAAAGATTAACTGAAGCTCCTTGTACAGTATTAGAAGTGTGGATGTTGTGAAGGAAAGAAGACTGGATTGTTGTTTAGGTCTAAACAAGGACGGCTAAGAAGATGACGGCGACTTGGTGCGTGAATCTCCTCAGGAAATGGAGGTTTTGGCGCGAAACTTGCCGCACGTCACCGCTGGTCAGGTACGTGGTGAATGGCGAGTCTTGAATGGCGTCTGAAATCAGGTTTGCAGTTTTTTTTCCAGGCCAGTGATTTGGGAAAAGCACCGCCTACCACACGCAGGCCTGCGGATCCCAGCCAAATATGTCAATTTCTGGCAATTTTGGGTAGAACAAGTTGGACATAAGGGGGTAAATGAAACTAGTGCTGGACTTCAGCCCTCCAGGACCTGATTCTGACACCACTGATACAGACTACTCTACAAAATAATTCATTATTCGTCCAAAAGTATCCAGACACCTCTTCTATTAGTGAGTTCAGCCACTTTAAGGTGAACCCATTGCTGATGTGGTCAATTGTGCACACACAGCTTCTATAATCCCTTCAGAAAAGCACTGGCCAATAGAATGGGACACTCTGAAGCCCCCAAAGCTGAGCCTAAGGTCACCATACCCAATGCCAAACATGGGCTAAAGGGGTACAATGCTGTGGAACTGGGTTCTCTGTTCTGTCCAAATGTTTGTAGAGCCATTCTATTGGCCAGTGCTTTCCTATGGGGGTTATACAAGCTGTGCGTGCACGATTGAACACATGTCAGCAATGGGGTCACCTTGAAGTAGCTGAATTCACTAATAGAAGAGGTGTCTGGATACTTCTGGACAAATAGTATAATCTTCATAGAAAAGCATTATTCAATAGAATGGTTCTATAAACTTTTGAGAACAACAGAGAACACAGTTTCATGGCTTTGTACCCCTCTAGCCCATGTTTGGCGTTGGGTATGGTGACCTTCAGCTCATGTATGGCTGCTTCAGAGTGACCCATTCTGCTGGTCAGTGTTTTTCTACGGAGATGAGTGTGCACAATTGAACAAGTATCAGCAATGGGTTCACCTTAAAGTAGCTGAATTCACTAAAAGAAGTGGTGTCTGGATACTTTTGGACAAATAGTGCATTTTTGGTAGTGTGGTCTGTATCAGGGGTGTCAGAATGAGGTCCTGGAGGGCTGAAGTCCAGCACTTGTTCCATTTACTCAGTCATGTCCAGCTTGTTATGTCCTAAATTGTTAGAAATGGATATACAGCATTTTGGAGTGAAGCTCTTCAACTGAATATTCTAGTTGTGAAGTGTGCAGAGCTACTAAAACTCTACTGCTTATGATTATTGAATTTTCCTGAAATCAAGTATATTAATAGGGAGTGTGCTGCAGTAGCAGCCTCTACTTTTCTGGGAAGGCTTTACACTAGATGTTGGAAATTTGCTGTGAGGATTTGATTGCATTCAACCCCCAAGAGCATCAGTGAGGTCAGGTACTGATGTTGGATGTTTAGTTCTGGATCACAGCTTATCACTCCTGAGAATGCAGTTTCACTGCTCCACAGCCCGATGCTGGGGGGGCTGTATACCCCTCTAGCCTACTCTTGGCATCGTGCATGGTGACCTTAGGCTCACGTGTGGCTGCTCCAGAGCATCCCATTCTATTGGTCGGTTCTTTTCAGTAATGTGTCAGTAATGGGTACATATTAAAGTGGCTGAAATCACTAATAGAAGTGGTGTCTGGATACTTTTGGACATATAGTTCATTCTTTGTAGCCTATATCAGAGGTGTCAAAATCAGGTCCTGGAGGGCTGAAGTCCAGCACTAGTTCCATTTACTCAGTTTCTCAGTGGTATTATGTGAAATGCTCTGTTCTGGAGAAACGTACAGAGTCAGAGTTGTTCACAGTGGTGGTGATAGGAACCAGACATCTGAAGCAATGAATGCTTCTAAAAGCTCCTTGGCAGAAAGTTGTTACATGATATGGTTATGAATACACAGGCTGATACTGCAGATATTGTTTTGTTATAATTCAGAGAAGATTTTGTTCTGAAATGTATTTTTTTGTTATGCATTCACTGTAAATAGAGGCATGCAGACCATTTTCAGGCTCAAAGGGGAATTCCACATACTTTTCAAAATTTCTGCATCATTAAATCAATAAGATGTAAAGGCATTCACAGTGGTTTGATGTAAAATGCTCTGAGAGAATCAATCACTGTTCACGGTGCTGGTGACAGGAACCAAGACATCTGAAGAGTTTCTTAGAGGAAGTGGTTACATGGAATGCTTACAAATACGCTGCCCAATGTCTGAGACCTTGTTTTATGATAGTTTTACAAAAAGCTGTTGGCCTAAAATGTGTTTTTACATGCAGGGCGTTGTTGGTAGCGCTGTCACCTCACAGCAAGGGGGGCCTGGGTTTGATTCCTGGCTGGATGACCATGCATGTTCTCCCCGTGTCTGTGTGGGTTTCCTCCCACAGTCCAAAGACATGCAGTCAGGCTAATTGGACATGCTGAATTGCCCCTGGGTGTGAATGTACATGTCTGTCTGTCTGTCTGTCTGCCCTGCGATGGACTGGCGACCTGTCCAGGGTGTATCCTGCCTTCTGCCCAGTGATAGCTGGGATAGGCTCCAGCACCCCACCGTGACCCAGAAGGATAAGCGGTTTAGTTTGTGTGTGGGTGTTGTGAGGCAATAAGTCCCCAAAGAAAACTTTTTTACCCAGACTTCCCTGTATTTTACTGTTATCAGCATTACATGTGAAAACTAAGAAGACACATGTAGGTTCACTGGTGGTTTTGGATAATAAATAAATCAGCTATATTTATGTTGTAGACATTGCGATCCCTGGTTCCTGTCAGCACCACTGGATTTCACCCATTTCACACCAAGCCACTCAGAATGAAAGTTTACATCTGAGCGGTTCAATTATGCAGAAATTTTGAACAACTGGTGGAATTCCCCTTTAAACACACAAAAAAGGAACTAGGAGCTAAATTCCTCTTTAATGTCATTCTGTTGTGTTGGTTTAGCACCTGGACTGCTTTGCCCTTATTTAGGCCTTTTAAAACTTTTGCATTTTATTTTTGACTCAATGGATTTCAAAAAGAGAGAAGAATAGAGTTTAACAGACTGTACTTTCTGTGCTGATACATGTTGGGTGTTCTAGCTAGCTAGCTAGACAGACAGACAGGTAGACAGACAGATCACTTTATTAATCCCTGAGGGAAAGTTGTCTATTACAGCAGCACAAAGTAGAGTAAAGAGCAAAACAAGAGCAAAAATATTGTCGTATGCTATTATACAGATGCATAAACAGAAGAAGTAAAGATCTATAATAAAATATACTAAAACAACAACAACATACAATGTGCAGTATGAAAATAAGTAAAATTGCATGAATATTATGCAGGTGACAATGCAGTGGTGCATGTCATGTCCAGTGGATGAACAGAGTGACTATACACTGTAAATGATAACATGTTAATAGTTGTATGTGTATGGATGTATAAACAAGTGGCAGCGCACAATGCAGTATGCAGTTCTACTTCAGCACTTGAGTCTTTTTGGACGTCAGACTTTTTTTTTTTTTTTACTTGAGTCAATTTTTCACTGAAACAAATACAAGTTTACTTGAGGGTGGTTTTAGGCTTTTCTGCCCACCTCTCTCTACCACTGAGTTGAATCAAGTAAACTCCAGCCCATTCAGGACCTGACTTAGGCTCCTCTGGGCTGGAGGGTGAAGCCGATTTTACTGGCAGCGAGTATTTATTATAGCCTCTACACAAGACGAACTGAAGGGTTTCGTTCCAAAACCCATTACAGAAACATCAGTGTTATATTATGGTTAATATCACCTTTTGTAGATAAGTAGAAATAGGTTTTACATTACATGTCAGCTGTTATTATTTTTAAAAATGTGTTACGTCCAAAATTGTTACAAATTATTTTACAGCACTTTGGAGTGAAGCTTCAGCTCAGTATTCAACTGAAGCCAGCAGTGCTGTCTAACACTCTAGTACTTATGATGATGTTTCATAATAAGCCCTACAAACTTTACTTTTCTTTGAAACTGATTAGGGGTTTGGCGAATAAGAGTGATGATGGTTGGTTGAGGTCCATGTTTGCACACCAAGTGGATGCCAGGAAAGATGCCCACTCCAACCTGCTCTCCAAGAAAGAGACCAGCGGCCTCTACAAAATACAGTGTAAGTCTGCAAAGCCCTCCAGTGCCTTCAATTAAAACGAGCAGAGCGGTAGACCCATGGCAATAAGCAAATGTGCTTGTTTGTTGCATGTGTTTGTGTGAATATGAGAGCACAGCACTGTGTAGGAGTTTTTAATATGAATCTTCAGTATTGCATAATGGGCAGTTTTTCTACATGCAGAAATCTGATGTAAAAAATGGACGGCTGTTTTGCAATAATCCCTGACTTCTGCCTTGAATCTTTCTTCCAGTTCACAATGTCAAACCAGAGTGCTTGGAGGCCTACAACAAGCTATCGTAAGTAGATTTTGTCTGTAACAGCTTCCTCATGTGTAAAGGGGAATTCCAGCTAGATTTTAAAATTTCTGCATAAGATAGTTGTCGAGAGTGATTGTAGTGAAACAATGTCTGCAGTGCAAATATAAGCATTTTATATACAATACAGAATTACCATAATGACCATACATGTCTTCTGAGATTTTATATATGTAATGTTGTTAATGGTGAAATAGTGGTAAATCTGAAAATAGAAGTTTTAATAAATTTAACACTTATTTTTTTTTTTTTTTACAACCACCATAAATTGATTTAAAAATATATTTTAGCCCAAAACTGTCTCATAACATAATCTTAAAACAGTGTTTCAGGCATTAGACAGTGGATCCATAACCACTTCATATAATTGTTTTCTGTAGTGGAGCTTTTAGAGGCATTAAATGCTATGGATGTCTGGTTCCTATTACCACCACTGTGAACTGTGCTGACTAGGTAAATGTCTTTAGAATGGAGAATTTCACAACAAACCACAACCACTCGAAGTGATTTTGTTTACAACTATTTAATTAGGTGGAAACTATAAAAAATTGGTGGAATACCACTTTAAGGATGCCATAATGTTCAATTTTTATCAGTTAAGGACATTTTACTGTTGACCTGTGCATTCTATATAGTCCTTGTTTCATATGGTTTTAAAGGGGAAATCCATCCATTTTTCAAAATATCTGCATAATTAAATGGTTAAGATGTAAACAGTCATTCAGAGTGGTTTGATGTGAAAAGCTGTTCCGGAGAAACTTAGGGAGTCAGAACTGTTGACAGCGCTGGTGATATGATGGTAAAAGTCATGCAAAGTGTTTATGCTTTTAAGGCTACTATATAGAAAGTTGTTACATTAAATGGCTGCAAATATGTTGCTTGATTCCTGAGACCTTGCTTTATGACAGTTTTGAGATAAGGTTTTGGACTAAAACACATTTTTAAATCAATTCATGATGGAGAGATACATGCACAGGGTTATGAGGCAAAATAGTCCCCAAAGCAAACATGTTTTTTCAGATTATTTACCATTATCAACATTACATCTAAAAACTCAAAAGACGTGTAAGTTCACTGGTCATTCTGGATAGTAAATAAACTGACAAATAACCATTTCACCTCAAACCACACTGAAACTATATATAATAACCATATATAATATTTATGAGCGTAGAAACAGGGAGGTGGTCATAAAGTTATGCCTGATATATATATATATATATATATATATATATATATATATATATATATATATATATATATATATATATATATATACACTGAAGATATATATATTTTACATACATATTTTTTGTGGTTTTTGACATAATTTGAAAATGCCTGTTACCCTTTACATTGTGTGTAAATTTCATGATGAATGGACCAAAATGACCCAAAATACTTTGGGACAAATAACCTGTAACATTATTATTTTGGAAGTACGAGGTTTTGTTCCGACAACAACAATATATATTGTGTGTATTATTATTATGATTATTATTATTAGTAGTAGTAGTAGTAGTAGTAGTAGTATTATTATTATTATTATTATTATTATTATTATTATTATTATTATTATATACACACACATCCATACTCTAGACATCTCATAAATAGGTGTAAATCAATTTCAGTATGTCTCTAAAAATAGCAGCCTGCTGATCCTGACCTGACTGAGTAATTTAGTTAGTGTTCTGATTCTGAAGTTAAACTTTATTTTGAATTTTGATGAGTGTATAAAATGTTGCTGAATCTCTGACAGTGAGAACAGAAATTGCCCTTTAAAATCACTCCTGACTCTGAACTAGCTGTTTAAATGGAAAACCAGCTGGTCATTGCCCTTTCAGAACTAAAGAAGGTTTTACATTAGGAACACAGTGAGAGGCCCTTAATCAAGTGTATTTAATTTTCTCTTTCTCTGAATGTGCTGTCAGAACCGAGGTCCAAAAAGAGCTGCACAATGATGCAGATTACCCCTGCGAAGTGGTGGGAAGCTGGAACACATGGTATGGAGAGCAGGACCAGGCAGGTGGGGGTCAAAGAACTGCAAGCCTTTTTGTAGTCATAGATACAGCTAGATACTTTAATCCAGAGTGATACTCCAGTTTTTCTTTACTACATGTGATTGTGATACAGTTTCCATGGTGTTTTTTAAATCTTTAAAATACTAAGTGCTTATAAGTCTGTATGGTATTCCTGCTTAAGCTCAGAGATATGGTGCTGTGGTGACACCTGTTGTTTGGTTGTGGTAGTGCATCTGTGGAGATACTACGGTGGATATCCAGCACTAACAGAATGCCTGAACAAACTTAGACTTAACAAGGTATTTTGTACATTCACTTTGATGTATTTTTCGTATGTGAATACTTTGTCATACCTTACCTGTGTCCACTGAATGTATGCATAGTTCATGTAAGGATAGTGCTTCTGATGGACATGTTTAATGTGAACATAGTAGTTGTTAAGGACACGTTTCATGGAAAGACAGTGGTTTCTTACGGACACATTTCTTTTTAAGGTATGAAACTTTATGAAATAACCAAATTAAGAATGTGTTCTTAATGACATACCTGGTTAAATTGAAGATTTTAATGTAATTTATGCAGTTCAATTGTGAAGTACATGCTGATTATTACACACAGACTGGCCACTTCTTTAAAACAACCTCCTTGTTTCTACACTCATAGTTCCTTTTTTTCAGCTCCACTCACCATATAGGAATACTATGTAGTTCTACAATTACAGACTGTAGTCCATCTGTTTCTCTGCATACTTTGTTAGCCCCATTTTACCCTGTTCTTCAGTGGTCAGGACCACCACAGAGCAGGTACTATTTGGCTGGTGGATCATTCTCAGCACTGCAGTAACACTGACATGGTGGTGGTGTGTTAGTGTGTGTTGTGCTGGTACGAGTGGATCAGACACAGCAGTGCTGCTGGAGTTTTTGAACACCTCAGTGTCACTGCTGGACTGAGAATAGTCCACCAACCAAAAATATCCAGCCAACAGTGTCCTGTGATCAATAATGAAGGACTAGAGGATGACCAACACAAACCGTGCAGCAACTGTCTCTGACTTTATACCTACAAGGTGAACAAACAAGGTAGGAGTGTCTAATAGAGTGGACAGTGAGTGGACACAGTGTTTAAAAACTCCAGCAGCACTGCTGTGTCTGATCCAGTGGAGCTGATAAGATGGAAAATGAGTGTAGAAACAAGGAGGAGGTTTAAGTGAAGTGGTTGGTCGGTGTGTATAATACTTGTTCGCAACCTTTTCTTCTTATTCATCAATGCAAGAAGTGTGAATTATAATCTACAGAGTAGCAATAAAAACAGAACTACCTTCTAACATAGATTGATAATTCATCTTTTTAGTTTATCCTCTGCTTTAAATCCTCCCCTGAACTTGTCTCTGATATGTTGTTTCCAATGTCTTCAGTCATATCTTGAGTTTCGCGAAGAGAGGAGTAAAATGCTGATCTCGCGACGGAACCAGCTTCTGCTAGAGTTCAGCTTCTGGAACGACCCTGTACCCAGACCTGGACCCAATATATATGAAATGAGAACATACAGATTAAAGGTAAAGGCAGTGAATTTTACTGCATATTGTATATTTGAGTACCTACTCTAGCAGTATTAACGAATTGCTCACATGCACATATTTTATGTTAATGATGGACAATTCTAGCTCTACTCAGTGAGTCAGATCAGTTGGCTAAGCTCACGAAGAAGATCCGACTCTCTTGGCTCCCAAACAGCTCTTCATTCAGTAGCAGTTTTTTCTCATGAAAAAGTTAGCCAAGTTAGCAATATTATCCACCATTTATTTTCAAAAAATTCTTAATCTAATTTTTATTAACTTATAAACAACACTGCATATGTTTGTTATTTAAACCAGTTTCACTGGATGAATTTCGAGCTGCTGGCAGACACGGTAAATGCGAGTAAATCCATCAACCAGCCATAAACAAACAAAGGCAGGTCAGAAATCAAAGACAGGTCAAAAACAATGGCTGCGTTTACATTAAAAGATTTTTTACCAATCTGATTGAATACATTCCAATTATAGATTCAGACTGAGGTGTTTATGTGCTCACTCTACTCAACAATACATTCACACAACAAGTATCACAAATTTCACTATGGCATGACACACACGCGCAGAACGTACTTAAACTTTCCAACTGGGATTGTAATCAGATACAGGCGTTTACGTGGTTATTATTCTTCTATTTAACGGATTATTTACAGGATTACCCACCTCGTTCAATTGGTCTATTCCGACTGAGGTGTTTACATGGACTTATTCTATTCCGATTGGGCTATTAGTCATATTATTAACAGATTATCAGGCTGCATGTAAACGTGACTAGTGTGAAACACTGGAAGAACTAGGATGGCACACTTAGAAACACGGATAAGCATTACATTTTAAAAAGCCAAGAATAAGGTGAGCTCCAACAATGTCCATGAAATGCTCACAACAGCATATTGTTTATCACGATAATAAAATATTTCATGATAAAATACTGTCACAATAAACTTGTATATGTGAGTGTCTGAGTTTCTAGTTCATTTCTTTGTGAGCTAAACGTCAGATTTTTACTTATTTTATCTGTTTAAGTACACAAATACATTAAAATTTTAGAGGTGTGTCTAATATTTTACCTCATTTCTTTACTTTTGTTCCTGCATGGACATTGAAGCCTGGCACAATGATAGAGTGGGGAAATCACTGGTAAGTCTGCTGCATAAGATCTTTTGCTCATAAAAGTCTTGTGGATTAATTTTATCCATAAGCCAATTTTATGTTTGCCTGATATTTTTCAATGGACAGGGCCCGAGCTATCAAATACCGCCAAGAGAACAACGAGGCTGTAGGAGGATTCTTCACACAGATTGGAGAGCTCTATGTTGTTCACCATCTGTGGGGTAAGTTTAGCTCGGTGAAATCCAGACCAGGCAGAGTAGCGTTTCCTTCTTCTTTGTAATTGTGCTGTATATAATATGTTGATGTATTTGTAGCTTATAAGGACCTGCAGTCCAGAGAGGAGACCAGAAACTCAGCATGGTTGAAAGAGGGCTGGGATGCTAACGTGCACTACACGGGTGAGACACAGACCTTTTTTCAGTAATCAGTACCTGCAGTCGCTTAGGTATTATACTGTATGATCTTTTTTTTTTTATTTGTTTGTCAAACTATTACAGTGAGTCCAGAGATTTTCTTCAATTTTCTTACAATTCTTTCCTGATTAAAATAAAGTAAGTGTTAAAGCTTAGAAGAGACATCGCCGGTGATACAAAAGCAGTGTAATTTGAAATATATCATTTTCCGCTTGTAACTTAAACAGGAAAAGTGCAGATTAAAAACATTCAATTTTGGAGATTTGTTTTGGACAGTGGTGATATACTATATGTAGGGTAGTTCAGATTGATGGAGAACATGCTGTAGATGGTTCTGTACAGAACCTTTTTTAAAAGGGTTCTATATAGCACCAAAAAGCGTTCTTCTATTGTTATGTTGTCAAGCTTGTAATAGAAGAACCCTTTTCAAACAGGTTCTGTATAGAACCATCTACAGCACATTCTCCATCAGTCTGAAGCACCCTTTCGTAATGCAAAGAACCCTTTAATCATGCAGATGGTTCTTGGGTGTTCATGGTTTTATATAGAGCCATTTTCTTCACTAAAGAACCCTTGAAGAACCATCATTTTAAGAGAGTTATAGCTGAACTCTTGGCACCATCTTGTGGACAAATTTTAGAACTGCGCATGATAAATCTATGCAAGTTAACACAAGTTAACACTGTTAAGGCTGTGTTTATAATATGAGTTATGGCACTAGGTATTATATTTATTACTCAAGGAATCTGACGGTATAGCACTCGCTCTCGTGGGTTGTTGTGTAAATTTCTGCTGTTGTTAGTTGAATATTTTCTGTACACTTTTTTTACCTGAACACTTTCCTTTGCAGTGCCTTTAATTCAGAGTATGGAGTCGAGGATTTTGATTCCCACAGCGAGCTCCCCTCTGCAATGACGGAGAGGCAGACAGAGCCTTTGGAGTCCGCGGTCGTGAAGAGATGTTGACGCTCCAGTGGATTCTCATCTTCTCTGGACTGGAAAATGACTTGAAAAAAGAAAAGAACTTCAGTTATTAGATTCAGCTGAAAAAGAAAATTGAGTTTTAACATTTTATATTTCTTTGTGGGGAAAAATGAATCAAAGTGTTCTCTGCACTCCTGTTCATTGTTTTCTTTGAATTCATTGCTCATTCATGTGTAAAGCATTTGATAATTTAATGAATCTAAATGCATATTTCACATTGTCATGAAGCAAAGCACTGCAGTGGAAAATGATCAGTCCCTAAACATTTTAAGCATTTTGTGCATATTTTACATGACTGTGGAGAAAAAAAAGCCCTGGCTCTCTGAATCTGAACCTCAGATGGCCCCTTACTGTACAGCGCATTGTTTAGGTCATGAATCTTGGCTTATCCATGCAAATTATGCACAAGTGTGCACAAATGTTAGGCAGGGAGTGAAACAGCTTAAGGATGAATATAAATGTCTTTTATATGTTCAATATATCACTGTTGTCGGAACAAAACCTCGTATCTCCAGAATGTAACTTTACAGGAGAAGGAAACAACATGCTTTACTTATAATGTAAGTCAATGTATCCAGACTTTTTTTCCAAGTAATTTTGGGCCGTTTCTTTTGGTCCATTCATCATGAAATTTACACACAATATAAAGGACAACAGGCTTTTTCAAATTACGCCAAAAACTAAAAAAACGCCAAAAATGGAGATATGAGGTTTTGTTCCGACAGCAGCGATATATTTCACAATTTGAGCATAGAAGCTGTGATTTCATGACCTACATAGTGCACTACATAGGGAATTGGGAGCAATTTCAGATTCAACCACTGCGTTCAGGATTAAGAACACTGTACAAGCTGTCAAGCATGATGCACTGTTCAAAATAAATGGTTCTTGACTAGGATGTACAATTCTGGGACAACCTTTAATTGGTTTAGAAACAGATGCAGCTCTTTAAGCTGTAAAAAGGTTCTTCACACATAACATTTTACAGCAGTAAAACTTCATCCCACTTTAGAGCACCAGAAGTGGTTCTACTGTGATATCGCTCCAAAGAACCCTTTTTGGCACCTTTGTTTAAGAGTGTGGGGTTGGAGTGGTGCTCCAGCTGACTTTCACTTACTAAAGCAAACCTGCATTGTGCTCAGTGTCAAGTAAGACCACATTCTGTGGAGCACAGCCCAGTTCTGCAGCTGGACAATGGCGGGACACTAGTGTTCAAAAGGTGGAATTACTGATTATATTATTATATTTATATTAATTAGTAGATATTTTCCTTATAAGTTATGTAGTATAGATGTCAATGTTGTTAAATAGATTTGGACATTTTATTTCTATGTTTTAAGTTTTTTGGGAATGACAAGAAGTTTTCAAACGACAACTGATGTAATGTAGGACTGTCACTATCAATTATATTAGCATGATCAAGTAAACAAAACAAATTTGACAATTGAGCAATTACATATATATAAAATCAGTCATTCAATTTCACATCACATACATTAACTACGAACATATGTGCGTTGGTGGGATCCTACTGGTGTGGATTTCCTCTCACACAAAAGCAATTTGAATGTTAATAGCGCCACCTTGTGGAGAACAACTAACAAACATGGCTTTATAATGCCTTGTGAATTCCCTGTTTATCATTCAAATTGCTAAATAATCAGTAATCTGATTGATCGAGGATGTAAATTGTAAGTTTTTTAAATCAAGTAATCAACTTCTATTGAATAATCATGACGACCCCAATGTAAAGTAGCTATTTTCTTAAAATACTTTTTGTCGAGTTACCCACCTCAAGATTATGAAGGGTTCTGGATGTTATTCAAATTATGAACAGTCCTGGATATTAATAATAATAATTTGGACCTCATTCTCAATGTGATACAGCTTTCTCAGTCATTTCAGAATCATCTACAGCTCTGTCCATCATTCTGGACACATCTAAAACCATTCGTTCTTAATAATTACTTGAATCTTGGACATTTGGACAGAACTAACTTAAAAGCTTTATTTTCTACATTGTGTTATGACCTGGTTTAAGGTCAGGCCGTAACAGGAAGCAGGCTCTTTCCCCAGACCTGTCGCCAGACCAAACACTTTTTTTACACAGAATCTAACAAAGCTTGTATGAATTGTATGAAGCGAAGCGAAGAGTGGACTGCAGACTGCCAGGCTGGTCTGGACAGGTGTACATCTAGGTCACAACAGAGGGGAGAGGGCCCTGAGCGTCTCCTGAGATGGTGGCTTGGCGACCTCTTATACATCAGTGCACCCCCTTGTGGTCAATTTCGGACCTGCGCATAATACAAGATAAACAAAAAAGTGCACTCTTAAAAACGATGGTTCTTCAAGGGTTCCTCGGTAAAGAAAATGGTTCTATATAGAACCATGAACACACAAAGAACCCTTTGCATGATGAAAGAGTTCTTTGCATCACAAAAGGGCTCTTCAGACTGGAGAATGTGCTGTAGATGGTTCTATATAGAACATTTTTGAAAATGGAGCCATCTATGGCACATTCTCCATCAATCTGAAGAACCTTTTTGTGATGCATAGAACTCTTGAATAATGCAAAGAGTTCTTTGAGTGTTCATGGTTCTATGCAGAACCATTTTCTTTGCTATAGAACCCTTGAAGAGTGTAAAGAAAAAACACAAAGCATCATTCAGCAGCCAACACACCTTATCAATATTACAATCAGAGCTTATAACAATTTATCTGCCACTAATTTAACGTCATAGTATGGAAAATCATCATTTTAAACTCTTGAACGGTGGTGTACGTTTGAATTAGAATGACGCAGTCAAATTCCAGACCCTTACTGTGGGGGACAGAGCCTGGTACGAGCAGTTAACACCAAATTTAATGTTTTGTTAAAGCCAGTCATGAATCAGCGTCTGCAGCTGAGCAGCTTTTTGATGTTACAATGGAGGCTTTCAGGCAACAATGATTCTGCTGTTTTAGCAGTTCCCAGCTACGATTTAGGCTGTGGTTTGGCCTGACACAACATTAAGTCCCTCAAACTCAGGACACACAGCACCACAAATGCTCTCCCACTCACTGAATAGTCCCAAAAGGATATAAGCTCCCATTTAAGGATCTTAGACACTGTAGTTAAATGGCCCCTTTAGCTGGAAATGAGTAGCTAAAGGTTTAGTATAATGTATGGCCACTTACTAGTTTTCACTGAAGGCCTGTGTGATTAGAACTGCAGGTAATGAGCACAGCTAAACCATCATTACCAAGAAACAATGTCAGTGTGTTAACAACACGTCTCGTTAGCAAATTAGCTACTGCTAACAAAAAACTGTTCATGAAACTCAAGAGAATTTGCCTAATTAGCAACAGATGTAGAACAGAACATTGCTGAGTCTGTTATGTTATCTGCTAATCCTGTTGTGCATGAGAATGACTGTTTTAGTACTTCCTTGAAAAATACTGATACGGTGATATATGTGGTATTTATTTGCAGATAAGATCTCTTGTGGTTGAGACTCAGATGTGAGAGTTTACTAGATGCTCTGGAGGGGCTTGCCTTGTCCCGATTCCACCCTTGCAGTCTTGTGACCTATTCAGAGGTCTAGGCTCAGCTCAGTGTCCCCAGTGAGCCTTTAGCAAAAGATCATCACACAACACTTACATATTACCACCAAGGCTTTACAACATCTCAGTTTTTGACCAATGACTGAGGGCTGAAGCCACTGTGTACTTGTTCACGAAGAGAAGAAAGAGGAAAGAAAAGAACCTTATAAACATTTGTAGTTTTATGTAAGTAGGTGCAAATATCTGTTAATACTTATGATCATTTATTTATGAAACTGTTTTCATGGAAGACCTCTAGCTTTAAAGTAGGATTTAAAGCTAATGTCCTGTTATACACCTGAATCCCTTTAGTCTACACCTTCTATATGTCACCAAAGTGCAGTGCTGGGAGGGTAATACAGTACAAAGTAACATGTTACAATAATGTGATCACTTCTTCTTGTTATGTAATAGTGTAACATGTAAATTCTTGTGATGATGTCACAGTTACTGATATAATAAGAGTACTGTTACTTGCATTGCATCTCTAAAAGAGTAATATTAATTCTGCACAATGCATTTAAAGCATGTTTTTTCTATACGTTATCTGTGCCGGTGTGTGTGTGTGTGCAGGAGCGTGGGCATGTGTTAGAAGTTAGGGGTGCTGAAAACATACACAGCATTTAGCATGATAGCATGCAGATGTGGGCCACTTCTGTCAAAAATGTATGACACTGCTGGTCCATTGTCAGCACTGGCAAACTACACGTGAACCAAAAGTGGCCCACATTAAAAAACATGATTGCTTACTTAGCCCACATGTCCTAAAATCGATCTGGACCACTTTTGGCAGAGATATGATAGTATGTTGGTAGCTTAGTTTTGTTTACTAAAAAATCAGGTAGTTCAACACAATGAGCCTCAAGACTATGAGCACTGCTAAATATCTTAGACTGAAAAATGACTTTACTTAAATCAAATGTGTGAATATGTTCTATCAACACAATTTATTCTTTCAGTAATTTTTGACTGAGTTGATGTGATATATTTTATGCAAATGGGACCAAAGTACACATGTGAATGTAAAAGTAAAGTGTCCTTTTTTACCAGTGTAGTTTGCAATTTAATTCAAATTTGATTTAAAATGATTCAGCTTAAAATTTGCATTCATGTTATGAACTTTATTGGTCCTGTGAGAGAAATTTGTGATTTGGCTGCCCAACTGTGCCCAGTCTGGGAGCAGATTCAGCCTGGTTGGATTCACTGGCATGATTCCACTGTAGTATGTTGGCCAGATGGAAGTAGTAAGAGGTGGCCAGAACTGGGCGATCACTCGTTTGCTATTAAAGCAGGTGATGTACACCGTGACATCATGGTTATGCTAAATACCATGTTTTTTCATGTCTCTGTCTGAGTTGTATCTGCTGTCTTGATGAACAAATGTTATGCAAATGAGCTGAGCATTGACCAACCAGATTGTTGATATGATTGTTAATATAAGGCGAGGCACGCACTTGTGGCACGTCCATAGTCAAGCTACTACATGCACACATCTAGCAGGAAGTTATTACTATGATTAAAAAATGGATTTTTATGTTGGCTGAAAGTGATTAAAACAATATTAGGCCATGTTGCAGTGAACTAGCCTACAACTCATGTTTGTAGCAACAGGCCCCCCAAATAGTTGAAGTGGAAAAAACAATTCACTTCACTCTAAAATGCAATGTAAACCTAAACAGTGCAGAATATGATTATATATAAACACCACCATACAACACTCACATGGGTCTGTGCTCAAAAAAATATTCTGTTCTTTCACAGTTGCCATTAAACAATCTTGAAATCTGGCTGTGCTGCAGCCCCCTCTGCCCCCCCATGTCTCTGTGCGAGTGCTACCTGTGTCAGCTAACCACACGACTTCGATAGTGAAAATGAACAGTACAGCGTGAGAATGAGAAGCACTAGAAACTCAGCTAGAGATCTGTTGATTCATCTAATCGGTCTAATCTGAATCTGAAGGATAAAGATCCCTCTGCTGAGGAAGAGAGAGCCCCAACCACACCTTAACAAACCAGACTCGGTTTTCATTCAGCTCAACAGCTCTTTACTTTATAGCTTTACATTTTATTCATAAAGATTTTATTTTGAGGCAGTTGTGTTTGGACCATTATTCGATTCTCCCTTGTACTTTCCAGGTGCTCAGGGACAGATCATGGTCTCATGAGGCCCCTGGGAGGCCAGCTCCACCCCCAAACCAAAGCCCACATAAAAATACATACACATCTTCTAAGCCGCTTATCCCTCTGAGTCACGGGGGGAGACGGAGCCTATCCCAGCAGTCATTGGGTGGAAGGCAGGATACACCCTGGACAGGTCACCAGTCCATCACAGGGCAGACAAACAGACATATACAGTCACACACTCACTCACATAAAAATACATACATATATACATATATTTAACCCTTCTAGGATGAGATACAGAGCGAATTACATCCAATAGGCTTCCACCAGGCACAGATCTGCAATAAGCTTTAGCCTTTAATGATCTTGTACATCTGCAAGCATAGAAACGTTTCATTGACATCACAGCCCCAGGTTGTTGTGTAAGCCTTAAAATTTCTAGGCCAGTTCCAACATTACATGTGTAATCAGGTTCATCAGAGGTTCTTCTAGAATGCACACAGGGGCCCACTTCCTCAGACTATAGCAGTTTTTCTCAACCTTGGTCCTGAAGGCCCACTGTCCTGCACATTTTAGTGTTTTCTTTGCTTCAAGATGCCCACTTCAACTCAGTAATGGGCTGATAAGTTGGATCAGGCGTGTTGGGAGCAGGGAAAACGCTAAAATGTGCAGAACAGTGGACCTCCAAGACCAGGGGTGAGAAACATTGGCCTATAGCCCACGTGTCAAACACAAGGACTGTGTCAGGCTCATGATACAGTCCTATTCAGCCCACAAAATTATTTTAGTTTTCTGTTGTTACTAGCCCGTTTCACCCTGACATGCACTACAATCCCCAGCATGCACTGCAACATAGTGTGCATTCTGACCCACTTCCCCAATAACAATCTATGAGGCAGCAGTTACACACAAAAAGAAAAGATGCATAGTGTCAAGTTCAAGCAAATAGGCAGTTAAAAAAACTACCTAAAATAATTTATTTTTATTTAGAAGTATTTTTGAAAAAGTATTCACTGCCTACCCAGACAGCAGACAGTTTTGGCCCAATTCAGGCTTTCCTATGTGAGTACTGATTGACTACCGGGTAAATACTAGGCATGTGGGCCTGAATAGGGCCAGATCCTGGACAGCTTTGTACGGTTTTGCCTTGTGTCTACATTCGTGGGACAATTCTGGCGTAAATGTTGCGGACCAACAATGTAGTTGGGCCAGATTGGGGCCAAATTGGGGCCACATTCTTTAGTTGTACTCTCTTTACAGTGCGTCGGCCGCACCGTACAGGACCCAGCCGTACATTGGGTCAGAACAAACCAAGGATGTGGCCCACCACTGGGCCAGACAAACTGGGTATTTTTGCTCTTGCAGTTTTGGCATATTCTGAATAAATAATGACAAAATGTTTGAAAAACATTTAATAAAGACACAGCTGCTGAGATTTTTTAATATGGCCCTTTCAGTGGTTGGGTTTGACACCCCTGGCCTGTAGCATGCATGCAGCTCCAATAGTGGGTCGCTGTAGCTTTAAGAGCAGAAAAAGGGGCGTGTGCTCGTTCTCCGTTTCTCTCGGTGCTGTATGGTTCACGGCTCGAATTACACACGACGGGTTTTTCTTCTTCTCCTGCAGCTTTCCTGCTGCTCTCCCAGCCACAATGTGTGCGGATCGCACGGCTCCGTAGCTCAGCCCGTCGTTAAGGCTCGTATTCAGTGGGAGTTTGTGGACCGAGAGCGAGCGGTCGTTGTTTTTCTCCGGCACGTCTTCCTGGGAAGAGGCGATGGACTTGCACATTCTAGACCACAGACTGAGGGTGACCAGTATCAGCAAAAGTGGGCTGCAAAATTACACCCACCCTCTAATAAAATTGATATTTCTAAGGAACAGGACGAGGTAAGTTCGCTTCCATCGCCGTGGGGCTGCTCACCGGTACCTATCTAGCCCATTTCCTCCCCCTTTCCCCACGACTTTCCCCCCCTATTGCTAGAGGCATGATCGCACTAGGTCTTTCTCTCCTGCCTCAGTGTTCAGTCTCACACCACTGGGATGCATGCACGTAGCCACAGACTACAGAGTACACTAACACCATTCTCTGCAGCTGATGGCCCATGAAACACCATGTGAGATCAGCCTTAGGCCCTTCAGCCCACTTTACCCACTTCACTACAGGCTCTGATCAGCTGGACAGTGTCTGGACTGTGAGTAAACTCAACTAGAAAGGGAAGTAACTGCATGAGTTGGTTCAAAATAGTGCGAATTGGCTATTTTTGGCCTAGCCTGACACACATAATGGGAAAAATGACAACTTGTCAACTTACAAAACCAAGGTTTGCTCATAGATAAATGGCATTGCCCTTGGATGGAGACAGAGATGGCACAGTTTTGAACACAGCCTGGAAGTGCTAGACGTGTCTATATGAATAAGGGAGTGAGATCACGCTTGTTAAAGGAATGCTTGGCCAAAAAAAAATCTTTTTTACACCACCCTGAAATGTGGTCAGTCAGCCAAAATATGAGTCCAGAACCGTCTTAAGTCACCTAAAAAGATGTTGGCTGGCATAGACTTCCATTATTTTAATGCACACTGATAAAACAGACAGTCCTCCAGAAACCAAATTCAGCAAATACTTCAAATGCATGCACAAAATATTCCGCTGAAGGGGAAAAACCTTCTTTCTGATGACACAGAAGCTCAGTATTGCATTTCATGACACGTCTGAGTGGACATGTCCCAGCACTAATGCAGAGGAAGTGTTTCACAACACCTGCACAGTGCTGTCCCTGTGTTGCATAGAAGGCGAATGACTCAGTAGGGTTGACACGTATTGGGTGAAGAGGTGAAAATGAAGTGAGCAGCGTTGAGAGAAAAAGCTCCCCAGAACAGAATAAACAGGGTTATGTAAAGGATTGTTATGTAAAAGTTTGTTCGGTTGTGGCTTTGTTGTTTCTCTGGTTTGGTGAAAGCCGTTAGCCCTGAAGTGGTGAAAGGGGTGATATTTTCACTGTAAATTTGTAGTTTGGCTTTTCCAGACTGCAGGCTGTATTTGGCTCTGAGCGTTTGTGGTTCACATGAGTATGTGGTCAGGGGACACTGTTTCTGCTTGTGTGTGAAATTCCTCATCCACCAGCTCCATAAAACCTGGACTGAAGCTCATCATTGTTAACGCTGTCTCTGTTGTTAACATGCTTGATTCTAGAACTCCCACTGTAAAACGCTTAGTTTTAAAGGCCTGGAACTTCCGCTCTGCAACTCTCTTTTCCTAAATGCTTCATTCTAGAACTTCCATTATGGAACTCCAGTTCTAAAGGGCTTATTTATTATTCTCAAACTGCCATTCTACAACTCTCATTTTAAATGCATCATTCTAGAGCTTCCACTGCAGAACCATTTTTTCTAAATGCCTCATTCTAGAACTCTCACTGCAGAACCATATTTTTAAATGCCTCATTCTGGAACCCCCACTGCAAAACCATATTTCTAAATGCTTCATTCTAGAACTCCCACTGCAGAACCATATTTCTAAATGCTTCATTCTAGAACTCCCACTGCAAAATCATATTTCTAAATGCATCATTCTAGAACTCCCACTGCAGAACCATTTTTTCTAAATGCCTCATTCTAGAACTCTCACTGCAGAACCATATTTTTAAATGCCTCATTCTGGAACCCCCACTGCAAAACCATATTTCTAAATGCTTCATTCTAGAACTCCCACTGCAAAATCATATTTCTAAATGCTTCATTCTAGAACTCCCACTGCAGAACCATATTTCTAAATGCTTCATTCTAGAACTCCCACTGCAAAATCATATTTCTAAATGCCTAATTCTAGAACTCTCACTGCAGAACCATATTTTTCTAAATGCCTCATTCTAGAACTCTCACTGCAGAACCATATTTTTAAATGCTTCATTCTAGAACTCCCACTGCAAAATCATATTTCTAAATGCTTCATTCTAGAACTCTCACTGCAGAACCATATTTCTAAATGCTTCATTCTAGAACTCCCACTGCATAACCATATTTCTAAATGCCTAATTCTAGAACTCTCACTGCAGAACCATATTTCTAAATGCTTCATTCTAGAACTCTCACTGCATAACCATATTTCTAAATGCTTCATTCTAGAACTCCCACTGCAGAACCATATTTCTAAATGCTTCATGCTAGAACTCTCACTGCATAACCATATTTCTAAATGCTTGATTCTAGAACTCCCACTGCAGAACCATATTTCTAAATGCCTGGTTCTAGAACAGCCATGGTAGGAACATATTTCTAAATGCTTTGTTCTAGAACTGCCATTCTACAGTCATCGTTTTAAATGCTTCATTCTAGAACTCCCAGTGTAAAACACTCCATTCTACAGCTCTCCTCCTAAATGCTTCATTCTGGAGCATCCACTGCAGAACCCTAGTTTTAACGGCCTTAGTCCTAGACTATCTACAACTTTCATTTTAAGTGTCATTCTAGAACACCCACTGCAGAACCATATTTCTAAATGTCCTGTTCTAGAACTGCCGTTCTACAGCCATCATCTTAAATGCTTCATTCAAGAACTCCTACTGCAGAACCCTAGTTTTAAATGCCTCATTCTAGAACTGCCATTCTACAGCCATCATCATAATTTCTTCATTGTAGAACTCCCATTGTAGAAGTCTAGTTCTAAAGGCCTCATTCTCAAACTATCTCCAGCTCTTATTTGAAATGTGTCATTCTATAACTCCCACTGCAGAACCATATTTCTAAGTGCCTTGTTCTAGAACTGCCTTTCTACAGCCATCGCTTTATTGTAGAACTCCCAGTATACAACACTAGTCCTAAAGGCCTCATTCTACAGCTTTCCTACTAAATACTTCATTCTAGAGCTCCCACTGCAGAACCCTAGTTCTAAATGTGCCATTCTAGAACTGGTATTCTGTAGCCATTATCTAATTCTAGAACTCCTGTTGTAGAAATCTAGTTCTAAAGGCCTTATTCTTGAACTACCATTCTACAACTCTTATTCTGAAATACGTCATTCTAGAGCTCCCACAGCAGAACCATTTTTCTAAATGCTTCATTCTAGTACTCCCACTGTTTAGCCCCATTTATAAATGCCTCATCCTAAAACTCTAGTTCTAAAACTCCAATTGCAAAACTCTAGTCCTAAAGGTCTCATTCTCAAACTACCATTCTGCAACTCTCATTTTAAATGCATCATTCTAGAGCTCTTACAGGAGAGCCATATTTCTAAATGCCTCATTCTAGAGCTCCCACTGTACAACCCTATTTCTAAATGCCTCATTCTAAAACTCTAGTCCTAAAACTCGTCCTAAAACTCCGAATGTTAAACTCTAGTCCTAAAGGCCTCATTCTACCATATCTTCCATTAGCTCTATCCATAGCTCTCCTATTAAATGCTTCATCCTAGAGCTCCCATTGCAGAACCCCAGTTTTAACCCCATTCCCAAATCCTCATTTTACAACTACCATTCTACCACCCCCATTCTCAACATCACTCATGGATGAATCTGATCTGCTTTTGCAGCAATTGCTAAACATACTTTGGAGCAGGCACTGCTTTTTTTGCATATTAGACTGAAGGAACACCAACCCAGAGCTCCACCCTAGCAGTGCAGTTTCAGGAAAAGCTGTTGTTGAAATAGGCCGCTGTGGGGACTAGAAGCTAGACTAGAGTCTGGCTTGATTTGGTGAAATGTCCCCCTTAGCCCAAATACAGTCAGTCAGCCAAGACATGTTTGAAGCCTGAAGTTTGCTTCTCTAATCTTTGCCCTAGAGCTATGAGGCCAATATAACAAGTAATGAAAGCCTATGACAACCAAATAGCATTGTACAAACTGCATGCCTAAATCATCTCAAATGCTCCTCACGCTGTGTTGAGTTGTTAAGTAATCTCAAATAGACTTGATTCATGTGACACTGAAAGATAAACTACTATCTATAAAAACATGCCAAAGTACGTTGCATATCTAAATACAATAGCAGGCATTAGATGAATTCTGTCTAAGAGGGATCTCTGTTTTAGAACTTTGGTGGGGTATAAGCTTTATTATTATTTATCATTATTATTATTATTATTATTTAGCTACTTTAGCCTTCTAGCTCCGGTGCAAACTTAAAGAAGCAAACTTCAGACACCAAACATAATTACATATATATTTTTTATATATATAGCCAATACACTAACCAGCCACTTCATTAATTACCCCTCCTTGTATGTACACCCCTTGTTCAACTCCATGTAGCACTGTAGTTCTACAATTACAGACTGTAGTCCATCTGTTTTTCTGTTCAAGTTTGTTAGCCCCCCTTTACCCTGTTCATGTTCCCACCAGGACCACCGCAGAGTAGGTATTATTTGGGTGGTGGATCTTTCACAGCACTGCAGTAACACTGACGTGGTGGTGTGTTAGTGTGTGTTGCGCTGGTACAAGTGGATCAGACACAGCAGTGCTGCTGGAGTTTTGAAACACTGTGTCCACTCACTCTTCACTCTATTAGACACTCCTACCTTGTTGGTCTGCTTTGCTCAGGGGTGCACAACTCCAGTGTCCAGCACAGTTTTTTGATCTCATAGATCATACATACCTGATTCAACTCCTGTTAATTGCCAGGTTTAGTGAGTGTGTTTGAAGAGGGCAACAACTACTGTATTATGTTGCAGTGCATGCTGGGAACTGTAGTGCAGTTCCTGGTGAAATGGAAAATAATTTTGTGGGCCGAATAGGATTATGCCACGGGCCTGACTTAGCCCATGGGCCTTGTGTTTGACGCATGAGCTCTAGACCTTTTCAGTGGTCACAGATGCTGTCCATAGGACGATGTTGGCTGGATAATTTTGGTTGGTGGACTGTTCTCAGTCCAGCAGTGACACTGAGGTGTTTAAATACTCAAGCAGCACTGCTGTGTCTGATCCACTCAGACCAGCACAACACACACTTAACACACCACCACCACCACATCAGATTCACTGTAGTCCTGAGAATGATCCACCACCCAAATAATACCTGCTCTGTGGTGGTCCTTTGAGTGTCCTAACCACGGAAGAACAGGGTAAAAGGGGGCTAACAAAGTATGCAGAGAAACAGATGGACTACAGTCTGTAATTGAAGAACTACAAAGTGCACCTGTACGGTCAGTGGAGTTGATTAATGGACAGAGTGTAGATACAAAGAGGGGCACTTAATGAAGTGGCCAGTTGGTATGCCTTTCTCTCTCTCTGTCTCTCTCTCTCTCTCTCTGTTCCTTCCTTTTCTCTTTCTGTCTCGTCCTCTTTTTCTCTGTTTGAAGGATGTTTTTTGCGGTGGTGAGAAGGTCGTGGAGCCCTTGCAGGAAGTGCAGCCCGGGGGGTTCCGGAGGTGAACAGGAAGTGCAAGGGTAGCTAACACAATGCTGCTGCCCCAAGTTAACGCTGCAGGCGGGGTTGAGCTTTCCCCCTCCGCTCTGCTGCTGCCGGCTCGACCGGCCTGCGCTGGAGGCTCTGAATTAGGTTCTGCTGAGCTGAGCTCAAAACAGGAATCAGCTGGACGGGGTGGCAGCAGCAGAGCTGTTGATGGGAGACCTGAGGATGGACGGCTTTCAGAGAAAAGTTTTAGCCATAATAAAGTCCAGCCTGAATGCCAAGAAAAAAAGAAATGCTGAAAAATATCGGCTGATGCTGAACACTCGTGTGATACCAGCTCTCAGTTAAGGCACTTATGTTTTGTTCGGCCTGCTGGACAGTTGTAAGCAAATGTTTAAACATCACGATCGAAATGCATGTCTTCTTGATTTCCTAAGTGAAAATGAGTTAATCTCATTTAAAAAATGTCATCTTTCTGCTAATTTTAGGGCACAATTTATTTACTGAGTTTAACATAATGCATATGTGCAACCATATAGACGGGAAGGGTCAGGAGACTGGAGCTTCAGTGTTGACTTGAGTTTATTTACACATACAGAGAATCATGTTTGGGTGCAGCTTGATAGATCAACAGTCAGTCAACAGTCTAACAAGAAATATTTTGGGAGGACCTTATTCACATTGCAAACTGTGGGGGGAGGAAGGAGGAAGAAGATGAAAGTGAAAGATTAAGGCGGAGGAAGAGGAGGAGGTAAGGGGGGATGAAGATGAGAATATGAAAGGAGATGTAGGCGGGGTCACTTTTTTGCAACAAAAGGCCATTTGCTAAAACTGCAATAAAAATGATTGAGTATAAGGTATAAGAAAATAATAGTGTCTCTCACCTTTATTGTCATATTTTTCATTTTCTTAAAGTGCCACAGGTTTTCAATACGAGACAGACAGGCCAGTGTAGCACCTGCACTCTCTGATATGTGATAATATGTGCAGAATGTTTCTTGGCCCTGTCATGTTGAATTAAGCATGGACGTCCCTAAAAAAGGTGACGCGTACAAGGCAGCATATGTTGCTCCAAAATGTGTGAATATCTTTGTGTTAATAGACTTTTCCCAGAGTTACCCACTAACACACCCCTACACCATGACAGACGCTGACTTTTGAACTGTTATTTCTCTAAACACTCTGAAAGCTTGAATCGTCAGACCTCGGTATGTTTCCACTGTGTCCATTTCAAATGAGCTCAGGCCCAGAGAAGTCAGCGGCGTTTCTGAATGTTGTTGATGTATGGATTCTGCTGTACATGATACAGTCTTAACTCGCATTGTGCATTCCTGAGGCTTATGTGGTGATATCCATCACATAAGCATGCCGGTTTTCAGTGCAGTGCACATCTGAGGGATAAAAGTTCAGTCATTCAGTTTTAGTTTGCCTTTTACACACAGATATTTATCAAGACTCCCTGACTCTTTTGATGATATGCACTGATGGTGAAATACCTCAAACCTTGTTATTGCTCATTGAGGAACGTTGTTCTAAAACTATTGCATTATTAATTATTATTATTATTATTATTAAAAATGATTGTAACTATTGCTTCAATTTCAATTATCTCGTCTTTGTACTGTTTTTGTTTAAAGACAGTTCAGAATGGACCTGCAGTCCCAACTTTTGTGGAATTTGTTTTGTAGAAGATCAACAAAACATGTAATTTCATCAGGGGTATTCCACCTTTTGCATATGACTGTACTTCTTTTGCATACAACTTTCCTGCACGAGTGCCTCAGCAGAGAGCTGGTATGTTATCTGCGTATGCTACTAACTGTTGTTAGTACTTCTAGAATGCTGGACAGCAGCATATAGTAGTATGTATTATTAAAAAAATACAGATTTAGTCCAGTTGTGAACAGCAACAACCAGTGCATAGTAACTAGCTTTTTTTAATGTGGCGCTGCTGCTTTGCTAGTGCATTTTGTCCATTTCAAGTAGAAACTCTGTGTTTTGCACACTTATGTGATGCACATTGTCTGTGTTGTTGTTTACATGCACGGCATTAATGTTGTAAACTAGATGAAAGAATTGTCAGAAAGCTTCAATGTGCAGAAGAAAGCCTTTAGAAAACATTTAGAGACACTGCAGCCTGTTTACTGATGGTCCAGCCTGAATTTCCCATGATTCTCTGGTTCTATAACATTGAGACAATGGGCTACTCTGAATGAAGTAGTCGACGCTGTCCTGGGTTCCACCGCCTGCTGCCGAAGAATTTGGGTCAAAGCCTGCGATGATGTAACAGCTACAGACAGGCTGGGTTTCGAATGGCTCCCCACTTCCTACATATCGTGTACTACACAGTTCATGAAGTGATGGCTTCAAACTTGAGTACTGCACTGCATGTCCATAAGGGGGTCATTTAGATTTGGCCAAATTTTCTGTTTTCCCGTATTGTGACCGAATGGCCAGTCCTGCATGCATTTCAGTCGGAAGCTGCTGCTTGTCATTTGCATATGTGTCCACTTCTAGATACAGTAACCCTGTTATTCACACTTCCAAACCTTATAAAGTCACTGATACCCATACAGACAGACATATAGATAGATAGATAGATAGATAGATAGATCTTTATTGTCAGTGTTAAAAACAACAAAAAAACATTTAGCAGGTCTAGGATTGACAGCAAAGACAAAAAAAGATAAATAAGGCCAAAGATACAACATTTCTATCATTAAAATCATTATCAACGACAGTAATTTATCCAGGTTAGATTTTCTTTACTGTCATATTCAGCTGATAATTATTTCATACAGAATTAAACATTAAAGAGAAAGAAGGTGTGTTTGGAATGCTGTGTGTGTTGTGTGTGGGGGGGGTTTCTCTGCATCTCTCTCCCTGTGTTTGGCCCCTGGCCCACTTGCCCCATCCTGGGAAAGTCTTAGCAGCAATCTGTCATTGTTTTTATTCAGTCACACAGTGTCTAATCTCTCTCTCTCTCTCTCTCTCTCTCTCTCTCTCTCTCTCTCTTTCTCTCTTTCTCTCTTTCTCTCTCTCTCTCTCTCTCTCTCTCTCTCTCTCTCTCTCTCTCTCTCTCTCATATATCACCTGTTCTGTTTCTCATCCTCTCTATCTCTTCGTTCTCTCACCCATTCTCTCAATCACTCTCACTCTATATCTCTGCCATCACTCGTTCATTCTGTCACCCACTCACGCTCTCTCGCCTTGTCATTCTCTTTTTCTCTCTTTGCTTTCTCTTGTTCCCTCTATCTCTTCCATCATGTCTGTCTGTCTCTCACTTTCTATCTCTCCCATCACTCTTTCATTCTCACCCACTCACATTTTCTCTACCCGTTTCTCTTCCTCCCTATCTCTCTACCACTCTTTCATTCTCTCATGCTCTCACTTGTTCTCTCCATCACTCTCACTCTCATCCTCTCTGTCTCTACCATCACTCTTATATTCTTTCACCCGCTCACTCTCTCGCTCTCTGTCCTTCTCTTTTCTCTCTCTCTCGCTTTCTCACTTTTTTTTTGCTTTCTCTTATCCCCTCTATCTCTTCCATCCTGCATTCTCTCACATGCTCGCTCGCTATCTCTCTCTCTTTCTCTCTCTCTCTCTCTCTCTCTCTCTCTCTCTCTCTCTCTCTCTCTCTCTCTCTCTCTCACACAGATGTAAATTCTTCAGTCTGACAGAGACTCCAGAAAATTACACAGTTGTTCTTGATGAAGAAGGATTTAAAGGTAACACACCCACCCACCCACCCACCCACCCACACACCCACACACACTTCCTGTAGCCCCTATTCAGGAAGTAACAGTAGTGTAGAGGCAAAATAACCCATCTTATAGGTTTTAGGGGATGTGTGAGCCCCAGAAGTTCAAGAGTTACTCCTGTCACTGTCAGGTATTTTAGCTGAAAATGAATTGCCATGTAAGTAATTGCAATAAATTTGCAAATAATTCCGCTGTCTGTCAAAGGTGTAATCAACAAACATTAAATAAACAAATAAAAAAATAAACATTACTCACTGCTGTTTCTAGTCTCACATTGCTCTCCCAGCCTTTTTGGAACTTGTTGCAGGAATTCATTTCAGAATCACTTTTTTTTTACTATCTCAACTTTTTAGGAATTTGGTTTATATTTTATGTTTTTTTTTTCAAAATATGTTAAACTCAGGAAATAAATGTGCAAATGTGCAGTATTATATTATATTATTACATGTTTTGTTGATTTTCTATGTAAAAATAAGCCAACACATCCTCTACAGGGGAGCACACTTAAATATGGCATTTTACTGCACAGTTTCTGTTTATTTGCTGAATTCAACATATTGAAAAACATAAAATGTACCATAACTTTTGCACAGGCGAATTAAATACGCTTTTTTTTATTTCACTGTGTTTAATTGAATGTTGCTCTTTAATATTTATATATTCAATAAGTCTGTTGGTCTTCCTGCAGTGAAAGACCCAAGTGAAGTGCTGCACATCTGTGCATGTCCATTCAGGCCCAGGCACCACACAACAGGAGACATCACAAAAATAGCATCTAAACTGCCATTTTATTTTTGACTGTGTGGGTCTCTGTTTATGATCTTGAGCTACTGTAACCTGGCATCCAACCAGAGTACGATTGTAGGCTGATGGGGCAGGAATAGTCCATATTGTATGAGGGAAGGTGCTTTTAGGATGTTCTGATGGATCTTAAAGCTGCATTCTGTATGATTCTAAGGCATGTAAATCACTAGAGGCCACACAGTATGATAGATTACATTACCTAAGCTACAGTACATTTCTGCTGTGGATTTTATTAAGGATTAAGGCACAGATGATGTCACAGACATTGTAGTCTGTTTGAAGAAACATGAAAAATCATATTATAGCTAATTCATCATTTGGAACACTGACATCACTGTCAAACATAACTGAATATGGGGCACATTATGTTGCACAACCCATAACATGCAGCCTCTCCTTTTGAATGCACCCATTACAAGGAAATCTGATGACATCTTAACTATAACAGTGGCATTTCTGCCTGGACTTCAATGTGCAGGCAATGGTGTTATCCACTATGCTATACAACCACTACTAGCTATTGTCTGTAATAGGAGCTCCAACTTGTAGACCAATAAAACGTTAGTTCATAAGGGTTTATTATCCTGATAGTATATCAGTGGGCTTAGTTCTGCGTTAACAACACACATAATTAAATAATAAAAGATTAAGACATGGGTCTCCATGTATAAATCTAGTTTTTCACCTATTTAATTTCATTTCATTTCACCATTAAATAGATTTTTTTTTTTCTTTCTCAACTCTAGAGATCCCCATATATTAATAGCGAATATATTACGGTGTCTGTGACTCATTTTAAAATGCTGTGGCATCTGTCAGCCTGTGGGTTCATACCAGTCATCTCACAGGAAAAGATCAGCAGAATTTTCCTGTGTGAAATAACGGATTATATCATCTGTAGTCCAGATTAGAGGCTGTCCACTTGCTGCAGATCTGCGGCTGGTATGTCCACACCCAATCTGCAATAAAGGAAATGGCAAAACTGGTCTCAAGTCAGTCTTAAAGGGTTGACATGTTGAACTTCCTGTGGTTTATTAGAAGTAGTCATTTCATGGGTTTACCATGAGCTCGCTCACGGAAATTAGATTTCAGCATAGGGAGGAAACGGAAAAATTGCTTGGAGATTTGTGGCTGTGATGAGATCTGCTTTGATTGCTTATTTGGGTTGGTTGATTCTGGCATCAGCAGTTCGCATCTTGTTTTTTAAGTAATTTGTCAAGAGTCAGCTTGTTGTAAGAGGTTGTGTGCTGGAAGCGTTCCAGCAGTCGTGCTTTCCTTTGCACAAGAGTTGCTCTTATCTTCCCTCATTATGGGCCTCATCTTTTTCTACTTGTGATTATGTGCATTTTAAATTTTATCGCAAATTAGTATCTACACTACCCATAAGGCCATTAACCTGCCCTTTGTCTCACCCATTCTTCACCTCTTTTTGTCTCCCTGGGCTCCTCTAGAGCTGCAACCATCTGAGCACCTGCAGGTAGAATGCTCTACCTGGCTGCCCCTCAACGTCATCTCCAATGGAAACACATCCAGCAGCTCCCAGGCCGTGGGCGTGACCAAAATCGCCAAGTCCGTCATTGCCCCGTTGGCCGAGCAGCATGTGTCGGTCTTCATGCTCTCCACCTATCAAACGGACTTTATCCTGGTGAGGGGTTTGTTCCTGCTTTGCATCAACACCATTTTAAGGCCCAGTCCTATTTCTTACATTTACCCCTACCCCTTGTTTTTGAGTGTCACCTTGCCCCTTGGAACAGAGTTACAAGGGTTAGTGGTTGAAATCCTCCCCTATGAAATGGGACCCTCAAATAAAAAAGAACATTACTTCATTAACAGGCTGCTAGCGGTGCTCTGTAGGCGACCCTGCCAGTCTGCAGGGACAGCAGAGAAACAGTGAAGTTCAGCTCCTCACTGCTGGGCTTTAGTTACGTTTAGGGAGTCGTATGCTTTCAAACAGGGGAGATGCGAAAATTATTTAGCATCACCCACCTCTAATTCTTCGGTGATATGAAGCTGAAGTCAGCTTTTTGCCAGCTTCTTGTTTGAATTTTTCCGTTCCACCTTAAATGGTACAGCAGTTACATTCTGGTGCCTCAGGCTTTTTATGCCTGTTATGAAGAAAAGCACCTTAATACATTAAAGCAACATTAAACTGAGATAATACAGTGGTTATTGTCATTTTTAACACATTTGTGGGTTTCTTCGGTCGCTTGTACAGCCATCTTCTCACAACACTCCGTTTGGAGTTGACCTCTAAAAACCTCCGTTTGGAGGGTCATGTAGCCCTAACACTTCACCCATCCCCTCTATCTCAACAAAAATCAGGACACCCTACCCATAGATGTGAACGCGTAAAACGGAGGGCTAAGGGCTAAGTGGTAAGGGCAAGGGGTGAAATGGGATTGGGCCTAAGTTTAGTTCATTCACTAGCCATCAAAAGTTTTGGGACGCCTAGTCTTCTTATCAAATTTCAGTTCTCTTGCTGTTACTTTTCAACTGAGTAAGAAAAAACTGAAATGAACAAATAGTTGCTGATTCTTAGGGTATATTTAGCTTCAGTGCTCAGCTTCATGTTCATAAAAGCACAGATTTAGACTCTTTTCGCCCAAAAGTTGTTTAAGCACCTGAAACATTTGCGAGTTGGTAACCTCTGATGTCACAGCCTGGGGAGAAAATGTGTGATCTCATGCTTACAAGTTGTCTTATAAAGTAGATTCCTCAAAGGCAGATCTAAACAGATTTCTGTTTAATGTGATGAGTCATTGCAGGTTGGCACAAAACCCTTGTGGTTTGCAGTAAAACTAATGACAGCAGCAAACTTCTGATGGGCAGTGTTTGTTCTGAGAAACTTTGATCATGATCATGCCAGACATCACAACAACATCAGTGTCATCAGTAGAACATAAAAGACTAAAATGGATTCTTTGTCTGCTCTTTTGCTCAATCCACTTTGGTCCTGGACCAGAGATTTGAACTCCGATCTAACAGGTGCATATTGAGATCCTCCTCATGCATTTAGCTGCACCGTTTATGCTTAATTACAGTTGGAATTAAACAAAGCAGAAGGAGACACCTGTTGGGGCAGGTTTGGCCAGCCCTGAAATAAATACAAATTTGAACAGTGCTTCTCAAGTTAGCCCTCTTCTTGCTTATTATTTGGCAAAATAGGTTCAGAGAAGTAAATATTGATATAGCAATGATGGTTTGAAGGTTGGTAGAATTGAACCTTGAATTGAATATTAGTGCATGACCGATATATCAGTTGGCCGGTAGTGTTACTGTAACATTACTGGCCAAAATTGACGACTCCATGGTTTTATGTGCATCAGTGAAAATATTGGAAATAGCGCACAGATAGTTACTGACTTTTATTGTTGCACCATCACTGGGATTTGAACTTTCTGACACCAATCCAGGTTGAACTGGTGACTCTCAACATAAACCATCATCATAGTTAAAGTAGCAAAAACATATAAATGTATTACCGTAACCTTTTATGAAGAAAAAGATAAAAAGTGATTAAAATAAGTAAAAAAAATAAACAAAAACAGAAGTAATAAACAGAAACCAAAACCGCAAATAAAATATGGGTAGCTCCACTATAATATTTACATCGTTTAAGAGTTTCTGCTGTTTAAGAAAGGTTAAGAAGTGTGTCAAGTGAGGACTGATACTGGTTTTCTGAATTTTTAGCCTCTTAGAATTGCTACTTGTATCAGCTTCATTATTTTCATATTAAGCCAGACCCTATTCCTATTGAATGTTACTTAGTTGTTTGTTTTGTCATTTTATTATTGGTAAAACGCTCCATTGCCACTGATCAAGCAATTAAAATAAGAATCATTAATGTTCAGACATTTAAAAATAGTTTCTGTGGTTCTCTGTCATGGTTAGTGAAGCAGAAGATGCTGACTAAAGCAGCTAAAAGCTGATCAGTTAATTGGACGCGGCTGATGTGTAACAGGACAGAGTCAGCATGCTGTACTGTTTATGCATGATGTATTAACAAAGTGTGCTTCTGTCATCATACAGCTGTTTCAGAAACTATTGTAGGATGCAGCATTGCTTTTATTGGAATTAATTAATTTAATGTTTTCTTATCAGGTGATTCAGTAAATACTGTTAATATTGTCACTCATTTCTTACACGTATGTTAAGCTCTCTATCTTTCCTCAGGTGCGAGAGAAAGACCTGTCGGTGGTGATCCACACGCTGGCAGAAGAGTTTAATATTTTCCGGGAGGTGGACGGGGAATCTGTGCCTGTACACAGTCAGGATACATGCAACGGCCTCCAGAGGAACGGAAAAGAAGGTGAGACCTCATCCAGTAACGCAGCACTGACCCCATCTAAATTCGCACCATTCACACATATGGCACCAATTGCAAAGCTGAAAAGATGAACTTAGATACTGTATGTCCATCTGAATGCAGTCACAAGCCATATGGTAGTGCTCCCTGGTCTTAGCTTGTGTCTTTGTGTCTGTGTAGCCCCTCATTCCACAGTGCACCCAGTGATGATCCCCAAGAATCAGTTCTGTGTGATGAGTTTGGACCCTGACACTCTGCCGGGCATCGCCACTACGCTCATCGACGTCCTCTTCTACTCCAACAGGTGGGCTGCACTCAAAGACTAACTGGCTTGCAATTTTGTCCAATCATCGTGCAGTTTTTCAGCGTTAAACATGTAAATCATTTTGTGCTACATGACAGAAAACCATAGGTAATGCAGAAATCAAATTTGGCAACGAATATTTCAGATAAAAACAAAACAAAAAAGGCTCCTGAGTGGCGCAACCGTCCAAGCGTTGGCCCTATCATCGGGAGATCGTGAGTTCGATCCCTTGTGATGCTGCAGCCATCCGTGGCCAGGAGTCGTAGGGAGCACAATTGGCCTCTCTGGGTGGGTAGGATGGCCCCCCTTTCCCCCCCTTTAGTCAACGCAGACATCTGTTAGATGACATAACAGATCTGGCGGTTGGCGCTTTCCTCCGAGCGCGTTCGGCTGTCCAATGACGTTGCGTTAGCGACAGTTCGAAAAGATGCCGTGGTGCTTCACAGGTCTCTGAGGAAGCCTGTGCTAGTCTTCTCCCTAACGAGTCGTAACTAGTGGGTGGAAGTGGATATGACTAAATTGGGGAGAAAACTGGGGGATAAATACCAAAAAAAGTAAATAAATAAAAACAAATGTTTTACATGAAAACAGGATAGAAACTGTTGTTAATGACAGAAGAAAGTGGAAAATTGGCTCCAAATCTTCTACTTTAAAAATTGAACGTGAAATTCAATGCGCTTTTATGGATTTTTCACTTGGTTGGTTGTTGTAAAAGAACATATTGTCGCTGTCCAAAATAATTGAACTGAACAGGAGAGGGGAACATTTTTTACTTTTAATGTAAATGAATGTAAAGAGATTTTATTCTATGGAATTTTTGAGAATTTCTTTTAATCCGTTCGTCATGAAATGTGCACAGTGTAAAGGACCGCTCCTGTGTTCAAATGATGTAGAAAAATAAAAATTGGAAACAGCGGAAGTACTTTGGACAGCTACAATATGGCAAGTTCAGACTAGTTCAGTGACAGCACTGCTAGATATTCTGTCACAATAAGTTAGAGGGAACTGCGTTTCACTGTTTACCCTCATATTTCCTGACTATTTGATGCTTATTTTGTTCACAATTAGTTTCATTCCTTCATTTCAGTGTAAAACATTGTCATTTCGTTTTCAAGACTTTTAAAAGAGCGCTATGAAAAGTTTTCAAACTTGAGTCTGTTGTCGGTTCACTCAGAGGTGCACTTCATTTCTCTCTTTTGTCTTTTTTCAGGACTTAACAAAGCTACAACTAACCTCATTAAACCTCCTATAGCCCAAAAGCAGTGTAAACATTGATGCTGCAATCTAGCATTTTAGTCTGCAAGCAATTACAAGAATAGCATCAAAGTTCTGATCTACTACCCCACAGGAAGAGCTATACAGTATTCCAAGAATGGCTCAGACTTGTTCTTTTCTGCCTTTCGTATCCAATCTAGTACATTCCTTAGTAGCAGTACAGAAACAAACAAACAACACTTTGTGATTATATGTGTGTGAGAGTGACCTCTCCTTGAACAGGTCCAGTATCCAGAGTTCCCAGTTAATATCTAGTTTATCTAATCAGTCCTTTGTTATATTAAATCAGGTGTGCTGTTGCTTGAATTCAGCAAATCCATGTAGTGACTGGAGTGCAGTTAGAAACACACACTTGAAACATGTATAGATGTTCACAGAGGACTAAGCCACGTAAATCATATTAAGAGCTGTTAAATGGCAAATGTTCTTCTTAACCTCGGAGGGTGTGTAGTCATTGCAGCTAAATTTTTCTGTTTTCTCTGAAATGAGAAGCTAACTGACGTCAGAGTTACCCACCTTCACGCCTTCCCCTTTTCATGATTACGTTACTTTTCTGCTATCCAGCAGAGAGGCAGACAGGCGGTGCCCACTGAAAATACAAAAACGAGTGGGTGAATTACTGGAGGTCATATATTCTGTCTTAAAATTATCTGTGTTTCTAGAAAAGCTGGAAGTACAGTATGTGTAGTGAATCTCTGAAAGCTCACAAGAATGCATGCTTTTGACATGTTGTCACTGGCACTGACTTCTAGAATATAGAACCAATATACCACTTCTAGAATATAGAACCAATTACAGTATAATATATTATATATTTGATATGGTCAGAAATGAAACAGACCCCAACAGTTTTAGTTAACCAGTGCTTTACTGTCATTTCTCAATTGTTACATTTCTTAAACTCAGATAAACAGCATAAAGTCCAAATATCCACATCAGTCTATGGAACTTCAGTACTGGCTGGTAGTATAGGACAGTGATACAGGCGTATGAAACGTTACCTCTGGTCACATTACATGTTGTGTTGATTTTCTAAGTGAAAATAAGTACACATTAGATTCATTCATTTTTTTTTCTCTCTTTCACATCTGCATTTTCTGCTGATGTGGCCTGGATTACTGCATCTCTAGCCTTAACTGTATGTCTTGCTGTTATTGTAAACCCTGATGTGACTGCTGGGTGTTGTTTTTCATGTGCAGTCCTAAGGAGGATGCCGCTGTGGCTGACGATCTGGAGTGCATTAAGTTCTTCTCTTTCTCCCTGATCGATGGCTACGTCTCCTTGGTGATGGATACGGAAGCTCAGAGACAGTAAGCCTCGACACTCATTTCACACAAGATGTTTCTGATTTGGTGGGTGGGTGGGGTGTGTGTGTGTGTGTGTGTGTGTGTGTGTATGTATATGTGTATATATATATATATATATATATATATATATATATATATATACACACACACACACACACAATTGGGATACCTACACATTACACCTTCAGAAGCTTTCATGCCAACCCATTCTAAATTCTAAATCTATAGGCATTGAGTAACATGGAGTTGGTCCTCCTTTGCAGCTATAACAGTTTCTACTCTTCTGGGAAGCTTCTACAAGATTTTGGAGTGTCTGTGGGAATTTTTGAACATTCATCCAGAAGAGCATTTGTGAGGTCAGAAACTGATGTTGGACGAGAGGGTCTGGCTCACAATCTCTGTTCTAGCTCATCCTAAAGGTGTTGGATGGGGTTGAGGTCAGGGCTCTGTGTAGGAGTCAAGTTCTTCCACACCAAACTCACCCAGCCAGGCCTTTATGGACCTTGCTTTGTACACTGGGGCTCAGTCATGCTGGAACAGAAAAGTGCCTTCCCCATAATGTTCCCACACAGTTGTAAGCATAGAATTGTCCAAAATGTCTTGATCTGCTGAAGCATTAAGATTTCCCTTCACTGGATCTAAGGGGTCTAGACCAACCCCTGAATAACAACCCCATAGCATTATCCCTCCTCCACCAAACTTTACAGTTGGCGCAGTGCGGTCAGGCAGATAACGTTCTCCTGATATTCGCCAAACCCAGACTCGTCCATCAGACTGTCAGATAGACAAACGTGATTCATCACTCCACAGAAGGCGTTTCCACTGCTCCAGAGTCCAGTGGTGGCGTGCTTTATGCCACTTCCCTCCATTTGGCATTGTGCATTTTGATCTTAGGCTTGTATGTAGCTGCTCAGCCAAGGAAACCCTTTTCGTGAAGCTCCTGATGGCAGAGGTGGCATCTATGACAGTGCCATGTTTATAGTCACTGAGCTAATCAGTACGACCCACTGCACTGCCATTGTTTGTCTATTGAGACTGCAAGGCTACGTGCTTAATTTTATCCACCTGTTAGCGATGGGTGTGGCTGAAACAGCTGAACTCAATAATTAGGAGGTGTGTGAGGTGTGTATGTGTGTGTGTGTGTGTGTGTGTGTGTGTGTGTGTGTGTGTATAATGAGTCACCTACTCTGACTGTGTGCTGTTTAACGCCAGTACATGCTGTGGTTTGTGTATGACGTAGGTCGAGGGGTGTGCTCAGAGCACTCGGAACCAAAGTTCAGCTGATCCCACCAGCTGAGCATAAACATGTTTCAAAACAAAGTAAAAAATGATGACTTCTTTTTATCTATTTTCTGATACAGTGTCAAAATGTCTCATTTTCTCAAGATAATGATATATTCCCTTATAGAGAAGTCACATGAATTTCACAGGAATAAAACACATGGTGTAGGCATGCTTTACGTGTGAAATATATATGACATTTCTGGAGGGTTGTGTTGATGTAAAACATACTTTCTCAATGAGTCATAACTAATGTCATAACTGAGTAAAAATCTGTATCTATAAATGTGGCTATACACTAATAATACGTTAATCATGCAGTTACATCTGTGCAACTTTGCATGGAAATTTTTAGTGGATAATTTGTTAAATTGGCCACCACCACAAAGTGTTGGTAGAAATCTCCCACTTAAAATGCTATTAAACTGGGCAGTGTTTAAAAAAACACTAATGTTAAATACGAGTAGTGTTAATACAATAAGTAACATTTTTACATATGTCAGTTTGCTCAGTCAGTCCTTTAATAGATCAAATCATTGTTAAACAAGTACTGCTGATGGAATTGAACAAATCCGTGTAATTGCTGGGGCCGTCGAGGATGGTCAGGAGTCAACCCTGTCACTGCATTCATGTTTGTTTGCATTTACTCTGAGGTTATGTTTGTTTTTACAAGCAAAAACACACTTATTGCTGAGATAAATGAGTTGCTGTAGTGCCCTTTGCAAAGGACTTGTGTGTACTTGTATTGCTATACTTGGGGGGACAAAACTTTGGTTATGTGGAAGGAAAAAAAACATCCTTTTTTGCTTGTCATCAAAAATTTGAAAGCACTTACAGTTGTGTGCAAAAGTTTGAACACCCCCTGTCAAATTACATGCTTTGTTGAAAATAAGTTAACGTTCTCTACAAAGAACACATTTAATGATGTTTTCCCCTCACATTTTAGTGCACAGTTTCTACTTATTTGCTGAGGTTAACATACTGGAAGAAATCTAAATTGTGGACATGCCATGTGATGGGGTGCGAAAACTTTTGCACACAGTTGTGTTTCATAGGCACTGGATTTTTACATGAGGAAAAAAAACCTAGAAGAACAAAAACCTTTCACCATTAGTAACTGTGTGTCTCCGCTTTGCAGACAAATAACTGTAGAAATGTGTCTGCCTTGTCTTGCTGCGTATCTAAGAAGGTTTGTTTTTCAGAGTCAGAGTTGAGAAACTGGTTCTGATTAATGTGTATGTGTGACTTTGCAGATTTCCTGCAGATTTGCTCTTCACTAGCTCTTCTGGTGAGCTCTGGAGGATGGTTAGAATCGGGGGCCACCCGCTGGGCTTCGGTGAGGCTTTATTTCATCGCTGTATTAGGGTAACGGTAACTTTACAGGAGAAGGAAAAACGGTTCTTAACTTTAACGTAAGCTATTTGATTTATTTCTGTTCATTTATTATATTGAGGAATTTTGGATCATTTCTTTTGGTCTATTGGTACTAATGTTCACACAGTGTAAAGGGCAGCTGGACTTTTTAAAAGTTGCAAAAAAAAAAAATGAAAGGCTTTTTTTTTTGAGGGACTCTAGGAACTTACAGTGTTCACAAGAGAGTTCTAGCCAAGCGATAGCTCAAACACAGCCGAGACAGACACTATAAAACCATCAGGCGTAATATACCACCACACACTGCTGAACTTTGTCACACAATCTCCAGAGTGACCCTGTCAGCTGCGGATGTTGTTTCTGCTGGTTATGTGTTTTATGTGTGTCCACCTGCTTGTATGTCTGTGCGAGTTATCGGATAACAGAAGGGACAGATCCAGCGTGCGACAGTGTCTGCGTACTGTAAATGATTAACTTCTTCTTATGTTTCCTTTCTCTTTTTTCTCTCAGATGAATGTGGGATTGTAGCACAGATCTCTCAGCCACTAGCAGACAGTGACATCTCAGCCTATTACATCAGCACATTCAGCTTCGACCATGCCCTGGTGAGAGACTCTCTCTCTCTCTCTCTCATTCATAAGAAGTCACCCTCACTTACTCAGTGTTGCTCTTGTGCTAGGGCTCGACCAAATGAAAGTTCTGTCACCGATATAGATCTTATAGAAAGAGTTCAGATTTCCAGTATCAGGAAATCCAATTTTTTATGGTCAAAAATGTTAAAAAAATATATATTCAACTGCCACATTTCATTAAAACACAAACATACACCTATAAAGCTTCAATTAAAAGAAGGATTGTGAGGCCCAGCTTTCCAGAATTCTCAGCATTATCATATTTTTAATCGGTTTACTTTAAATAAAGGTTTTTATGTTGTACTTTATTATAACATTAACAAAAACTAATACTAAAAATGAAAACTACTATCAACTTACATGCGTCATTGATTTTCTAAGTAAAAATAAGTTAACGCATCCTCTACAGGGAGCAAACTTAAATGTGGCATTTATCTGCACATGTTAGTGCACAGTTTCTATTTACAGTATTAAAAATGTACTTGATAACTGCAAAACGAACAAAAAGTAAATAGAAGAGAAAAAAAACGTAGTTATCATACTTTAAGTGCACTAAGCATAGCATAGAAGTGAATCCCCCTGGCTAACTTGCAGTGAGGGCTGTTCAATTCCAGAAATTTTGCCATTGACATCAATTCTGATCCCAAATGATGGGCATTGATGGAGTTGATTCTAAGAGTCTGGCAAAAATAAAGAGTAATATGTTTAATATACAGGATAATTCAAAAAGATTTATCCGATTTCAAAATGATTAATTTCACTTGTAAATCATTACAGAACAGTGCAGTAAACTGTAAATGGTTGAAGTGAGCATAAAGTTTATTATGTAATTTTACCAGTGCTCAATATGAACCTCCTCCAGCTGTTCGGACAACATCAACACCATAGTCAAATTCAGATCATCCGATGTTTTGGCACTGGCAGTGTTGTTTGATTATAAGCCAGTTTTTCGTTACAAACTTTACATTGTATTTTGTTTTCTAACATGTCTAAAGTAAAATACAGCTTGACTATCAGTGTCTGTGAAGGATGTATTTCTTAAGACAGTCTGTCCAGACAGTGACAGCAAAATATCCCTTAGTCTCTGTGTGCAAACTTGAACATCACTGTATAGAATTGAGTTTGATGCTTTGGAGTCAAATCCCGACTCCCAAATGCCTGGAATTGAGGAATTGATTCTTTCTGGGATTCAGATTCAGCGTTACTTGCAGCCTAGCTGAGCACAGTCTACTGCTAAAGCAGCGGACCTCATTAACAAAGCTACAGTCCAGCTTGAGTCAACAATATCTGAACATCCCAAGCATGTAATCAAAGTGCGGAGATAAGAGTGTCAACAAGACTGTCTGAGTCTGTCTTACTTATCAGTTACCTACAATCACAGCTTTTATATCAATACCAAGAAGTAGAACTGAAACTAGATAAAAACAGAGCTCGCCTCTTAGAAAATAAAAATCTTAAAAATGAATCTAAACCAAAAGACCAAAACAAAATTAAATGGAAATGTCGAAACGTATAATAACACTGAAGTTAACAATTGGCTGTGATTAGCTTAACAGTGTCTGTATCTGTAAAGCCCACAGCTGTGGGAGGACTGCTTCAAAAGCTTCGCAGATTATTACCGCAAGCGCTGAAACACGTCAGTGTTAAGGTCAAGGTTGTCCTTTTTTGATTATGCTATATTAATGCACTTGGATTCTTTAGGGCTGATTCAGTCTGTGAAATTAACACCTATGGTCATTAGCTTTTTAATCTTTCAGAAAATGCCAGGACATTGTCGGGACCAAGGGCTATCCCCTTCAACCCCAGGCCTCCGACATAATATTATGAATAAAAAAGAAATCGTTAAATACTGGCTAAACACTTTCACTAATAACTGTTTTAAGTCCAAGTTCTCAAAACGTCAAAAAGTAAAGAGTCCTCAGACGCTGAGTTTGTGGAAGAGGGAAAAAGGCTTCTTCTTTATTTCAGCATCAAGTGGCAAAGGGTCTCGAGAGACCCAACTGCGCAAATACAGTGTTCCAAATACCATTTATCTGGGGTAATTTGATATCCCCCCACCTTACTTCTCAAATTTTGATATTAGCTCATTCTCTAATAGGTACATCTCTTCGTCCATCAATTTGTCCATCGCATGATGAGCTCACTCCCAAAAACTGGTTTCAACCGGTTTTTACCAGTCTGCTTTACTTTTCAAGGTCAACATGCCCCTCTCTTCACTGGGTCAGTAGGTACACACAGGCCTCTCTGTGAACCCAGGGGCTTTCCAGTGTCTAGAATCTCCTATGCAATCTCCTACTAAGGCCGACCCTTTGTGAGATAATCAATATTATCTGTTTGGCAATACTTCATATTTGGTTATTGATTACAGTATCTAATCTATTTGATTACTGATTAAGGGAATATTTATTCAAAATCTGTCAATATGTACATTTTTACATAAATGAATGCCTCCCTTACTAAAAGGGTGAAGGAACTGCAAAATCAAAGGGCTGTAGCAGAGTAACAAGGCTTATGAAGAAGACATTTCTCACACCAGTGTGGAAGTGAGCATCTCGTTTGGCAGTTATATTGACAGTTATCTTCCTTTGCCTAAAGTCACCAAGCTACATGACCGCTAGTCTCACAGGGCCAGACATGATCTTGTGGCGTGGACACACATCTGGGGATAACCTGTTCAACTTTTGCTACTAGATTGCGATGCCCCTTTCTAAAACCCGCCCCCAGATTCTCTAGTCTGTGTATCCTCAAATGCAAATCTGATAGCTTTTCTTTTCCCAAACGTACAGTAGGGTCCAAAAATCTGAGACCGCCTTGAGAATCTGGGATGATTCCTTCAATTCAAACCAGCACTGGGCTGTGGAGCAGTGGAACTGTGCTGTCTGGAGTGATGGAGCTCCATACAATTCCTTTGGGATGAGCTGTGATCCAGAACTAATCATCCGACATCAGTAGCTGACCTCAGTAATACAATGCAATCAAATCCTCACAGCAATGTTCCAGCATCTAGTGTAAAGTCTTCCCAGAAGAGTAGAGACTGTTATTGCAGCAAAGGAGGACAGACTTCCTATGAGTACCCTTAAAGTCAGAAGAAACGCCGGATGAGCAGGTGATCTGGGCCTAGTTCCCCAAAAGCTGGTGAGAGAGTGTTCACTGTGATGCTCGCTCTACCCTTTAAGAATCATCTTTGTGCTAAGATGCTTTCAGGAAGCCCAGCCCAGGTCATTGTTTGTAAAACGTGTTAATATCTAGTTCCCACCAATGCCTTGTGACTATTAGGCACAGCGTGCTGCGTTGATTTTGGAAATAACGGATGAGGCACAGAACATTTAGCTGCAACCCAGCTAGCATAATGATCATTATGAAACTTTGGAAGCTTCCTTTTTTAAAGTTGTGTAAGGATCCTGAATGAATGGAGATCACCGTATGATCCTTTCTCCCTCTGTCATTTAATCAGCCATATAAATCTCTGTCGGCCATCTGGTGATTGTTTCTAATCTCCTCCTCCGTTCCTGCGTGTCTCAGGAGAGATATTATCTATACAGTAGTGAGCATATTGGATCAGATGAGTAACGGAATCTCCCAGATGATCCCTGTCCTAGCCAATCTATGACCTGTTTAGCTGCATTAGAATATTACATAAAACTGAATCCAAAGATTCATAATAGTAATCATAATAGTAATGATAATGTTATGAATTGCAGTCAGTGAGGAATGGTAGTGCACTTCAAATCACTGGCATGGTTGAAAACCAATAACAATGCAGCCAAGAGTTGTGTGCTTGGCTATTCAGAGAATGCACTAAAGCTTTTTTAAACCTAGCCACTATCTACTGCCTGTGTAGCATATGGTCAGTTACCACAGATAAGAGCAAATTTCCCTGCATTCGGAAAAGAGCAGAAAATCTGTTTGACTCAAAACACCCTCATAATTGAAAGCAGTGGGCAGCTGCCTCAGATTTGTTATCAGAGACCACCCTTTATCTATTTTATTTCCAATCAAACAGGCCATGAAGTCCAAGTTTATTTTTCAGCATCAGGAAAAAAGTAGAAAACATATCGTCGCTGTCGAAACAAAACCTGCAATCTTAAAAAACTTTTCAGGGTTTAAACTTAACTTATGAAAGTTGATGTAAAAATATGTTCTCCCCAAGTTGTTTTAAACCATTTTGTATTACTTGATTTGTTGTGAACTTTTCACACAATGTACAACAAAACTGACCATAAAAATGACAAAGCCAATACAAATGGAGATTCAAGGTCTTGTCCCGGTAGTGTTGATATATTTAACAGAAAACGGACAATTACTTGGAAGCCTGAACAGCTAAATACAGGGTGATTCAAAAAGATTCATCCGATTTCAAAGCGCCATATTTTTAGAACCGTGAGGCGCCTAGGAACCAATCACATTCCAATTGAAAGAGGGGGTCATAGAGTTTCTGACTGTCAGTGGAAGATGGTTCCCTTCAGTCTGCGAGGAGATGCGAACCCTGAGCAGGAAGCGTTTTGCGTTCTCCACTTCAAGAGTGAATCCATCATAAGTGTGCAGAGTGATTTTCGTCGGAAGTGAACCTCCAACAGCTCAGAGCGTTTGGCGTTGGTTCTACAACACTGGATGATCTCCGAAATCGCATTGAAAGCCACGAGTACAGTGACACCCGACATGCTCAATCGAGTATGGGATGAATTTGACTATGGCGTTGATGTTGTCTGTACAGCTGGAGGAGGTTCATATTGAGCACTTGTGAAATTACATAATAAACTTTACGCTCATTTTAACCATTTACAGTTTACTGCATTGTTCTGTAAGGATTTACAAGTGAAATGAATCATTTTGAAATCGGATGAATCTTTTTGAATCATCCTGTATATCAGATTTTTTAGTATTTAGTGTGTTCACTCTTTGCCTTTATTACAGCTTCCTTTCTTTTCAGGAGACTTGCGTTTAGTTTTTCAGAGAAATCTGCAGGGATATTTTTCCACACCTCCAAAGTTCAGTCTTAGAAGTTGGTTGCATTTTTTTGCTTCTTGTAGTCCCAAATACAAATTTACACTCATCAGCCCATAAAACCTACTGCAGATGTTCATTTTTTCAACTTCAGTTCTCGAAACTCCAGTTTACTGAATAAATTGTAACATTTTGACTGGAAATTAAATAAATGAAAGGGTGGTCTCTGACAGTACTGTAGTACTTGTCCATTATATTATATTGTATTATATTATATGTTCTGTGCTAAATGATGGTACGATACAAAGGTAGCAGACAGAAATTTGATTGAAAAATGCTGAGGGTATTTCTTTAAAATGTTTTTTCAGGTCCCAGAAGAGGACATAGGGAGCGTTACAGACATGCTTCAAGATCAGAGAAAAGACGTCAGATGCTGAACTGACCACGAGATGACAGAGTGGACCGTAGCGTGTGTGTGTGTGTGCGACTAACACTACAACCAGAAGTATTAACCACTGTTCATGTTGCCATTTCCACCAAAAGTGCTTCCACGATAATGCGTCTAGACTAGGACTGGCTCACAAGAGACGAGCTCAAGGTCACGTCCTCACAGAAAGCTTTGAAATGCAGTTTCCATCCTGGAACTTTGGCGCTCTTATTGCTCATCAAAGTGGCGCTTTGTTGTCTTGATTAATAGGACTGTAATACGTCTCTTAGAACGAGAGTTGAGGTTTTTCGACTGAGTGGGAGGTGCTAATGGCTTTCAGTCCTTACTTTTTTTTTAACGAGTAAGTGACGTTAGTATGCAAATAACGCTGCATCTTCAGATCTTTTGACGTGGAACCTGAGGTGCCCTGACGTTTAGCTTTAGCGTGTCCAATTTTTTCCAGGTGGGTTTTTTTGGTAGCACAGAAAACACTATCAGTGTTATATCCGTCTTCCAGTATTGTCATAATAAGAGATATTTTTGTATGCCAAACTTGTTTAGGGTTAAACATTTGATTTGAGATGTAGCATTAAACTGACTCCCCTAAGAAAAGGTTTCTTTGGATAGTCATTCATAGAAGACCAGTTACTGAGACCCTATTTTGGCCCAGAAATGGGTATTTCTTTTGGTAAACATGTCAAATGTCTTGGTGAATACTTCAGTCTTGCCATGTGTGACAATCTTGTTTCCACATGTTTTACTAGAATCTGTGAATATAGTTCATTGACAGTATAATGGTTTGAGGGAGTATGTGATTATTAAGGTCCTCAGTTACTGCTCAGTTAATTTCTGTTCCTCGATCAGGGTTTTTTTGAGGACGCAGTTTGCTAACAAACCTTTTGAGTCTATATTTGTTTGGACTGGGCAACAGCTCAGCTGTTCCACTATTGACTGATAGATAGGAGAGTTGCCTTTCTGCCTTTGATGGCTCAAATTGTTAATCGGCCTCAATGTGGCCTTCAGTGTGTTGTGTTCAGTTGTAACTGATCAGAATCAGCTGTTTGATTTGGCTTCCGTAGATTTGCCAGGATTTTGTTGTATCAGACAAATAAATCACTGTTGTCATATCAAAACCTTCTAACCAAGTTTTTATTATTATTATTATTATTATTGTTGTTGTTATTATTATTATGTTTATACACCATTTGAAAACACCTGCTACCCTTTATACTGAGAACACTTCATGAGGAATGGACCAATGTTCCCAAGTCTTCTAACATTAATAAAAATAAAAACAGGATATTATATATATATATATATATATATATATATATATATATATATATATATATATATATATATATAAAAAATACACAGATAAGGCCTAACATTATGACCACCTCCTTGTTTCTATGCTCGTTGTCCATTTTATCAGCTCCACTTACTATATAGGTGCACTTTGTAGTTCTACAATTACAGACTGTAGTCCATCTGTTTCTCTGCATACTTTGTTAGCCCTGTTTTTCAGTGGTCAGGACCCCCATGGACCCTCACAGGGCAGGTACTATTTGGGTGGTGGATCATTCTCAGCACTGCAGTAACACTGACGTGGTGGTGCTGTGTTAGTGTGTGTTGTGCTGGTATGAGAGGATCAGACACAGTGCCGGAGTTTGGACAATGAGCGTAAAAACAAGGAGGTGGTCATAATGTTATGCCTGATCTGTGTGTGTATATATATATATATATGTATGTATATTAAGGGTTACAGGACATAAGTCAATATATATTAAAGAATAAAACAAAACAAATTCTTATTAATCATGGGTACAAATGGTCCATCTTATTGGAAGACTGAGGTAAATAAAAGTTTTGATTTAAAAAAATTAATATTTTAAAATGTGGTATTTCTGTACTGCTATAGATGAAGAACTAGCTTAAGAAGTAATTTCATTCATTTTCTAAATCTTTGTAGAATTAACTTTTTGCACAGATGCCTAGACATTACAGGTTTGTTTTTTTTTTAATAGAAAGTTTCATAAAAGTTATGTTTTTTTTTTCCCGGGTACATTTTATATCAGACAAAAACTTTATTGTTTATTGTGTTTATAACTGCTGCTTATTCAATAAAGTTGGAATTTACAGCGTATTATTACTTTTTACTTTTTTATTACTGAAATTATGAGCCCAGAGGTTAATGTGATTATTTCATATTGAGTTCAAACTGAGTTCAGTGTGAACTCAATATGTGAAAACTAAGTCCCAGTAATCACACTGGGTTACGTTACCAGATGCTGTCCTCTGAATGTGAAAGTTTTTGTGTAGTAGGAAGTCTATGACCAATCAGCAGAAGACTGTTCATGTTCATGGATTCATTCACAGGTTTCACTTCTGCTAAGAATAATGACTCCACAAACATCATGACTTTATATTGTACAAACCATTCAATTCAACAGTTTTACTTTTTATAACCTCTCTTATTTATTTATGTTATACAGAAGCAAAACTCTGAGGAAATCAACTTTTGTACAAGGAGTGAAGCCACAATCGGCCTCACTTTGGAAGAATGTTCCTATAACTGTTCAGTGGTAATAGGGTGTTGGGTGTGTCCTTATCTGAAAGCCATTTTTAGTGAAATTATGTTTGAACCCATAGATAACAACAGGGAATCACTCCACCAAAATAGAATTTTATTAATGACTAGTTTGCCTAAAATGAATAATCTAAAATCTAAAATAATAAGCCTGTTACCTGAACCTAAATGACCTACATTCATATCTGTGTAGATACATTCATGTCTACCTATACTAGATTACCTACAATTATATTGATTACTTCCTAAAATCTAACTAAGCTAACAGAAATAGGTTCCCAAAATTATATTCATATCTAACAGTATTAACTAGACTAGGTTACCTAAAATTATATTGATTATTTCCTAAAATCTATCTAAAATAACTAGACAAGGTTATCTGAAATTATATTGATAACATAAACTTACTGCAGTATGTTTCATACCCTGCTTTTATATATATAGTGAAGTGATAACATAAAATCTAAAATATGTAGACTTGGTTACCTTAAAATTATATTCATAGCCTAAAGTCTATCTTAAATAACTATGCTGGGTTATCTAACGTTACATTGATAACTACGTAAAATTTTAATAACTAGACTAGCTTACCTAAAATTATATTGATAAATATATAAAAGCTATTTAAAATAACTAGAAAAAGTTATCTGAATTTATATTGATGATAACCTAAAATCTATCTAGAATAACTAGAATAGTTTTCCTAAAATTGTATTGATAACTATTTAAAATCTCTAAATTAACTGGACTAGTTTACCTAAAATTATTTTGATAACTACCTACAATAAGTAGGCTAGTTTACCTAAAATTATATTAATTATATTATATCTAAAATAACTAAAGTTGTCTAAAATTATATTGATAACCTAAACTCTGTCTAAAAAACTAGACTAGGTTACCTAAAATTATGTGGATAACTACCTAAAATCTGTCTATAATAACTAGATTAAATAATCCAAAATTATGTTGATAACTACCTATAAATCTAATCTAAAATGACTGTTACCTAAAATTATATTGATGTGCACTCTGTGTTACACACCATATTACATTCCCCTGTAATGCAGTACCACTTATGTAGCGTTGCTCTTTACATTGATTTATATGGATGTTCTATTAATAAGTAGTCTGTTTAGTAACCCCTACTGTCGTCTACAGACAGTTATGAGTTGCAATCTGCCCATTATCATTTCTACTGCTGTCCACTGAAATAAACTTACGGTAGTATGTTTCATACCCTGCTTATATATATATATATATATATATATATATATATATATATATATATATATATATATATATATATATATATATATTGTGTATACACATAAATGCAAATAGACTTGTAAAACATTTGCAGATATAAGTTAAAGTATATAATATAAAGAATCTGACTTTTGGCAGCAGCATACATGGTGATTTTCTGAATTATTGGTACCCTTGATAAAGATGTGGAAAAAAGGCTTTGAAAAAAAGTCTTCGTTATCAGCTCGATCTTGTACTGAAAGTGTGACACAAATCTCACCCATGTGATACACTGATAAATCTGTCTGAGAGATCAGTTTTTTTCCCTCCAACTAAGGTGGATGATTCTTGATGGTTCAAGAGGTGAAGCGTTCTCCGTAGATCACAGCAGCACACCTGCATGAGTTAGTTCCATCCTTGGGTCACCAGAGTCTCCAAAACTACCATGAGATGCCACCTCCATGCCGCTGTTGTCTTCAAATTACAAACATGAGCTGCTGGACTTTGCTAAACATCAGTGGAGCTTTAGTAGAAGCTTTGACTAATTATGAGTCATGGATAAAGATTACAGAGGTGCAGTACCAGTCAAAAGTTTGGACACATTCAACGTTATTTAGACAGTGTGTTTGGGGTTGTTATCTTATTGAGAGGTCTGTCTTCTCCCTTTGCTCCCACCTTCTTACTTCAGGGTGTGTGTTCTTGGCATCGTATGCACAACATGATGAGCTGAATTATTGCCTAATAGTTCTGGTTTTGTTTCGTCTGACCAGAGTACATGGTTGATGATTGAGGTGCCGTTCATTGCTTATTTTTTCTGTGTGTAAATTTTGTTCCAGTTGTTCTCAGGTCGTCCTGCAACTCTTTTCAAGTGACTGCTGGCTTCTCTCTTACCTTCCTTATCATTAGTCTGACAGCACGTTGTGAAATCTCGCGTGGCGCACCTGTCCGGGGATGGTTAGTTGTAGTTCTATGAATACATATCATCAAACCAACTGTACTGAAAGGGAAGTTTAAGGCCTTTGCTGTGGCTCTGTAGATCTTTCCATTCAAGTCTTGTTTTATAATGTTTCCCTGATAACTTTAGGAAGCTCCTTCACCTTCACCATGATAGTCCTGGAGATGTACCACCCTGGAGAGTTCAGATCCACCCTACCTGGTTCAAAATTCTGCAGGGTGTTAGATCTCCCAGACCAAGATTGAGCACTCTTGCCATAGGAGAACCACTTTTGCATTCCTAAAGAACTTTCAGTTGATGTTTCTTGAAAGAACTGCTTTTGGAAATTAAACTTAATGTAAAAATGTTCTTACAACAGTGCATCCAAGCCAAGAGCAGCGAGGAACCTTTAGGCTATGTTCACATTACCAGGTTGAAGTGGCACAAATCCGATTTTTTTTGCCCTAATGTGACTCGGATCTGATGTTTTCAGGGCTCTGTGGACACGCAAATCCGACCTGAGCCACTTTCATATCTGGTCCTAGATCACACGTATCCGATTCATGGCCATGCGACCTTAATGTGGTGCTCAGATCGGAATTCATGTGCCTTTTTTCCACTGTGCACGGTGGAAAAGCCACACATCTCACCTTTGCTGCCTTCGTCTCGCTCTAATAATGAAGCTGAGAGCTGATCAGAGTTAATTATCTTCTCAGCGAAGCTCGTTCTGCTCGTTAGTTTGTGCTGATGATGCACGTGATTCATCCACGTGACGTTACTGAATAGGATGTGCTCATGCGGGTCATTTCAGGACGCCGGCTCGTTCACATTAATGACAGATTTGAATCACTTACCTAAACGAGTGTGAACCATTGTGTCAGAGAGATCGGATTTGAGCAAAAAATCGGATTTGAGCAACGAGGCTTGTAATGTGAATGTAGCTATAGTTTCAAGTGTGGAGACCAACATTTTCACATTTTGCACACCTTCAAGCATTAGGTGCCAATCTGCCCACTCACAAAGCATGTTCTGAGTAAGCAGGCTTTCATGGAAAGGGGATGGTAGTGTACCTAATGCAGTGCCTTTTCTCTGTTGCAATATTGCGTCAGTGTGTTCTTCATTAATGGTTATTTAGCACTTCCCTCCACTCTAGTGACATGATATGAATTTCCTTCCTAATGCAACCCCCGGCTTCACCAACTCAAAAGCCCTATTGGAAAAGAATGAGTCAAAAAGTGTCAGCTAGAAACTATGACCTGATACAGTTCTGCTTCAAAGTGTTTATTTGAAATAAATTTTAAATATTAATAATGATGTCATTAACACCTTTGGCATGACTACTAAAGACTGAGTCCTGTTCAGTT